GATGGGAATCCGATTCATAAACAATAAATTCTTTTCTGTCTTTAGTGCCTGCTCACTGAAATTCTCTGAAACTACTCAAATGATTTGCAACACCAACGAAGTGTTGAGTTTAAAGCCCATGGCAATATTTATTCCATTGAACTTAATGAAGGTTGTTGATGGAGATTAACTTTTCAAGGTCTCAAGTCCATCTCTCTACATGATTAGTAGCTTCCTAACTCTTTCTTATAAGGGATGCGGGTGGCGCTGTGGGTTAAACCACAGAGCCTAGGACTTGCCGATCAGAAGGTTGGCGGCTTGAATCCCCACAATGGGGTGAGCTCCCGTTGCTCGGTCCCTGCTCCTGCCAACCTAGCAGTTTGAAAGCGCGTCAAAGTGCAAGTAGATGAATAGGTACCGCTCCGGTGGGAAGGTAAATGGTGTTTCCGTGCACTGCTCTGGTTCGCCAGAAGCGGCTTAGTCATGCTGGCCACATGACCCGGAAGCTGTACGCCGGCTCCATCGGCCAATAAAGCGAGATGAGCACCACAACCCCAGAGTCGGCCATGACTGGACCTAATTGTCAGGGGTCACTTTACCTTTACCTTTAACTCTTACTTGCTCTACACCAGGGGTAGGCAACCTAAGGCCCGGGGGCCAGATGCAGCCCAATCGCCTTCTCAATCCGGCCCGCGAATGGTCTGGGAATCAGCATGTTTTTACATGAGTAGAATGCGTCCTTTTATTTAAAATGCACCTCTGGTTTATTTGTGGGGCATAGGAATTCGTTCATCCCCCCCGCCAAAAAAAAATATAGTCCAGCCCCCCCACATGGTCTGAGGGGCGGTGGACTGGCCCACAGCTGAAAAAGCTTGTTGACCCCTGCTCTACACCTCTGTGATGTTAGAGAACCTAAGTCTCAACAGGCTAGGGCCAGCTCTGCCATTAGGCAGAGTGAGGAAATTATCTACCCCAGCCATTCTTCCCAAGCTATTTCCTTGGGTTGGAACACAGAGCTATGTGTGCTTCAGACCTCTCATACACCTCCTAAAGCAGCCTGCTTCTTTCAGATGCACTTGATTGGATTTAATGTATTTTTATATACTGCTTTCCATTCAAAAGGAAACCCAAAGCGGCTTACAATCAGAGGCACTGAGTTGCATTTGTGTGACATCACAGGGGTGCCTGTTGCATCAGGAAGAGGCCAATAATGGGAGGAGACATACATCAAATCATAATGGCAATGACTGGGTCTGCACAACACCATCTTCTGCTCAATGTCATTATTTGTAGGAAGGTGGCTTTGGAGGGTTCTGATAAAATAATGGAGTCTCTTTGATAGAACAATGAGAACACAGCCATTGCAAAGAACCACCACTTTCTCAATCATCTGCAAGCCGTTCTAAATATTGCTGAAATGACCCTTCCACACAAAACTCAAAAACACACTCAGGAAAATGAAACACAAGCCTTTTGGGCTGCTAAATAGCGAGTCTGAGAGCCATAAACCTGGCCGGAAACAGCATGGAAGAGGCACGTCCCATCACCTCCCAATGCACTTGCAGAAGAACCCCAGGCTGCCAAGGTAACAGATTCCCTATGGGTCGGCTGACCAAAACACCTCTTCAGACCCCTTAGCGTGACGCCTATGCCCAGCTCTGTGCAAAAGAGAAAGTGCAGTTCAAACCATTTGAGAAAGAGCTGGAGAGAGGAGCGCCCACTCTGGGGAGTTTGCACTTCAATGTGCCACAGGGGGGCACTTGGAGGCAGTACCAGTGTCAGATTATTTTGTGCCATAGACAAGACTAACGACTTGCACCCCACCCCAAATGGCTAACTTCAATTGTCCACAACTGTCATTTCATTAAAAAATAATAATGAAATGCCCCAAACTTGAAACTTGCTAGATTTATTTTAAATTGCAAGAATAAGTAACACAAGAATCTTTGATTATCTTTCTCAAATACAAAAGAACATGTTTTAGCACACAAATCATTTTGAATAATATTGTGAATTGTGGTGTTAAAATTTAAGTCTCTTAAGTTTCAACTTCAGGCACATCAAAATCTAACGTTGCACGCCTTTTGCTTTGCAAATGTTGTCACCAACTCCCACAGTTCAAGTGCTGATGACTGGGGCATGTTCAGTTGATATATCTGCCAAGCGAACTAGTCTCTTTTGCAACACTGTTGAGCGTATGTAAGTTTTTATAAGTTTGAGCTTTGACAAACTGAGTTTACCACTTGCCACTGAAACAGTCTCTTCTTCTGCAGACTTAGTAGTTCTTTCACTTTTCTTGACATCTTTTTTCCCCTCTGTGAGTTTTCCAGAAATATTTCCAATTTGTGAAACTTCTGCTTAAGAGTTTATATCGTCTGTAGTAGGAGCACCACATTCAGAGTCAAGAGGTTAGATGAACAAAGGAAGTCCACCACAGAAGGTTCATCTAGGGACCTTCTCTGTGGTTCTATGCACAATGTCACCCATTGCTGTGTTTTCAAAGTGGGCATGTGAATATTATAGTCAAATGCATTGATTGGTTTGATCTGCAGTCAATTTTCAGGCGCTTCTTCCTTTCTAGCCTTTGCTTTGCTCAATCCACCAACTCCCAGGATATGTCCTTTGACATGTTTCTATTTGACCTCCATGTAGCACCTATTTTAACTTACATGGATAGCTATATAGCATTAATTACAGGTAGATAGCCGTGTTGGTCTGCCGTAGTCGAAACAAAACAAAACAAAACAAAACAAAACAAATAAATAAAATAAAAAATAAAATAAAATAAAATAAAATTCCTTCCAGTAGCACCTTAGAGACCAACTAAATTAGTTATTGGTATGAGCTTTTGTGTGCATGCACACTTCTTCAGATACCTTATAAATACAGCATTGTATTTGTGGAAGTGAAGTCTCAAACACCTTCCTTTTCTTCTTCTTTGGCCATCGCTTGTAGCCGAGTAAGATTGTCTTCTATGAACACGTCTTAACAATGAGTCCGTAAGTGACTGTGGAGGCCATTTCTGGAACCTTCCACAGTGGGGACATAGGTTTCTGGGTGGGAGTTTTTACGGTCCTGCTCCCATTACCATTTGCCAATTGGCATGGGACTTTTGGGGGGGTTGAGATGGGTTTTTGGAAGACGCCTGTGTGAATTTGTTTTATGTGTGTAGATCAGTGCTAACTGGCTGGTCTGTGTGGTGGGACAGAATGTTCATAGAATCATAGAATCTTAGAGCTGGAAAGGACCCCAAGGGTCATCTAGTCCAACCCCCTGCAATGCGGCAATCTCAGCTAAAGCATCCATGACAGATGGCCATCCAACCTCTGCTTAAAAACCTCCAAGGAAGGAGAACCCTTAAAATGTCTTCAGCTCAACTTCTGTGCGAAAAGGAAAAGCTGACTGGTTGGTATCCAAATCTCAAATGGGGGCAGGCAGACGAAGGACTAGGGAGATATCCTAGCATGGCTGAGTGGGGAGCCAGGTTAAAAAAAAAGAAATCTGAAGGAAGGGTAAGTTGCTTGAGGAAAAGGGCAGATGGGACAGGGATGTAAGCAGAGAGAGAATTGTGGGGTGGGATGCGAGGGGGAACTAGTCTAGCTATCAAGAGCCAATGTATGGTATGGAGTGTAGGGCTGGGCAATATATCAATACAGTGGACCCTCCAGATACAAACGTAATTCATTCTGGGGATCTGTCCGCAACCTGAAAAGTCCGTATCTGGAGGCGCCACTTCTGTGCACGGAGTGGCACAATAGAGCACTTCTGTGGATATGCGCAGGGCGCAACCCGGAAATACATACTTCTGGATTTGCCGCATTCGCAACCCGAATCCGGAGGGATACACAAGTAGAGGTACAACTGTATGTCATCCACAACCACTTTGAAATCCGTGTCACGATACTGATTTCATCGCTTTTGACCTGGCAATATATCATGCGTCATGATGTGCATGTGTGATGCAAAAAACAGAATGTGGTGAAAACTGTGAAGCCACTTGATGCCTCTGCATAGCTCCATCCTTTCCCCCCAGACATCATAATATATTGCTATATTGAGATGTTGAGCTGGTGATATATCACAATGTCAAAACCAGATATCACTCAGCCCTAATGGAGGGTAGAGCTGAAAGACATGCCAGGAAGGCTGGTCAACAATAGACCTGATGGCGGAAATGTTGCCAGTTGTGGCTTCTGCTATCACTGTGGCATCTTTACCTGACAACCCAGAAGGCACTAAGTAAAGGGAGGACCAGGGCCATACAGGCTGAATTTCATCTATTGATTTAAAGTGATGCAGGTGGCGCTGTGGTCTAAACCACTGAGCCTCTTGGGCTTGCCAATCAGAAGGTTGGCAGTTCAAATCCCCATGACGGGGTGAGCTCCCGTTGCTCTGTCCCAGCTCCTGCCAACCTAGCAGTTCGAAAGCACACCAGCGTAAGTAGATAAATAGGTACAGCTGCGGCGGGAAGCGTTTCCGTGCGCTCTGGTTTCTGTAACAGTGTTCTGTTGCACCAGAAGTAGTTTAGTTATGCTGGCCACATGACCCAGAAAAGGCAAGATGAGCGCCACAACCCCATAGTCGCCTTTGACTGGACCTAACCGTCTGGGGATCCTTTACCTTCACCTATTGATTTAAACTAAAGCACCAGCTTGAGTGATATATCCGAAACGGCAGAGGGTAGGTTGTGACTGGCACCACAAGAAACCAGTTTGGCCCTATCTGAAAGCGCACCCACCCACCCACACCAGCTGCTACATTGCGTTTCCTGAGAGAACCCTTCCCCCCCAACTACAATTCCCAGAGTCCTTTGGTGCGCGTGTGTGTCTGTGTGTGAGGGGGAAAGGCGAGGTTACAACAAGCATAAAGCCGTTTCAATTTGTGGTGCAGACGCCTCTTGCTGGTCGCTGGACAGCACCCCGCCTCCCCCCCGTAGCCAGCCAGCCAGCCAGCCGGTCTTCCCCCGTCTTGCCTCTGCTTTGGCGCGCCTCTTCCCCGCCTCGGGTCCCCCCAGGCCGCTCATGCGCGGTTCTCCTCGCAGTCCGCCGAAGCGCCTTCGCAGCCCCTCCGAGACGCGTCTCTCGACCGGCACTCGCTCCGTGTCAGCGGGCTGGGGAGGAGGAGGAGGAGGAGGAAGAAGAAGAAGAAGAGGAGGAGGTCCTACGCATCTACCCTCCCGCTTGCCGGGGCTGGGGGAGAGTGAGCAGGAGCCGCCGCCGCCTCATCCCTCCGCCACCCGGGCTGCTGCTGCTCCGTCTGCGCGGGCTTCGCCCCTCCAGGCAGACCGAGGCCGAGGGCGCAAAGCGAAAGGAAGCGAGCGGGGACGGCGACGCCTCCTTTCCCCCGGCCGCCTGCCTCTTCGCCCGCGTCGGCATCAGCGCAGCTTCCTCTCCGCCATCCCCGGAGCTGCGGGGAGGGGAGCCGAGACCAAACGCGACAGGACGCCGGTGCAGAAAGGGAGCGAGACAAAGGAGGCTGCCGGAGAGGGAGAGGTGAGTGGCGGGCGGAGAGAGCGAGACGCCTTGTTAGGGACGCTTCCCCCCCTTCCTCCCCCGCAAAGCCGGGCGTTCCATTGCTTAGGAGGGTGGCGGCGGAGAGACCAGGTAAGCCCCCCCCCCCGCCTTCCCCTCCCCTCCCCCGCAATCGCATCCCGCCTCTCAAGGCTGCAGCGGCGAGAAGGCACTGATGGAGCGGCGCGCTCGGGCTGCGTAAAGGTGGCGGTGGCGCAAGAATGCTCAGCCCTTGGCGCTATAAGGTGCTCTTCTTGGGAAGCTGGGAGAGGGACAGGGGTGGGTGGGGTTTTTTTCTTCCCACCTTTGCATCTCCCCAGCGATGTGGAGTCCGAGGCCTCCCCATACCCTGGCACCCTCGGCTGCAGCCCCATGATCCATACTGGGGGCTGGGGGGTGGGGTGGGGGTGAAAGTCTGGGTGTTTTGTTTTTTCCCCTAATCCGCCCTCGGCTCCATGGCGCTGCCCTTTCCTTCCCAGGGAAAGGAGGGGTGCCGAATGGGAAATAACATGGCAAGAAGGTGAAGTCTCAAATACCAAACACACGCACGCCCCGACAAGAATTCAGAGGCAATAGGGGGAAGCGTCAGGGGGAAAAAAGGAAAGCGTTGGCTGATTTTTGTGTGCTTTCTGGGGATGGAGCTAGCTAGCCATGCTGCCAGGAGCAGGGTCTCGCGGTGCCATACCAATCGGCACCTCTGCCATTTTCAGGAAATGCTACCCTATCGAGTCTTCTTCGTATATGCAGAGGTTGGAAAGAAAATGATGGTTTTCTGTTTTCTCTCAATTCTGTCATTGATTGGCTCAGTAAGTAAAGGGGCGAGAGTCTTCGCTCATTCCTCTCCCACTCAAATAGCAGAGCAGAATATGGACAGCATTTATGTGTTGCATTTTCCTTATGGGGTTAAAGCGATAGAAGTGCACCCACCCTCCCATTTATTTACAATGTCTCAAGATGCCAGGTTCGTTCTTGCAATAATTGCTGCCTGGGAAATCGGGAGCGTGTGATCTTTTAGTAGCCAGCGTGCACTTGACGGAAGTGGACAACGTCAACAGTTGCAAATTTTTTAATTGCTGGTTCTGGGTGAAGGTAATAGTCACGAGGAAGAAGGTGGTGTGTACAGGTTGTTCAGCAGCAGTATTTCCTGGACTCAAGGACGAATGGAGGCTTCTTTACTTCTGTAGTTTGCTTGGTGTGTGTTTTTCCTTGGGAGAGAGGGTGTGGTGGTTATGTCTCTGTAATGCAGCGCTGCTAAGCATTGCGTGGAAGCAGGAGGCTGCTGCTTGTGCATGTGTAGTAGAAACAGATCTTGCAGGGCGGAGGGAAGAGATGTTACCTTAGGCTTAATTTCCGAAGCTCCCACTGTCAAAACAATATACTAAAATAAATGCTTAGAAGAGAGGAAGCTAGCTAACAGTATGTGCTAAACCTCCCCATAAAAATAGATTTGATTATATTATTGTATATATATTCCAGTTAATATATATTCAGTGATATTCATCTAAGTTTCACCCATTGAAATTAATTAACCTAAGAGCCATTTTCATTAATTTCTATGAGTATTTTTACCAGTTGGCTTAAAACTCTCGACATTCAGCAACAGCTCAGTCCCATTCATATTTACTCGGAAGATATCACTGTATGAGATTCATGAGGCTTCATTCCAGATAAGGCTGTAAGTCATATATCCATTTACCTGGAAGTAATCTCCACTAACTCACCGGGGCTTGCTTTTCAGTACACACAGAGGTGTATTTAGGATTTTGGCCTGAATTTATTGAGACTCCTTTTGTGTGATGAGTTTCCCCATCCGCAAATGATTTCTCCAAGCTGCTGCAAAATGCATGGATCCTGGCTCCAGAGTGGCCAATCTGATGTAAATTAAAGGGTGATGCATGCTTTGAAGTGAATGTGCTTTCAAATCAAATCCTGCCTTTTCTTAAAGAGATGCAGTTTAAATACAATGGCATAGGCATATCTACAGATAATTGAAATATTCCTGTTACTCTGAACTGAAACCTAGAAGCAATGGCTGTAATAATGCTAAGCTAGCGCTTTCTAAATGATGAGTTCATGTTTTAAGGATACTTTAAAAAAAATAATAATAATGAAGGAAACTAAGTATTTAGTATTTTGATTATACTCATTTTCAAGATTCATTCCTAGATCATGTTTATATATGGATTCATATTGTTTATGACACAGGTATATTTGGACATGAACATGACTGTACAAGTGTGTGTTCTTCTTTCTCTCTTTGACCAGTATACTCATTATTTTTTATTGTACTTAAGCCCCATTCTTCCCCTCTGCCAAGGAATTCAAGGCAACAGATATGGTTCTCTCCTGTCTCATTCAATCCCCAGGTGTAACAACCCTATTAGATTAGTTAGGATGAGCAGCAGTTAATGGCCCAAGTTTACCCAGTGAGCACCATGTCTGAGCGAGGATTTGAACCCACATCTCCTAGTCTGACACGCTAACCATTATACCACATTGGTTCCCATTGGGTAGACATTTCCAGCACTTGTATCGGGCACAATGAAGGGAATACGCTGGTGTGGCCATTCTCATGATCTGCCCGGACACTGAGGTCCAGTGCCGAGGGCCTTCTGGTGGTTCCCTCGCTGCGAGAAGCCAAGTTACAGGGAACCAGGCAGAGGGCCTTCTCGGTAGTGGCACCTGCCCTGTGAAACGCCCTCCCACCAGATGTCAAGGAAATAAACTATCTGACTTTTAGAAGACATCTGAAGGCAGCCCTGTTTAGGGAAACTTTTAATGTTTAATAGGTTATTGCATTTTAGTGTTTTGTTGGAAGCCGTCCAGAGTGGCTGGGGAAACCCAGCCAGATGGGTGGGGTATAAATAATAAATATTATTATTATTATTATTATTTATTATTATATTTGGCCTGGGCAAAAAGAAAACCTGGGAATCACTTCGGTTTGTGGTAACTCATTGGCTGGCAACAATGTTATGTTGGAGCTGTAACAGGGCACTTTAAAGTTTCTTACAGCTACAATGTGATGGCTGTCAAAGTTTACTCTTGCCTTTGGTGAGACGGATCCTTCGGGGGAGAGAAAGGAAGAAAAACAAGAGAGGCAGAAAGACCTTGTCTGTCTAATGTAATTTATTTTTTAAAAACCTTGATTTTAACTATTATGTATTTGTTGTTGTTCTTATGCAAGTGACTGTCAGGTCTTCAGCTTGCCATTTTTGGTGAGTCATTTCCAGTTGTGTCCTCTTTTCACCTCTCTGGCCCCATGCTTTGTATAAAACTGCTACGCTGCATCTATTGCTGACATGGAAATATAAACCTGTGCTTTTTTCTGGTGGTGTTACATCCTGGTTTCTCTCGTGAAAGGGCAAATCTGGCCCCCACCCTAGCTATAATGCTGCGTTGATTTAGGAGTCACGCCCCCATCCTAAATGTCTGTTTTGTCAACACACTCTCTTTCAGTAGCTCAGCTGATATAGTGTAGAATGTTAATCACTAACCATTGGTTCTGGTTTGATTTCAGCTCAGAAGACGAGATGTTTTATCCTCTTGTTTTCACACAGCCCTCTCACCTCTAGCCAGAGCTTTCTCAACAAAATAGAATCATAGAACTGGAGAGTTGGAAGGGACCCTGACAGTCATCTAGGCCATAGCTGTCAATGTTTCCCTTTTTAAAGGGAAATTCCCTTATTCCGAATAGGATTCCTCACAAGAAAAGGGAAAAGTTGACAGGTATGATCTAGGCCAAACCCCTGCAACGCAGGAAACTTTTTCCCAATGTGGGGTTCAAACCCACAATCCTGAGTTTAGGAGCACCGTACTCTACTGATTATGGGATGCGGGTGGCGCTGTGGGTTAAACCACAGACCCTAGAACTTGCCGGTCAGAAGGTCGGCGGTTCGAATCCCCCGACGGGGTGAGCTCCCATTGCTCGGTCCCAGCTCCTGCCAACCTAGCAGTTCGAAAGCACGTCAAAGTGCAAGTAGATAAATAGGTACTGCTCTGGCGGCAAGGTAAACGGCGTTTCCGTGCGCTGCTCTGGTTCGCCAGAAGCGGCTTAGTCATGCTGGCCACATGACCCGGAAGCTGTACGCCGGCGAGATGAGCACCGCAACCCCAGAGTCGGCCACGACTGGACCTAATGGTCAGGGGTCCCTTTACCTTTTGCTCTACTGATTGAGCTATCCCAGCTCCTAATAATTCACCTCTCTAGTCATTCAGGCCACATTAAAATCCCAGGCTATCCTCAAATCCCTACACTGGTTTGCTATCTATGGGCATCCATAGCCCCCCTGAATGAACCATAACCCCCAGATTGCCAGCTTTCACCTTCTAAAAAAAGAGTATGTTACATGCCTGGAAAACTACACTACAAAATTGAATGTGTGCGTTTCAAGAAATGGTTGTGTTTCAGTTCATGTATTGCTTTGGAAAGTGCACATTTTATGCTGTGAACTGCCCTAAGATCTACAAATTAAACAAACAAATAAACCAGTGCTGGCAATCCCTTATGCCCAGTGTTCGTTTTCTAAAAAAAATGTTTAGGGGTACTCTCATTTTGACTCAAGAAAACCACCATTTTATAGTTCAAATCAGGGAAAATAAATACAGTTAATGGACAAAAGTACAAAGATTCACAAAACGTTTAGGACAGGCATAGGCAAACTCGGCCCTCCAGATGTTTTGGGACTACCACTCCCATGATCCCTAGCTAACATGACCAGTGGTCAGGGATGATGGGAATTGTAGTTCCAAAACATCTGGTGGGCCGAGTTTGCCTATTCCTGGTTTAGGGGTATGTGAACCTCTGTGTCCCCACCCCCCCAGAAAAGAAACACTGCTTACGCCAAATGTGTGTGTGTGTGTGTGTGTGGGAATCCTATTTGTGTGGCAAGAAAACCCAAATGCATTTCCCATAGCTTCTTAGTTTGCCTGAGCTGTTTGCAACACAATACCAATATTGAATTCTGTCGCAAGGACTTGTGGGGACAGAAATATGTGCTTGTCCAGGAAATCTAGCTCCCTTCCCCTCCCCCTCTTAAAAACTTAGGTCAAACTTTCTTTTTGCTTTTTGAGGCTTCTGTGGATATTGTCTACATACCCTCAAACTTCTCTTCACAGCTAAGGTGGTCTAGAAACTTAGGGTAAGGCAACAGTTGTCTATTTTGGTAGATTTAATAAGCTTGAGTAGCTGGGCACAGGATTTCTGCCTTTAAAAGGAGAACAAAGAGAACGGGGGTTCTTGGGTCACTGCACATCTGTATCAGATGTCCGAAATCCAGTGCAAGCAACTTTGCTCTGGTACAAAGACTTATAAGCAGTTCCACACCAAATCCCTGCAGCAAGATAAAGCAATCTGCCTAGTGGCCTTTCGGTAACGCTGACCCCCATATTGCTCTCCTGCAGCCTGCTTCATTTGAACTGCCATTATATGAGCAAAGGCTCCTCACCTCTTGTCACGACAGAAAGACAGCAGGAGTTTTTTCAACATCTTGTCATGGTATTCCTTGCCTGTGACAAGGGGGAGAAAACTTGAATTCAGCAGAGAGGGAAGGGCAGTCTAAGTAACCAAAAGGGAGCAACAGTGTTCAGACTCAGAGGCCTGCTCAGAGTAGCACTAATTCAGATTCATTCATTTCAGTGGGTCTGCTTTGAGTTGGGCTTCACCGAATGCAACCCAGTGTTGTAATCAGAGTAAACGTATTAAAATCAGTGCTGGATATTTCCCTGTTGTATCTCTTCAGGGTGGCATGCATTCTTTCTTACTGCACAATTTTTTAAAAAGAGAAATGATTTTGCGGTAAAGTGTAAGAAAAATAACATGTTGACGTGGTACAAATCGGTATAATTAGCATTTTCATGAGAGAATGCCATATTGTCCCCTAGAAGCATGTAATGGAAAATGGATTGCGGACACAAAATCAATTTACCTCTGCCTTGTAAATAAACCACTAATTGTGACCGAGGCTACTGGTTGTCACTCTTGTTGATAGTGTTTGGCTTTATTTTTAAAAAATATATGATTTCCACCCTGCTTCATCCTTCCTTTCCTTGGTTTGCTCTTGTTCGAATCCCAAATCAAGAATGACTTTATTTAATTGTTTGGAAGCTGGATCAATAATGTGGCGTCTTTACTACTCTATTAAGCTTATTTGTATTAGAATTTTAAATGAGATTGACATTTTAAGCATTTTTGGTCTCCTTTCTTTAGAGGTGATTAACACATCAGGGTTAGAAATGAAGTATGAGGTTGATGTATTACTGATACACCTTAAATAAAACGATCTCTTGGATGTTGGTGTGCCCTAGAATTAGTTTTGGTTGTTTAATGGTAGCTTACTACTTCAATTTGTGCCATATTTATTTTGAGATGGATTTGGGACCACCATGGTGGCTAATAATAATAATAATAAATTTATATACCACCTATCTGACTGCGTTGCCCCAGCCACTCAACCAAAGTGGCTTGCGATAGAGAGAATATATACCAATTGAATATTGACTGTTTGCCAGATATAAAAACTTACAGTGTCTGGACCACTTCTGAAGTTGGCTCCCAGTTTCATGCTGAATCTGTGTAGCAGTAGGAAAACTTTCCTTACAGGGCTTGTTCAGGGCTTTGAATAAGTGGCCACATCCCTGCTTACTTCTGCTGTTCACTGGAAAATGTTCTGCCTGCCACCAAGTACCGTATTTTTTGCTCTATAAGACTCACTTTTTTCCCTCCTAAAAAGTAAGGGGAAATGTGTGTGCGTCTTATGGAGCGAATGCAGGCTGTGCAGCTATCACAGAAGCCAGAACAGCAAGAGGGATTGCTGCTTTCACTGTGCAGTGATCCCTCTTGCTGTTCTGGCTTCTGAGATTCAGAATTTCCCCCCCTTGTTTTCCTTCTCCAAAAACTAGGTGCGTCTTGTGGTCTGGTGCGTCTTATAGAGCGAAAAATACGGTAATTGTGAATGTGCTAGGGACAGCCTGTGTTTCTTCCATGCAACTGCATCCTCAGGCTGCTCCATGCAGACAGACTTTTAAATGTGTGTCATGCTAGTTAAATGAAAACTTAGAAGGGTAGTTGATTATATAGGGGGATTTAGAATCTGAATTAATTCATTAATTGCATCATGCTGGTCAGCTTTACAGTGTGTGTATGTAGCTACTGCATCTATGTGACACTCTGTGCTCTGGCAAGTGGGTTATGTTACCTTAAACTTCCACTTTTAAAACTTGATGTGTCATAGGCTGTCCAGGTTGATGTGGGTGGCACTGTGGTCTAAACCACTGAGCCTCTTGGGCAGGGGTCAGCAACCTTTTTCAGCAGGGGGCCGGTCCACTGTCCCTCAGACCTTGTGGAGGGCCGACTATATTTTTTTTTGGGGGGGGGGATGAATGAATTCCTATGCCCCACAAATAACCCAGAGATGCATTTTAAATAAAAGGACACATTCTACTCATGTAAAAACACACTGATTCCGGGAACATCTGCGGGCTGGATTTAGAAGCCGATTGGGCCGGATCAGGCCCCCGGGCCTTAGTTTGCCTACCCATGCTCTTGGGCTTGCCGACCAGAAGTTCAGCGGTTTGAATCCCCGTGACGGAGTGAGCTCCCATTGCTCTGACCCAGCTCCTGCCATCTAGCAGTTCGAAAGCATACCAGTGCAAGTAGATAAATAGGTACCACTCTAGTGGGAAGGTAAACAGCATTTCCATGTGCTCTGGTTTCCATCACGGTGTCCCGTTGCGCCAGAAGTGGTTTAGTCCTGCTGGCCACATGGTCTGTCAGTGGACAAAGCTGTCTGTGGACAAACGCTGGCTCCCTTGACCTGAAAGCAGGATGAGTGCCACAACCCCGTGGTCACCTTTGACTGGACTTAACCATCCAGGGGTCCTTTACCCTTTACCTTTATGCCTATGATCTTGTCTGTCTGCTTAATACATCTGATGAAGTAAGCTATTGACCAGCAAAAACTCAGCCCACATATAAACCAGTTAGCCTGAAAGGTGCCACAACATTTTAATTATATATTTGTCATCTTGCTGCTACAGACTTAATGTGGCTCTTTTTCTTGAACAGTTAGCTTAAGTGGTTCCTTAGACGTCAAGATGATTGATTTTTGCTTGCTCCAAATCTTATCTAATGTATCTTCACAGTAGAGTACTTGTACAATAGTAGTACTTTATGACACAAGTAGGGATAAAATATTTAATTCTCTGCAACTATTTTCGGGCAGAACAATGAGCTATTTGTTCTCTCTCTGTATAAAACAGGATCCAGAGACAGCAAGCCATTTGTTTGCGGAATAACTAGAGGTCACACGTGGCTTCTAAACATACTAATGTATTATAAGGTTATAATTAATTGTGTAATTCTTGCTTGCAGATGAATTTCTCTCTTCCACTCTTCCTCTCAGGTTCAGTTTTCATAGCAACTTAAATCTGTGAAGTACACAATTCTTCAGATAGGGAAATTGTGGTGCTAGGCAGGTAGTATTTCATATTCTTCTGCATACATTTTAATATAGGTCTATGTCATGGCATATGTATATATTGAATGAAATAAGAAATAAGAAAATATTTAGCAAAACTTTTCCACCGATATTTAGAAAACTGTTGTATAAAACAAACTATTGCGTGTGTGTTTTGTTTTTTTTTCCTTTTCTTTCAATCGAGCACAATAAACTTTTGTATTTGTTTAGACAGTTTTGAAAGCTAGCTTGTTCATAAGAATGTTGATGTTGTCGATCTTCATTAGTTGTAGAATGTTTTACTTTTTGTTTTACAGAAGGGGAGACATTATCTGACCCATAAGCCTTTGTCCCCTGTATTACCCAGCACCTTACAAAGTCATGATTGATTGATTGATTGATTTATATATACCGTAGCCTTTACATTAGTGACAACCAGGAATGGTCAGGTAGATTGAGATCTGCAGCTAGATCTCTGGGTGAGTTGCAATAGATCTGCAAAGGCTTCTGTCCTCCGATACTTAACCAGTGGTAAGTGAACTTTAAAAGAAAATAAACCTCTGGGTAGACTTACCTTCTGCTAATCACTTCTGTCAGCTTTCACGTTCCTCACCTAAAATAGTATAAGTCTGATGCTTCTTACTTAGATAAGGAAAGCTGTTGACTAAATAAACACTTTGCTACTTTCCCTCCAAAATATATTTACAGTACTGTAGACTTGAAGCTAAAATGACCAAATCTTAAGAGTGCTTTATTTTGTTTCATTTTTAAAAGTTTATTCCATCACTGAATTCGGATTCAGTTACTAACTCTCTGAAAGGAATTTGATATTAAGTTGTTTACAAGGTACGTTCGTGAGAATTGTGTAGTTCACACTCCCCTTTCCGTGTCTAAGGAGATTTCATGATCCCTGATGCCAGAAGGGATTTTGGTACAAAAGTGGCAATTTGTCTAACCACTGTGATTGTACAGTGGTGCCTCACAAGACGAAAAGAATCCGTTCTGGGAGTCTCTTCGTCTAGCGGTTTTTTCGTCTTGCGAAGCAAGCCCATTGACGGGATTAGCGGATTAGCGCTATTAGCGCTATTAGCGGCTTTTAGCGGCTTTTAGCGGCTTTTAGCAGCTTATCAGCTTATCAGATAAGCAGATAAGCGGCTTAGCGACTTAGAAAAAGAGGGGGAAAAGGGAAAAAAACCCCCAGGAACTCGCAAGACAGTTTCGTCTTGCGAAGCAAGCCCATAGCAGATTCGTTTTGCGAGGCACCTCCAAAACGGAAAACTCTTTCGTCTAGCGAGTTTTCCGTCTTGCGAGGCATTCGTCTTGCGGGGCACCACTGTAGATGCTTATGCAAAACACAGTGACCAGAGACTTTCATTTGCTTCCATGCCTTATGCTTGGCAATACATTAAGTACTGTGCATTAATCATATCAAGTGATGATTTCCCCCTAATTCCTTTGCAATCATTTGTGTGCCCGTCTTCATCCTCATGCAATTGCATGAAGCTACTGTGGTTCAAACGATGATTCTTTGCTTTTACAAATTGTTTGCAGAACCAGTTTACCATGTGGTCATTCAAAAATATAGTAAGGCAACTTTGTAAAGATACAACTAACCTTCAAAAACCATCTGCAGGTTTCTTTTTCTCTGGTGAATAAGAGATTTGTCCCAGTAGGGTGCATACTCAGGTGTTACGCTTAGTAGATCCTGTGGGAATGCTTGAGGACAGAACAGTAGAGACATTGACATTTAAGGCTAGAATGGAAAGTTTAAACATAATTATTTGTTTAGGTTGCCTAATGTAAGTTATGTAATTGCATGTAGGTATAATGTTTGGAAAACTACTAGTTGTGTTACTCAAAGCATTCATTATTCTCTCTGCCCAGTACAGTGCTTTGAAATTAAAGATCTCTATAGAGAAGACATTAAGTCTCCTTCACCCAAAATATAATGTTGCTGGGCAAAGGACCTTTTTAACTGCATGTACTGGAATGTTGTAACTTCTAGGGAAACATCTCCATTAGTATCAAAAATAATTATGTGTTAGTGCAAAAGTTCAGGGGATGCACACCTGATTTGACTTTGTGTCTGGTCTGGAATACTTTGTTGTGTCTGTTGTATGTTATTTCAACAAGCTGTGGGTTTTTAAAATAAAAAATATGCCTCTTGTCCTGTCTGAAATAATGGACCTTTTCCCAACCCCCCTGTATGCCTTTTCCTTACCATAATTCATGGTAAGGGTGGTATTGTGGGCAGTGCCTTCTGGGGAAGGGCGCTGCAAATTATTTTTCTAGCATTTCCTCCCCCTTGCTCCTGCTCTCAAGTTAGGGAGTGTGTGCCAGGGAGAGGGGACCATTGGAAAAGAGAGTTGTTAGAAGGACTGGATTCAAGTTCCACTTGCGTTATTAATTCACTGTGTGGGCAAGTCGCTCTCTCTGAGTTTCAATTCCCCACAAACAAAATCATGTCCTCATTGTGATGTTGCGAGGGCTAAGTACAATAAAGGCTGTGAGGTTCTTTGTAAAAATAAAAGTTCCATGTATATGTTAAAAAAGAAAGGAAAAAGGTAAAGGACCCCTGGACGGTTAAGTTATAAAAAGCAATGCCCTAGCTCAATACTTTCTACAGTACTTACACTGACAGCGACATCACAATGTCTTCAGAAAAGGCCTTTCTCAGCTTGCCTCCTTTAGATTATTTGAGCCAGGGATGCCACAAATAGGGTTGCTAAGCTTCTCCTGCTTCTCCTCCTCTTTGTGCTTTGGCAAAAGGTAAAGGTAAAGGACCCCTGGACAGTTAAGTGCAGTTGAAATTGACTATGGGGTGTGGCACTCATCTCTGCTTTCAGGCCAAGAAAGCTGGTGTTTGTCCATAGATAGCTTTCCAGGTCACGTGGCCAGCAGGACTAAACCTCTTCTGGCACAACAGGACACCGTGACGGAAACCAGAGCGCACAGAAATGCCGTTTACCTTCCTGCCGCAGCAGTACCTATTTATCTACAGTGGTACCTCGGGTTAAGTACCTAATTCGTTCTGGAGGTCCGTTCTTAACCTGAAACTGTTCTTAACCTGAAGCACCACTTTAGCTAATGGGACCTCCTGCCGCCGCTGCGCCGCCAGAGCACGATTTCTGTTCTCATCCTGAAGCAAAGTTCTTAACCTGAAGCACTATTTCTGGGTTAGTGGAGTCTGTAACCTGAAGTGTATGTAACCCGAGGTACCACTGTACTCGCATTGGCATGCTTTCGAACTGCTAGGTTGGCAGGAGCTGGGACGGAGCGACAGGAGCTCACCTTCTCATGGGGATTCAAATCGACGACCTTCTGACTGGCAAGCCCAAGAGGCTCAGTGGTTTAGACCACAGCACCACCCGTGTCCTGAATAAACAAGCACACAATCACTGATAGGTCCACCCACCATTGTGAGGCTCAAAGCAATGAAGATGATGCCTCTCCAGCTGTTGCCATTGGCTGTGGGTTTCTCGTGATGTCACAAAAGCACTTGGCAACTGAGTGGATATAAAGGCAGGCCAAGGGGAAAGCCCTTTTCTATTTCTAGCAGGACACACCTGGCAATGGATGTGACATTCAGCACTGCCCAGGTTTCTTCCACTTGGAGGAGGCAAAGTGGTGAATGGAAGGAGGCAATCCTCTGGCAGTGGGATGCTAGGGAGCGATAATAAGGCAAGTTTGCTTATGATGCACCTAACAGTAGCTTCTGGTGCAATGGAACACCATGATGGAAACCAGAGCGCATGGAAACACAGTTTCCCTTTCCGTTGCAGAGGTATCTATTTATCTACTTGCACTGATGTGCTTTCGAACTGCTGGGTTGGCAGGAGCTGGGACAGAGCAACGGGAGCTCACCCCATCACGCGGATTTGAACTGCCTACCTTCCAACTGGCAAGCCCAAGAGGCTCAGTGTTTTAGACCACAGCGCCATCCGCATCCCTTTACCTTTGCCATGTATATGATAAATTCCACAGAGGTGATGGCAATAAGTAGCTTGTAGCTTGCTAGGCCCATTGCTCAGGTTCTATGGCTCCCAGTAAGTCCATGTAGGTAAGTGGGAGAGGGTGTTTTTTGGGTTTGTTTGTTTTTTGGAACATTACTAGCTTATTTTTCAAATTTCAAATTTTCATTTATTGTGCCCATGGGTCTAGAGCAGGGGTGGCTTTTTTTGGCCCAGCCACATTGAGGGTTGGTCAGCCCTCTGAGGACTGCATGCCATCATTTGTGCATGCATGTCATACATGTGCAAACTGACACAGCACATGCACACAGTGGAGGGAACAGAGAGACTCGGTAGCATGCATAAACACTCACTCTCAGCAAGCACGCTATCTCCCCCTACCCCAACAGTGCCATGCAGAGGAACAGCACAGCAGATTTGCTCTCTAGGGTACATTATCATCATTAATTGAATTTATTTACTGCCCTATACGTGCAGGTCTCAAGGTGGTTTACAGAATAAAATCAAATTATAAAACCACAAAATAATAATAATAATAATAATAATAATAGTAATAATAATAATTTATTATTTATACCCCGCCCATCTGGCTGGGCTTCCCCAGCCACTCTCGGTGGCTTCCATAAAAATATTAAAATACTGTAAAACATTTAAAGCTTCCCTAAACAGGGCTGCCTTCAGATATCTTCTAAAAGTCTGGTAGTTGTTGTTCTCTTTGACTTCTGGTGGGAGGGCGTTCAACAGGGAGGGTGCCACTACCGAGAAGGCCCTCTGCCTGGTTCCCTGCAACGTAGCTTCTCGCAGTGAGGGAACCGCCAGAAGGCCCTCAGTGCTGGACCTCAGTGTCCGAGTAGAACGATGGGGGTGGAGATGCTCCTTTAGATATACTGGACCGAGGCTGTAATCCAAATAATAACAAAAATCCATAATCAAAATAATAACAACAACCCAATAACCCACTCCCCCCAAAACCCCACATTTTAAAAGGGCATAGGATGTCAATCAGATCAGCCAAAGACCTGGTTAAAAAGGAACGTTTTTGCTTGGTGCCTAAAGGTGTATAATGAAGGTGCCAGGTGAACCTTCCAGGGGAGAGAATTCCACAGACAGGGAGCCACTGCAGAGAAGGCCCTGTTCTCATGTTGCCACCCTCTGGACCTCTCGAGGAGGAGGCACATGAAGAAGGGCCTCAGAAGATGATCTCAGCTGCCGTGTGGAGGGAAAAAACAGCTCCAGTTGGCAGTCATTGATGGCTGCCAAAAAGATACGGTGGCTTGCAATTGTCTTTGAGAGCAGGTGCTTTGACTGCTCTCAGTAATAATTGTGACTCTCTTTAGAAGTCAACCACAGAAATTCACGTGGAAGCAAATACACAGTTTTCTTGTGAACATGGGTCACAAGAAGCAGTTTTGGGGTGCAGTTTGGACAGTAAAATATCAAAGGACCAGAGCAGACACAGCAGACAGCTCTGAAACTACCGTATTTTTCGCTCTATAAGACGCACCAGACCATAAGACGCACATAGTTTTTGGAGGAGGAAAACAAGGAAAAAAATATTCTGAATCTCAGAAGCCAGAACAACAAGAGGGATAGCTGCACAGCGAAAGCAGTGATCCCTCTTGTTGTTCTGGCCTCTGGGGTAGCTGCGCAGCCTGCATTCGCTCCATAAAACGCACAAACATTTCCCCTTACTTTTTAGGAGGGAAAAAGTGAGTCTTATAGAGCAAAAAAATACGGTATATGGTCAGTGCTAAAATGAATCAAGTCTCTCTAGCAGGAAGCTCCAAGCATTTAAACCTGTTGCTCAAGATTTGGAACATGGCCTATCTCATAATAGCCAAAATTGCAGTGCTCAGCAAGCATGCGGTCATTTCTATTCCTGAACCAGCTTCTGGGGAGAAGCAGTGAGACCTACAGTGACAGTCACAAAGTTATCTATGCATTAAAAATGCAGCTGTGTTTACAACTGTCTGATTACCTAGGTAGAGGGCTAAATTGCAAGCCAATTACAATAAGAAATACAAAGTGTTATAAATTGCATTTGGATAGCATAGCTCTTCAGTGTCTCAGATATGGACTAGGTTTGTGGGTATGTTTTAAAAATCTCATTTTATACAATAAGGCACTTAATTTTGTGATTGCAAAGCAGCTGCAGCTTTTCTCATTGATAAGAAAAGTGTTAGTTTGTGAATGCCACTTCATATTTACTTCAGCAATGTATCTCATACCGGATGTATCTGAATTTTGTGTGTATGTGTGAAACTTAAACGTAGCACCTGGAAGATATTGGTTGTACTCTTTTAGTTGCAATGTGAATTAACTGAGTTTCATTCATGCCATAGGGAGAGGCATAACTTTTAAGGGACTTCTATAATTCTCACTCCTGCCTGTTTTCATAACGCTCAGAGCTAGTCAGAATAGTTATCTCAGCCCGTGGAATTTGTGGAAGTCACTTTCATTTAGATAATGTGCTGTTCGGTTTTTTATTTAATTTGGCACTTCTTGTCAAAGCACTTCTGAGCCCGAGTCCATGTGGGACACTCAAGTTTAATAGCACTTCTCATAATAGAGGTTCTGGCAAAGTTTAGTTTAAAACCTGCACTTCATCATTTGCAAATTATGCTTACACTGACTTTGGAAAGCAAAGATCAGCTTCATGCATTTTTGTATCCACAAGCATAGTTCTGCATTATGAGGACTCCTTGGGGGACGTCACTGTGTTTGTCTTTAGGTGCCACAGGCCTCGCGTATGCTCACCTCAATTGACCTCTCATCTATTCCCCCCTACTCCAAAAATAAAAATAAAAATTGAACAATGTGACAGATTAGATATACCTAGCCAGTACTCGTGTATGGCAAGCAATGTAAGTTTTATCGAGGCTTCTCTTTGAGATTGGAAAGTGTCTTCGAGAAAAACAAGCATCTTTCCCTATGAGGCAGGGCTTCCCAAACTTGGGTCTCCAGCTGCTCCTTTGGACTACAATTCCCATCAATCCTAGCCACTGGTCTTGCTAGCTAGGAATGATGGGAGTCGTAGTCCAAAAACAACTGGAGACCCAAGTTTGGGAAGCACTGTTTCTGAGGCAATCCACAGGGTGAATTGGGGGAGCCAGCTGTGGAGATAGCGACTGCTTGTGTGGGCTGTGCTGAAATTGTTGACATCTCTTGGTAGTGGTGGCGCTGTGGTCTAAACCACTGAGCCTCTTGGGCTTGCCGATCAGAAGGTTGGCGGTTTGAATCCCCACGACAGAGTGAGCTCCCGTTGCTCTGTCCCAGCTCCTGCCAACCTAGCAGTTCGAAAGCATACCAGTGCATGTAGATAAACAGATACCACTGTAGTGGGAAGTTAAACAGTGTTTCCATGTGCTCTGGTTTCTGTCACGGTGTCCCATTGTGCCAGAAGTGGTTCAGTCATGCTGGCCACATAACTCGGAAAGCTGTCTGTGGACAAATGCTGGCTCCCTCAGCCTGAAAGCGAGATGAGCGTTGCAACCCCATAGTCGCCTTTGAGAGGACTTAACTTTCCAGGGGTCCTTTACCTTTACATTTTTACCAGTGTTGAAGGAAGAGTTGTCTTAGTAATAGCTATGTAGTGGCTTGAAAAATGCATATTATGCTGTTTGGAAGTATGTGTCATTGCTGTTGAACAGTTCTGTTTGCAAAACAGGTTCTGTTTACATTCCTTAAGCCCTCCAGGTGACTTAGCCTACAACTCCCATCAGCTTCAGCTAGCATGGCCAATGGCCAAAGATGATGAGAGTTATAGTCCAACAGCGACTGGTGGGTACTATGCCTAATACTCCTGCTTTATTTGTAAGTAGGTGAATCTGCAAAGAATTGCAGTTCTTTCTTTCTTTCTTTCTTTCTTTCTTTCTTTCTTTCTTTCTTTTCAAGGAGAGGAAAATATGAAGAGAATCACTCATTCGGTCTAACCAAACATAGGGATGCCTTTATCAATGTGGAGTTCTTGGAAGGAGTACGTGATAAAGTATAAATGCAGTTTAAACACTTCAAACAGCGAAATAAAAGTCGGCTGAAGTGCAGAGATTGCCTGAGAATTGCTATTAAAAAATTGTATATCTGCAGTCAGAAACCGGTTAACTGGAGTGTTAATAAAAGAGATGAGCTACATTGCTCATTACAGATGAAGCAGAGTTCATGGATTACAGCAAATGTAGGTTAGGTAAGTGTTTAGTTTAATTAGAGAAAAAATGTTTTAAGGCAGAGAAATCAGAAGTTAATGGGGGGGGGATGGAGTTCTAGGTATTGCAAGGTATGAGGGAGTCCTCCCTAGGAATGTTTTGGGGGTTGTTAGAGTATGTGCGAGATAACATAATCTTGACATAGTGTGAATGATAAAAACAAATGCATACTTTGTGTTCAATGGCTGTAAATGAGAGTGGTGGATTTACCAAGGATCAGTTATCTCTCTTGTTAATTAACTGCCATCTTTGGAAACAAAACAAAACAAAAAAATCACCTCCCTCCCCTCACAACATTTACACACCATTTGACTGTCATAAAGCGCCAAAGCAGTTCACAAAAGGAGCAAAACAATCAAATTATTGGTAAAGAACAGTTGAAACAACTATTATGAAACATTAAATGATAATACAATTATTTATAATTGAAGAATTACCATACATCATCGGAGAAGACTTGTTCCTGTGTCTGAAATAAAGCTTCATTTTTGCAGAACCACAAGCCTTATTCTACCATTGTTAGTATCCATCCAAGTTTGTCTTTAATTCTGACATTTTCAGAATTACTCATACCACTGTTTGAAAAACTTCCTTAATCACACATACTTGGATGAAAACACCCATTTGTCCTTGCATACAGTTCATCTCCTTTAACAAATAGACCCCTTTGTTAAAAGATACAGCCCATTTATCTCAGCTCTAGCTGAGCTAATATAGCTGTTATTTCTTCCCGGAGAATAAATTTCATAGGAAACAGCTATGGGTGGGCTTATCTCATGCAACCAGGTTGTTGTCCCTAGAAAGGTGGTGACAGTGGGAACCTTTGTAAGGTCCCGATTCATTAAACACTCTGCAGTCGACTTGTTGAGGTATGAGACTGCTTTGCTAACATTTGAAATGTTTGCCAAGACTTTTTAAAGGACATGTAAAATTTCAAAGCTTTTGTGGTGTCAGCTTTGAATAATAGGACACTCTACTAAGTCAAGGCTCTCACTTGCCCCACATATGTGGGGAATGCTTGCCCCAACTACGCCACTCCAGTTTGAACATGTACAGAATCTGTGATAGGAATTGAGCAGAGAGCCTTGTTTTGAGAAGAAGTGCTCAGTTTTTCAGAGAAGAAGAATAAGAAGAAGAGTTTGGATTTGATATCCCACTTTATCACTACCCAAAGGAGTCTCAAAGTGGCTAACATTCTCCTTTCCCTTCCTCCCCCACAACAAACACTCTGTGAGGTGAGTGAGGCTGAAAGACTTCAGAGAAGGGTGACTAGCCCAAGGTCACCCAGCAGCTGTATGTGGAGGAGCGGGGAATCAAACCCAGTTCCCCAGATTACGAGTCTACCGCTCTTAACCACTACACCACACTCCTACTCATGAATGATAGGATATGGCAGCACCTAACACTAAAGCTTTTCCCCACAAGCCTTGATAAACTGTCTTTTATGAATTGCTGCATGTGGGCAGGATCAGGCCAAGAGTATCTACCAGCTGTGAGTTGCTGCACTGCATAAACCAAGAGGGTCACTCAGGATTTCCTTTAGTGTTGTAGGGGATGCTGAGATGAAAATCTCTCATCATGCTCACTTACCCACAATGCATCATTTCTGACTCTGCATCCTTTGTGACATTAATCAGGACCTGTAGGTGGACCTCTCTGGCTGCGCGCTCCTTCACTCATGTCCTAAAAGTTGCTGTCTTAAAGCAACTAGGTTCCATGCGCAGTTGGGCCAGCACTGGATAAGGAAGAAGGATCCACTCTGTCTATGTTCAGTGGTGCTGGGTTGGGTCCTGGCTAAGTTAGTTGTGAATGGTTCCTATCAAAATCACCAGGCCGTAAATTAAGCCTGTTGAAGGAAAGTGATAAATTGGTTAATTCTCCATGAGTCAGCAGAGACGACTCATTTCCCACAAGGCAGCTGCAGACGTCTTGTAACTGCCTTATCGGTATTGCTGGGCAGAATTGGCGCATGAGGCTAGGTAGATAAGGCGCTCAGGCTATGGCATTTATTGTGGTAGGACATTGGGAGAATCTGTGTGAGACTGTGTGGAAGAGAAAAAGGAAGAGGAAGAATTGGGATTCTGGACAAGACCGAAAGTTGCAAGATTTTGAAAGCAGCTGAATTTAGGTCCAGTCGTGGCCGACTCTGGAGTTGCGGCGCTCATCTCGCTTTATTGGCCGAGGGAGCCGACGTACAGCTTCCGAGTCATGTGGCCAGCATGACTAAGCCGCTTCTGGCAAACCAGAGCAGTGCACGGAAATGCCGTTTACCTTCCCGCCAGAGTGGTACCTATTTATCTACTTGCACTTGACGTGCTTTCGAACTGCTAGGTTGGCAGGAGCAGGGACCGAGCAACCAGAGCTCACCCCATCGCAGGGATTCGAACTGCCGACCTTCTGATCAGCAAGTCCTAGGCTCTGTGGTTTAACCCACAGCACCACCCGCGTCCCCAACTCCCATGGTACATACACCCAAACCCAAACTCTCTGCTATCTAGATTATTTAGGCAAAATATTTCGTAAGTCACAACCTGCTTCTTTTCAGTCTCATCAGATGCACGAGATGTGTAAGATGACAGGGAAGGTATCTTCTGATTCTGTACATACACACTATAGCATTGGTTGTAGAGCGGTGGGTCAAGACCCACTTGGTCACAGCCTAATCCAGGCTTCCTCAAACTTGGCCCTCCAGATGTTTTGAGACTACAGTTCTCATCATCCCTGACCACTGGTCCTGCTAGCTAGGGATCATGGGAGTTGAAGGCCAAAAACATCTGGAGGGCTGAGTTTGAGGAAGCCTGGCCTAATCCAAGGTGGGTCACAACAGGAGCACTAAAAGGTAAAGGTAAAGGGACCCCTGACCATTAGGTCCAGTCGTGACCGACTCTGGGGTTGCGGCGCTCATCTCGCTTTATTGGCCGAGGGAGCTGGCATACAACTTCCGGGTCATGTGGCCAGTATGACTAAGCCACTTCTGACGAACCAGAGCAGCGCACGGAAATGCCGTTTAGCTTCCCACCGGAGTGGTACCTATTTATCTACTTGCACTTTGACATGCTTTTGAACTGCTAGGTTGGCAGGAGCAGGGACCGAGCAACAGGAGCTCACCCTGTTGTGGGGATTCGAACCGCCGATCTTCTGATCAGCAAGTCCTAGGCTCTGTGGTTTAACCCACAGTGCCACCCGCGTCCAACAGGAGCACTACTTTGATACAAATAATTTAGGTAAATTAGAACTTGTCAGCCTGCTTAGAACTTGTCAGCCTGTCTTTTAGGATGTTCTCTTCAAGTAGCAAACTGTGTTTCCTGAACTTAAATACTGAAATCACTGACAGAGCTGCTCATATGGGTAGTTTTGCAGAGATTACAGTGTGTCAGTGCAAAGTTCCTATTTCCAGTTCTCTAAATCACTTTCTGCTGGTGCAGCATACCACAAACTGGCAAATTGTTGCAACCCTAAGGGAATCTGTGACTTCCCACATAGTTTCTACCACCTCTGGAGCATAACACCCTTGCTGACATATTAAATGGTGCATTTATTGCATATTTATAAAGTAGTGTTTATTTTACGTGTTTATAATCTGGATCTTAGTGTTTATCCTTCATTATACACACCAACATTTTTTGGGGTGGGGCTTAGGGGTGACTTGAGTGAAATGTTGTAAACAGTTATCATTGCCAATACAGATGCAGCTCCACTGAGCTTAGGAACTATGTTGCTTCTGGAAGTTTAAGCTGCTTTCACTTTTGAAGGAACAAGGAAATACTGCAGTTAGGAAGATAAGGAAGGACCATTACCCAAAGAGTCCTTTTTGTGGCAAGGGCACAAGAGCTGGGGGTTCAAGAGTTAACCACAGGATTAAGCAAGTTGTTTAATTGCAGAAAGAACAAAGGTCAAGCTACATGCCATTTTTAATGTGTTGTGCATTTGCAGGTGTGTGTTTGAAAAGCATCACAGGGGACTCCTGGAGTCAGACAGTGGTTGAGCATCTGTTTTGTATGCAAAAATAAAAATAAAAATGCCTGGTTCAGTCTCTAGCATCTTCAAGTAGGTCTGGTAAAAGATTCCTGCCTGAAACCCTGGAGAGCTGATGCCTGTTCGTGTAAACAATAATGAGCTAGATCAGGGGTCAGCAAACTTTTTCAGCAGGGGGCCGGTCCACTGTCCCTCAGACCTTGGGGGGACGGCACTATATTTTGGAAAAAACCAAAAGAACAAATTCCTATGCCCCACAAATAACCCAGAGATGCATTTTAAATAAAAGCACACATTCTACTCATGTAAAAACATGCTGATTCCCGGACCATCGGTGTGAGGGATTTAGAAGGCAATTGGGCCAGATCCAGCCCCTGGGCCTTAGTTTGCCTACCCATGAGCTAGATGGTAAAGGTAAAGGTAAAGGATCCCTGAGTGGTAAAGTCGAGCCAAAGGTGGCTATGGGGTTGCTGTGCTCATCTTGCTTTCAGGCCGAGGGAGCCGGCGTTTGTCCGCAGACAGGTTTCCCGGACATGTGGCCAGCATGACTAAACTGCTTCTGGCACAACGGAACACCATGATGGAAATCAGAGTGCACGGAAATGCTGTTTACCTTCCTGCTGCAGCGGTACCTATTTATCTACTTGCACTGGAGTGCTTCCGAACTGCTAGGTTGGCAGGAGCTGGGACAGAGCAACGGGAGCTCACCCCGTCACAGGGATTTGAACTGCCGACCTTCTGATCGGCAAGCCCAAGAGGCTCAATGGTTTAGATCACAGTGCCACCCGCCTCCCATGTCCTAGATGGACCAATGGTATGACTATGGTTGGACTAGATTACCCTCAGAGTCCCTTCCAACTCTAAAATTCTATGACTTAGGCAAGAGTAGGCCACTTTCCTATATTCCTATGATTGGGAGTGCTATGATTGGTGGAGGAGGCATCCTGAAACTCCTCCCCTCCTACACTGTGGTCCTGATCAATATTCCCATTTCCCTAAACCACTGTTTGTGCTCAGAAGAAAGCTGCCAGCAGTTCAAGGTTCCCCCTCTCCCCCTGCCCAGCTTTAATCCTCACATTCCTGTGCGGCAAATTAGATTGAAAGTTACCCACAGAGTTTCGCAGCGAAGCGGGGTTTCTCCTTGGTCTCTTAAGACCATTCACAATCCACTATGTCATGCTGGCTCCAGGACTGAGCTAGGCAGCTGACTTGAGTATATTTTGCTGATATGTCAAATATAAGTACTTGGACTTGCTGTAAAGTAACATAGAGGAACTTTACTTCCAAGTAATGCTGTTTCAGTGAAGATGGCAACCTTATCACAACAATTCCTTCCCGTTTTTAGTATCATTTTTATTATGTTTTTCTGTTATACCTTGTAGAATATTAAACAACCTTAAAATATCAAGGACTTCCCTTCTTCTCTTTCTATGGTTCATTTTGTATAACATAAATCCCTGCATATTTTACATAAACTAAACCATTCAGTATTCCATAATAATACTAATACTACTAATAATAATAAATTTTATTTATATCCCGCCCTCCCCAGCCGAAGTCGGGCTCAGGGCGGCTAACAACAATAAAATAGTACAACATTCTAAAATCATTTCATTATAAAATTAATTCAACTCAAATTGATGGCAAATTACTACATCCATCAAAACTTATTTACACTGTTGAATTTATCTTAGTGCTGCCAACGTTTCCGAGTGTACACAATCCGCCCCCCATATTTTCAATAAGCATTTTTTCAATCTTCTTTAAACCTATGTTCTTCTTGTTCTCTTATTCTATATGTTAAGTCTGCAATCTGCACATATTCCATCAGTTTAAGTTGCCATTCTTCTTTAATATAACAACATCCTAGGTCTCCTACTCATATTCTCTCACAGAGAGTCACTTTTGTCAATAACAGACAATGTGAAAACCCATCTCTTTACCACTCCTTTAAAGAACTGTGATTGGATTAAAAGAAGGTAGTTAAATTAATCTAGACTGAGAAAAGCTTAGCCACTTTATCTTAATCCCTTTCAGGGTGGTTAGAGTGACAAAGGGGTAGACTGAGAACTGCAGCCAGAAAGGTATCTACTCCTGTGACTTTCAGTTTATCAGGCAAGATGTGAGTGGAATCAGGGTCACTGTGCGCAAAAGTAAAGGTGCAGATACCAGTATTTTCACTACTGTGAGTACTAAAGCTTCCTGGAATGGAATGGTCGGAATGAAACTGAAACAGGGCTGTCAGGAAAGTAGGCATCTGATTAACATAATCCACTTTGAGTGGTCTCAAATATGCACTCCAAGGGCGCTGCCAAATGGCTCCCTCCTGCTGCGATGGAGGGATGTTTGCTACCATCCAGCCTCAGGCTTCCCAGAAGACTTTTTATGTTTTGTGTTGCTAAGTGCTGTGCTGCATCTGCAACAGGCAGGAATCTCTTCCCCAAATGGGATGGAATAGAAGGCCTTCTACATGGGCTCATAGGGACGCAGGTGGCGCTGTAGGTTAAACAGATCAGAAGGTCGGCGGATCGAATCCCCGCGACGGGGTGAGCTCCCGTTGCTCGGTCCCTGCTCCTGCCAACCTAGCATTTCAAAAGCACGAAGTACAAGTAGATAAATAGGTACCACTCCAGCAGGAAGGTAAACGGTGTTTCCGTGCGCTGCTCTGGTTCGCCAGAAGTGTCTTAGTCATGCTGGCCACATGACCCGGAAGCTGTATGCCGGCTTCCTCGGCCAATAAAGCGAAATGAGTGTCACAACCCCAGAGTCGGCCACAACTGGACCTAATGGTCAGGGGTCCCTTTACCTTTCCTTTTACGTGGGCTCATGCAGACCTGGCAATGGGAAAGAGCAGTCTGTGCTGCTTATTTTGGTTATTGTTTTTAATTTCCATTTGCAGGAGGGTTTTTTTCTCCTTCAAATTACACACCCACCCACACAAATAAGTGACAGGTGTCATTTGCGGATATTGTTGTGTATTCAGTAGCTTTGACTTTATTTGTTAGGTAATATTCTTCACCAGAGCATCCCAAAGTGGGTTATGCAATAGTAAAACAAGGCCATGCATAAAGTCAAAATGGCTATAAAATTGCCATTTGTCACAAGCAATGTGAAATCACTAACATGCAGGGTGAACAACTAATCAAACATTGTCCATGATTTGCGTAAGAAGGTACTCAAGGTGCCAATCCGCTAGCCACTGACGGATGATTATCACCTCTGCTCAGAAATTGCTCATAATCCACTAAACCGTTAGCAATAACATAGTGTTCAATGTGTGTGTGTGTGTTCTACAGTTTTCATGAATAGAACTGACATAAGGGGGGGGTTGCTCCACAGTAGGTTTATGCAAGATTCTGTGGCCTGGTTACTCTGATGCTGGACACATCCTAGAATATCTTCAGCCTGTGAGTAAGAGATTCCCTCCCCCTCTTCTTTTTACCTTTCTCCTCCTGTGATGGAACTCCTACTTGGGGACTTCCCTGGCTTTTTTCTGGCCCATGTAGGACCAGTCTGGAAAGTTAGCCTTGGTGAAGACTTGACGTTTTCATCCCCCCCCCCAAAGTTTTTGATTTGAGTTTCCATTGAAATGAGGCTGTATTTTAATGTTTTAATGTTGTATTTTAATCTTGTTTTTAAGTTGTATTTCAATCAATTTGTTTTTATATCGGGTGTTAGGCTCCCTGAGCCCTGTCTTGGCTGGGGAGGGCGGGGTATAAATAGAATTTATTATTATTATTATTATTAGCTGTAGGCAAGGTTTGTTCTTCACCATGCGTCCCAGTTTAGCCAAACCTTTGCTTAGCTCAGGGTAGAAACAAAAAGGATTGGGGAGGGTCAAAGTGCACGTCTCCAGCAACCCACATGTAAGCCATAGTTTCTATTGTTTGTGTGATTCCAGGAAGCCACAGAACCAAGCCATTTGTGTTTCTTGCATGTTGTATCAGAACTGGCCAAGGTTCTGTGTTTCAAACACTTTCAGACTAAACTGCTTGGCATAGGGGGTCTTTCCTCCTTTTGAATACGTTATTTTTGGGCGTAATTGCCAGACAACTGCAAGAACCAAATAACCAAAGACTGTTTTTAACAATGCACTACTTAATAATTTTGTGTGTGTGTTGATTTTCTTAGGCCCGTTGAGTAACTGCTCTCTTTGAACAACTGTAGAGTGATTCTAATTAGGGATGAAAACTAGATGTTCATATGCATCTCTGTAGTCTGTTTTGATTTCCCCCTTGTACGTGCTCACAAAGAGTCAAAGCAGCTATGAATACATTACGTCTCCTTATTTCTGCATGCTACAGATGTCAACCTAAAGGGCAATGTTTCTGAAATGAGCACATTTTCTCCTGCGCCAGCTGTAGCCTTGGAGACTCTGGACAACCTTTATTTGCCATCAAGCTCAGTAATGCACTGATATTTTTAATTTTTTTTTAAAAAAATTTCAAATTATTGTGCATGTTACATATATGCACGGTTGTCTTTTCCGTGTAACTGGTGCAAATTCTGCCTTCCGTTTCAGATTCAGAAGTTTGTATGCATGCAATTTCTCTTTCCGGATTTGCTGTTTGCCTGAGATCTTACCCCTTCAGGGGTTTACCAGTAGTACTATGCTATACAGCTGGCTCAGATTCAGTTTACATCACAGTAATCCAACTGTGAGGCTAGCAATGCATGCACAATTCCAGCTGTTAAGCTACCCAATGCAGGAATGGTGCATAGTCTTACCAACCGAAAATGGTAAAAGGCACGCCTAGCGACTGAGGGGTTCACAAATTAAGAGAGGCAGGTAGCTGCCTTGGAGGTGTTTGCTGACATTGACAATTTGCCAGAATTATGTTTAAACACTTAACTCATATCTCATTCTTGTTTTGATACTGCATGATCTTGCTGACCCCCATCCTGCTGATATAGAAAGGTAAAACAAACCCATACTGACAGTACATAATTTAACTGAGTGTACAACACAGCATGATTTTTTAAAAAAATACTGTACTTGTTTACAGCGAATGTAGTTGTGAGCTACCAGCCTTCATTTTTATTTGCAGCATCTCATTTGCATGCCCCTCCCCCTTTCCTTTCTGCTGTCCCTGCCATTAAAGACCCCGAGGCATATCTCCATAAATCAATTTAGTGCTGAGACAATTTAGTGCTGAGACAAACATGCATTAGAGTTGGAAAGGATCTAGACAGCGTGCAATTTAGCCCAACTCTCTGCATGGAAGATGATATGGTCTGTACCTAAAGGCACTCTCAGCAAATGCCAGTTCAGCCATGAAAACTTCTGTGGCAGAAACAGAGAGCACCGTATGTGAAAATTAGGATTTTAGTTTTCACTTTTAGTATTTTTCCCACCAGAAAAAGCTCTCTATAAAAAGCAATCTACGTATATGTCATCTGAGCTGGTGACTTCATGTCTAAAAAACATAAGATTTGCTCACATTTTCTTAGTCTGTACAATTGATAGCTATCGTCACTTGAACATTATGTTTTTTCTTTCTTTTTTATAATTTTTTATTGGTTTTACATAAATTTTTACACAATAACTGTAACCATTCCAAAACATTAAAAAAAAGGTTCTTTCGAATCTACAGACCTCCTCCCCTCCCTCCATGGGTTCCATTTACAAAGATTTTATCTTTTTCTTTTTTTCTGCATCTTTTACCGTTATCCATCTGTTACATAATCATAGTAACCAAAATTCATTTCACATTACAAGTGTCATTGTCTCCCTGCCAATGATTTTGACTGTCTACGGTGGCCTTTTAAGTACGGTATGTTAAAAAGTTACAGTGGTACCTCGGGTTACATATGCTTCAGGTTACAGACTCCGCTAACCCAGAAATAGTGCTTCAGGTTAAGAACTTTGCTTCAGGATAAGAACAGAAATCGTGCTCCGGTGGCGCAGTGGCAGCGGGAGGCCCCATTAGCTAAAGTGGTGCTTCAGGTTAAGAACAGTTTCAGGTTAAGAACAGACGTCCGGAATGAATTAAGTACTTAACCCAAGGTACCACTGTATTCCAATCTTTTAGGAATACTTGAACTTCCTGGTTTCTGATCTTTCCCATCTGCCTCACCATATTCCATCAGCTTGGTCTGCCATTCCTCTCTGGTCCGCACTTCTCCTTCCTTCCATCTTTGGGCTAGAAGCATTCTTGCTGCCGTCGTTGATACATAATCAGTCTTTTATTTTCTTTTGGTAGTTCCTCAGAACGTTATGTTTTTTCAAACCTAGCCCTGGTGTTTGTTGATTTTGTCCTATTCTCTGTGGATATAGGAGTATAGGCATCCAATATCCTTGCTTCTAGTACCCTTTTGAAGTATTTGAAAAAATTTGAAATACATATAGTTAATGAGTGTGAACCGGGAGCCATATGGTTTGAAGCTGGAACTTAACCTAGTGAATTTCTTGGCTCTGATCATGCTCAGGATTTGGTGCCCTCTTAGGGACAGGTCAGAATAGAGATGTGAAAGAATAGCACCTTATGTTTGGCACGGGTGGTACTGTGGTCTAAACCACCGAGCCTCTTGGACTCCCTTATCGCTCCCTAGCATCCTACTGCCAGAGGATTGCCTCCTTCCATTCACCACTTTGCCTCCTGCAAGTGGAAGAAACCTGGGCAGTGCTGAATGTCACATCCATTGCCAGGTGTGTCCTGCTGGAAACAGAAAAGGGCTTTCCCCTTGGCCTGCCTGTATATCCACTGAGTTGCTAAGTGCTTTTGTGACATCATAATAAACCCACAGCCAATGGCAACAGCTGAGGAGGCATCATCTTCATTGCTTTGAGCCTCACAATGGTGGGTGGACCTATCAGCGATTGTGTGCTTGTTTATTCAGGACGCGGATGGCACTGTGGTCTAAACCACGGAGCCTCTTGGACTTGCCGATCAGAAGGTCAGTGGTTCAAATCCCTGTGACGGGGTGAGCTCATGTTGCTCTGTCCCAGCTCCTGCCAACCTGGCACTTCAAAAGTACACCAGTACAAGTAGATAAATAGGTACCACTGCAGCAGGAAGGCAAATGGCGTTTCCATGCGCTCTGGCACTCGTCGAGGTCCTCCGTGCACCAGTAGCGGTTTAGTCATGCTGGCCACATGACCTGGAAAACTGTCTGTGGACAAATGCTGTCTCCCTCAGCCTGAAAGTGAGATGTGTGCCGCAACCCCATAGTCGCCTTTGACTGAACTTAATCGTCCAGGGGTCCTTTACCTTTACCTTTTACCTTATGTTTGGCAGACCTGGTGTGAACAGGAATGCCCTCCTAATCTTGCCTGGTCAACAAAGTAGTGCTTTCTGTATGCCATTCTGCATCACCTTAACTTCAGCAACTGAGCATGACACAAGCTCAGCCCTGTATTTGGGTAAAGCCATTGGGACTTCAATCCTGCGCTGATGTTTCCAACCACAATTCCTGCCATGTCTCTCCTCTTGTAAATCTACAGCTGTGGTCTTGCTAGTGCTGATTCATTATGCTAGCTTGTTGTTTTTCTGCAGCATTTCTTCAGAGTAGCCTCTGCAATGAAGAAGACGAAGAAGAACCATTTCCATTTACTAAACATTGCTGCCTGTACTGGGTGTTTAGAGGTGCAAGAGAGCCTGATTATGAAACTGGGCAATCAGAAATCTATCTGTTTGCTTTTAACCCTCCAAATGGTTAGGCTAAATAGCAAGAACAGATGGGGAAGCAAATTCATCATGGTACTGTGCTCAGCAAAGCATGACAGGGCATTTAACCTTAAATAGATTTGATCTGGTTTCATGGCGTTCTTTCATGAATTTCTAAACAGCGTTTGAAATACCTCTCTGGTAATGAGCCTCTGAAGAGCAGTACATTGGAGTTATGATATGCAAATATCTTTTGTTTCCACAATAGAAACAGACTTATTAATATTCATATATAATACAAACTAACTTTGACAAAAGGTGCCGGTGCTTTATGACCCTCAGTTAATTGAGTGAATTATTTTTGACAGTAATTATTTCTTCTGCTGCCCCTACTGGAATTAGTAGTGTTTATGGCATCCAGTCTACCTTTAATTTAGAAGTAGAATAATTTTCTGCTTCTTGCTTTTCTGGCATTGGAGGAACAATTCACTAGTTAATATGAGGATGAAGGCCATTGTTCTTATCAAAATTAAAGGGGAATTGTTCCATTGGAAAAATACTTACATGTTGAAACAAGTTAGATGTTTGCAATGGACAAAATGTCTAGGTTATTCTAGATTAGAGCTTTTATTGTATCGTAGAACATGATCTTCCATCTAGAATATTTTTTTATTCCTGCAATATGCTACATTTCTGTCATTTTTGAGTACCATCTTGGGGGTGGGGACTGCAACCCTTTTTGTAAGCTTCTTTGTAACAACAGGCACCTGTGATTGGCAATTATGTTTGAGTCTTCTTTTATGAATACTGCTTGAGCATTTATTTCCCCTAGCTTTTAATGTGGCACACTAAGATTAAATTGAATGTGTATGGTTTGCTCGAACTTTAAGGAGGTGGTGGCTGAGGAATTATGCCCATGTTTTAAATTCAATTAAGACCACTAAGAGTACTACAGTGGTACCTCGGGTTACATACGCTTCAGGTTACATACGCTTCAGATTACAGACTCTGCTAACCCAGAAATAGTGCTTCAGGTTAAGAACTTTGCTTTAGGATGAGAACAGAAATCATGCTCTGGCGGCATGGCAGCAGCAGGAGGCCCCATTAGCTAAAGTGGTGCTTCAGGTTAAGAACAGATTCAGGTTAAGTACGGACCTCTGGAACGAATTAAGTACTTAACCCGAGGTGTGAAGTAGACCCTAATTTCACCTAAGGGTTGAAATAAAATTTGCATGTAAATGCATCTTTCATTATCTGTGTTCATGTGTCTAAGTCCAAGATGCAAATACAATAGTGTTTACAAACTCTTATACGCTGTTGTAAAGCTGGGTTATACCATCTCAAATATGGTAAGGCTTTGTACTTTGCCACATAGTTTGACACACAGTGGGACTTCACTTTCACGTAAATTGGTTCAGTGTAAGGACACACAGTTGTCCAAGGGGCCAGGAAAAATAACTAACACTATTAAGGGGTAAGGTTTAAAGCAAAACAAATTAAGTTTTCAGAGAGTTTAAGAGGTGTGCATGCAATTAGATTTGTTAATGTAGAAAGTCCATTTATTTCAGCTCTGTTTAATGGTAGTTGTTTGGACAGCTAATTGATTTTTTGTAAGGCCCATTAGATTGCTAATAACTTGCAACATCTGTAACACAATCCACGGGGATGTTTATTTACAACCATCTTTGCTCATGTTTTTAGCAGGACTGTTGCACCTACTAATCAATCATTTCTTCATTATTTATAGGGTTCAATATTTTACCTTTCGTGCCAAAAGAAAGTGATAAAATAAATGGCCTGCACAGTTACTTACATTTAGTACCCTATGCATATATAACAAGGTGCCTTTTATTTTATTTTTAAACTGTAATTCCGTTGAAACATACTGTAGCACATTCTTTTTATAATTATTGGAAGCATGTCAAACTTCGCTGTTAGGTTTCTTCCTACTCTTCCTGCAAGAAGAACTTTGTCATAGTATCTTGATTCCCTTGGGTGTGTCGTAAATGGTGCTCGTAATGAAACAGAAATTTCTCAGAGGTTTTCTGGTCTTGGTGTACTGCTAAATAATATTCATTGGTCCTTCAGGCACATCTCTGTGTCACTCTTCTTCCAACCAAAGTTTGTTTTTGTTATTGACAGAGCCAAATATTAAATACATATGTATCGTAGAAGCACAGATAATCCTTATGCTGATAGCTGTCCTGAAAACCAATGATGATTTAATAATAATAATAATAATAATAATAATAATAATTTATTATTTATACCCCGTGCATCTCACTGAGCTTCCCCAGCCACTCTGGGCGGCTTTCAACAGAAATATTAAAATACAGTAATCCATCACAGTGGATGTAGCCTACCTTGATTTCAGCAAGGCATTTGACAAGGTGCCCCATGATATTCTTGTAAAGAAGCTGGTAAAATGCGGTCTTGACTATGCTACCACTCAGTGGATTTGTAACTGGCTGACTGACCGAACCCAAAGGGTGCTCATCAATGGTTCCTCTTCATCCTGGAGAAGAGTGACTAGTGGGGTGCCACAGGGTTCTGTCTTGGGCCCGGTCTTATTCAACATCTTTATCAACGACTTGGATGATGGACTCAAGGGCATCCTGATCAAATTTGCAGATGACACCAAACTGGGAGGGGTGGCTAACACCCCAGAGGACAGGATCGCACTTCAAAACGACCTTGACAGATTAGAGAACTGGGCCAAAACAAACAAGATGAATTTTAACAGGGAGAAATGTAAAGTATTGCACTTGGGCAAAAAAATGAGAGGCATAAATACAAGATGGGGGACACCTGGCTTGAGAGCAGTACATGTGAAAAGGATCTAGGAGTCTTGGTTGACCACAAACTTGACATGAGCCAACAGTGTGACGCGGCAGCTAAAAACGCCAATGCAATTCTGGGCTGCATCAATAGGAGTATAGCATCTAGATCAAGGGAAGTAATAGTGCCACTGTATTCTGCTCTGGTCAGACCTCACCTGGAGTACTGTGTCCAGTTCTGGGCACCACACTTCAAGAAGGACACTGACAAACTGGAACATGTCCAGAGGAGGGCAACCAAAATGGTCAAAGGCCTGGAAACGATGCCTTATGAGGAATGGCTAAGGGAGCTGGGCATGTTTAGCCTGGAGAAGAGGAGGTTAAGGGGTGATATGATAGCCATGTTCAAATATATAAAAGCATGTCACATAGAGGAGGGAGAAAGGTTGTTTTCTGCTGCTCCAGAGAAGCGGACACGGAGCAATGGATCCAAACTACAAGAAAGAAGATTCCACCTAAACATTAGGAAGAACTTCCTGACAGTAAGAGCTGTTTGACAGTGGAATTTGCTGCCAAGGAGTGTGGTGGAGTCTCCTTCTTTGGAGGTCTTTAAGCAGAGGCTTGACAACCATATGTCAGGAGTGCTCTGATGGTGTTTCCTGCTTGGCAGGGGGTTGGACTCGATGGCCCTTGTGGTCTCTTCCAACTCTATGATTCTATGATTCTATGATTCTATGATCAAACATTAAAAGCTTCCTAAACAGGGCTGCCTTCAGATGTTTTCTAAAAGTCTGGTAGTTGTTGTTCTCTTTGACATCTGGTGGGATTGCTGCTACAGGTCACCTTTGAAAGAAGGCACTGTGGTCCGTGGCCTGTCATTTGTTGCTGCAGTATTTAAGTTCATATTGTTAGTGCTTCTACAATGCCAAATTACAACATGTTTAAGTGAGCTGAATTTTAACAGTAGACGTGGTCTTCTTGAACTTGCCAAAAAAGCTCAACAACTTTGGTTTCTGGACTTTCACTTTTTGAAATATGGCAACCCTATTCTTGGAGAAGTTCTTTGTTGAAGTTCTCACTTTATCCTGGTTTAAAATGACAGAGAAACTTCCATCATCAGTGTTTTTCTCTAATTATGAGGTGAGGAAATTGTCTTCTAATCTTCTAAGGGTCATTTCCTTAGTTTCAGTTAGCTTTTATAATGACACTTCAGATAATAATATTTGAAAGGTTTAGAAGTTGTCACACCTAACTGGATACTTGCTTTGAATCAACTGTAGCCAAAGGTGACCCTCTTATTGTCTGTAACGGTTCTGGGTTAATACAGCTACAAGATGCAGTCATTTGTTCCAGTAAAAAAATATAGTCCCGTCAAGCATTTAAGATTATATCAGCACGACAATGAACCATTGTAACACGGTACTAAATGAATTAATATGAGATCTATGCTTTCACAGCTGAGTATTCTACCAATCTATGCTGCTTTTCCATCACCCTGTTTTTCCTACTCTTCTTCTGCCAGCTTTCTCAAAATTTGCCCCATGCAGTTGCCTTTGATACTTGTTACTACATTTGAAAGTTTACTGGCACTACTGTAGACTAGTTCAAATGTTCAGTTCCTGGTAGAAAACATGATTCTGCTTCCTTTTGATTGCGTTTTGACACAAGGCAAAATTTTGCAGGGAATTCAATTAAACCAACCAGTACTCTTGTGAAAGTCCATGATTTTGTTACCCAGGACTGAATTCCCAGATCATTCCATTTCATTGTCTCCTGTTACATTCCACGAATGACTTTTTTTGACGCAATGTTTTCGCACGTATACCATTTTGCCAGCTATTTTGCCTTGTTGGGTGAAGAACACTGCAGTCTTCAGGTCTCCAAATCCCAAGATGTGGCTTGAAAAGTTTGTGTGTGTGTGTGTGTGTGTGTGTGTGTGTTTTAAATAAAAATAATAATTGTATGCCTAATTTGATTATTTAGAATAAAACCATTTTTAAAAAGTTACTGGATTCCAAATAAATGGTCTTGAAGAGCGTTTTGCTTTCTTGGAACAACTTCTGGCAGACACATGTGACTTGTGAAACTTGGGCCGTATTCCCTGCATGACTCTTCATATGTAAATAGTCATGATTGAGTGGCTGGGATTGTTCAAGTGGGAGGGGACAGCAAGCGCTCTATTCTCTCTGTGTTTGTGCACTGAAAAAAAGATAATGAAGGCCTTTGTACCCCCTCCAAAGACCTGCATTTCAGCAGGAATTGGCTGTGCAGCTGCAACCCTGGCAACAAGACCTGGCAGAAAAGAATTAGGGCAGTCTTCCAAAATGCAAGGCAGAGAGAGAGAGAGATTTGGAGATGCATGAAATGCCAAGCTTCTGCGATAAGCAAAGAGAAGCACCTTCCTGAGGCATAAGGGTAGATTTTTGTTTTCTTTCTTTGTTTTGAAAGAGCTAAATAGCAGCTTCCAGACTGCTGCTGTTATGTGTGTAATCTACTTATTATATATGGTGAGCTGGAGCCTCAGAACCTGTATGACTGCATGAAGAGGATTTGCATGCATGCGAAACTTTTTAAAACCTAAGCCAGTTTCAGATCCCCCCTTTCTCACCCTCCATTTCACTAGGTAGCCTAAAACATCAATGTAGAGGGTGTGTGTGTGTGTCAGGGCTGGATTTAGGTTTGATGAGGCCCTAAGCTACTGAAGGTAATGGGGCCCTTTATATGTCCAGCTGTCTTTTGTCAACAACAAATTGCTGCTGTTTTTGTGTGTTGAATATATGCTATGTGGTAATTTATGGACCTAATAGGTATCTAAAGCCATTTGCGCATGCAGAATGTAGGCACCCTATATATAGAAATGAGCAAACCAGTGATATTTTAGGGACCAGGCTAGCTTACTTACATCATAAAGGTAAAGGGACCCCTGACCATTAGGTCCAGTCGTGGCCGACTCTGGGGTAGCAGCTCTCATCTTGCTTTATTGGCCAAGGAAGCCGGCGTACAGCTTCCGGGTCATGTGGCCAGCATGACTAAGCCACTTCTGGCGAACCAGAGCAGCGCACGGAAACACCGTTTACCTTCCCGCCGGAGTGGTACCTATTTATCTACTTGCACTTTGACGTGCTTTCAAACTGCTAGGTTGGCCGGAGCAGGGACCGAGCAACAGGAGCTCATCCCGTCCCGGGGATTCGAACCGCCGACCTTCTGATCAGCAAGTCCTAGGTCCTGTGGTTTAACCCACAGCTCCACCTGCGTCCCTTACATCATAAGAGCCTACAAAACACAGTTGCTGTATGTAGGTTTTATTTTATTTGTTTTTTATCTTATATGTTGGAAGTGTACATCCAGGTTTTTTTCCTTTAATTTTTTGGGGGGTCCCCAAGAGAGTGGGGCCCAAAGCTATAGCTTGTTCAGCTTATACGTAAATCCGGCACTGGTGTGTGTAAGAGAGAGAGAGAGATGCACTGATTAAAAAACACAACAACCCTCACTCTTGATACTTTAAAACCTCAATGTAATACTTTTAATTTCTCTTTCTATCCCATCTGTCTGTTGATGCAACTTTTAGAAGGTTAGGGGTAGATGGTGTAAACTCTTGCTGGTGAGCAGTACCTATTGTAGAATAATCCTTTGACGGCATTAACTCAGAATCTTTCATTGGGAATAAGATATGTGTGTCTTCAGCCATGTGATTTGCTGTTTGCGTAAGCACGGGTTTAATAAGGATAACAGTGCTGATGTGAATACAATAGGCTTCATTAATTACCCAGCTGTTTAATGTGATTCCATGAGCAGAGTTGCACTACTGGCTTGGCAGGAGATGGGAGTGCGACTTCCCCCCAAAAGCAAGTCAAGTAGTGATACCTTGTGCCAAATGATCTGAGTCTGAGCAGCACACAGATAAGAGTTGGGGTGAACTAGCCCCTGATTGTTCATGAAAGGGTAGAATGAATCTCTGGAGCACAAGAAAATGACATTACCCATCCTAGTGACAAACAGGGAGTTATGAATCTGGCTATGCATTGCAAAGCAATGTTGCAAGCATACTTCACCTCTGTATATTAAACTGTGAGGAACTTTCAGAAATTTGGGTTAATGCAAATTACCTTTTTGGTTTCTCTTGTCATTCCTGGCAAAATCAATAGTAAACATCAGTGGAGGTCTGTCTTTTTCTGAATAGTAAAAATAAAATAAAAATCCAGTGCAAAGTAGGTTAAGTGCTGGGGGTTTTGTCTGTTGGCCGTAAGAAGTTAGTGGCAATGATAAGTACTTTCAGTTCTCTTTACAGGTAGGTAGCCGTGTTTGTTTGCCGTAGTCAAAAATAAAAATAAAAATAAAATAAAATAAAATAAATTCCTTTCAGTAGCACCTTAGAGACTAACTAAGTGATAAAATGCATGCACACGAAAGCTCATACCAATAACTAACTTGGTTGGTCTCTAAGGTGCTACTGGAAGGAATTATGATTATTTGTTTTGTTTTGTTTTGTTTTGTCAGTCCTCTTGTTCTTCTCCATACTTTTAATAGGAATGCTTTCATGCATATCCACACAGAAGGCAGCAAGGCTGTGGGGAAGGGGCAGAGGACCTGGCTTAGAGGCAGAGCACATGCTGCAAAGGTCCAAGACTCAATTCCTGGCATCTACAGGTAGGACTAGGAAGACAGGCCCTTGCCTGAAAGCTTGTAGGGCAGCTGCCAGTCTGGGTCAACAGTACTAGGGTGGATGGACCAAGGATCAGACTCAGTGCAAGATACCTATCTTCCTGTGTTCTGTGCAATCAGAGCATTTTTGCAAGACCTCATGGAACTAATAGGGTTTCCTCTGTTCAGGTATAGAAATGGATTTTAATGCAAAACTAGGGAGTGCAAAAGCAATTTAACGCTCCAAGATGCAATTGCCAGGCTTAAATGATCATCATAATACTGCCGAAATATTGGGAAATTTTGGAACAAGACGGAGATAGACTGAAATTGCAGAGTTTTGAAAAACTAAAAAACAAAGTGCGAGACTGGCTTCATTATTATCAAATAATGGAGGTATTTAAATTGGACAGGAAAATTGGCTTCCAGGTGGAAAGATCCAAATTAGAAACAGAATTGCTAGAACCCAATACCAAGAACTTGTCAAGAATGTATAACCTGCTGCTGAAATGGAATACTCAAGATGAAACGGTAAAATCGGCTATGATTAAATGGGCACAGGACGTTGGTCATAACATTATGTTTGCTGACTGGGAACAGTTATGGACCACAGGTATGAAATTTACGGCATGTAATGCCTTAAGAGAGAATATTATGAAAATGATATACAGGTGGTACATAACCCCAGTCAAGCTTGCGAAAATCTATCACTTGCCCGATAACAAATGTTGGAAATGTAAAGAAATTGAAGGTACATTTTTTCACCTTTGGTGGACGTGCCCAAAGATTAAGGCTTTCTGGGAAATGATATATAATGAATTAAAAAAGGTATTTAAGTATACCTTCCCAAGAAACCAGAGGCCTTTCTCCTGGGCATAGTAGGCCAAATGGTGTTAAAAAAGGATAGAACTTTCTTTATGTATGCAACAACAGCAGCAAGAATACTCATCGCAAAGTATTGGAAGACACAAGAACTTCCCACGCTGGAGGAATGGCAGATGAAACTTATGGACTATATGGAATTGGCGGAAATGACTGGTAGAATCCGTGACCAGGGAGAAGAGTCGATGGAGGAAGACTGGAAGAAATTCAAAGACTATCTTCAGAAACACTGCAAAATTAAGGAATGTTAGAGTGATGTTGGACTGAAAACAAGTGGTTTCCAGCTGTACAGGTTAAAGTTAAGGATAGATTAAGATTAAAGATCAAGATTAAAGATGTTTAAAGAAATGGAAATTTGATAATAAAAGGGAAAAATTTAAAGCTATATGACATTAAGATCAAGGATTAGGCTTAAAAAGTTGAAGTTATATATTTTAACGTTTTATTAAATTAAAGATTGAGATTAAAAAGTGGAAAAGAAACTGCTGGACAAATAATGTGGATTGGAATACAAAAGAGGGAGGTATGAGGAAGTCCAGAAAATAAGTAATTTAAAATTGGAAATGGAAAAGAGAGTTTGTTTTTAATTGTTATGTTTTGTGTTTTTATTGTTAAGTTTTGTATTGTTTTTTGTGTGTGTTGTTTTTCTTTTTTGTTTGTTTAAAACCTTAATAAAAAATTATTATAAAAATAAATAAATTAAATGATCATCATAATACTGTCTAGAGCCGTGGTTCTCAACGTGGGGCACACAGGGGGGCAATTCGAGAATGAGTTATAAACAGTGAATGGCCTTTTAGGCCTCCTCCACGTGAATGGGAGTTCATTTTTTGAATAATAAGAATTTTATGTCTCGGGGGGTGGCATCAGGATTTTAGAGATGCTTAGGTGGGGCATGCCCAAAAAATGGTTGGGAACCACTGAGCTAGATGGTTATTATATAAGGCCATGATCCACAGGTGTCCACGAGAAGCAAAAATACCACTCATGCAGATATAAACATAGCCTTGTGCAACTTATGTGTACGATTGACTGAGGCTTCGGTCAGCAAAGGAGCTTGTCAAGATGCAGCTTAATTTCCCCCCTGCAAGCAACAGAGTTTGGAACCTGCTTTTGCGTACAGAAAGACTCCTGCCGAAAACCTTGTTCAGTTACTGTCAGTCAGTTTCAACAGCACTGTGCTTGATGGACTATTGATCTGATCTTGTATAAGACAGCTTTTCTCTTTAGTTTAGTTGGTGTACCTGTGTGGCAGTGCTGATAAATAGCAGCCCATGTCCTTTACGCGTCACTTGCAGATGTGCTAAGTCTGATACTTGGAGTTTTTGACGGGGGCCCTTCAGCCAATGTCTGCCTACAACGTCATCCCGTTTCCCTTTTATCTCTTGTCAACCCACACCAGACTGGGGCTCTTGCAGAAGCCCACTTGAACTGTACAGTCTGCAAAAGGGAATGTGTGCTTTGAGTCCACGATAAGAGACCTGCCTTTGAATGGCATCTATTCAGCTTCCTTTACAGATCTCTTTATCTTAAAGAAGCTGTTATCTGAACACGCTCCTGCAGCCTTCCATATGCATAGCATTCTAACTAGTACAACTCCCCTTTCAGCAGCTGTAATGTGATTTCACATGTAACAGCCTTCCCACAAGGGTATAGTTGTGCTACTGTTGCTTTTAACACTGTGTAAAACCAGATTAAAATGTGTCCTTTAATGCAGATTGGACAGAGCTGCTGTAAGTGAGCCAACATTAGTAGTAGTAGTAATAGTTGTTGTTGTTATTTATTGAATTTATATATCGCCCTACATGGGACGCAGGTGGTGCTGTGGTCTAAACCACTGAACCTAGGGCTTGCCAATCGGTAGGTCGGTGGTTCGAATCCTCGCAATGGGGCTCCGTTGCTTGGTCACAGCTCCTGCCAACCTAGCAGTTCAAAAGCACGTCAAAGTGCAAGTAGATAAATAGGTACCGCTCCGGCAGGAAGGTAAATGGTGTTTCTGTGCGCTGCTCTGGTTTTGCCAGAAGCAACTTAGTCATGCTGGCCACATGACCCGGAAAAACTGTCTGCGTGTGTGACCCTTGGCAAGTAAAGCAAGATGAGCGCCGCAACCCCAGAGTTGTTCGCGACTGGTCTTAACTTTACCCTTTTTACTGCCCCATACCTGGCAGTAAATGTTTGACGCTTTAGCCTTGAAATCATATACATTTAACATCCCGTTATTATGGATCTCGTTTAGCTGCTGTTGTTTGCTTCGCTATAGCAGCAAGTCCCTGAACAGTTCTGCTATGGTAACTCTGAAACCATATATAGGTGAGAGGAGGGCTTTTCCCCCAGTTGGAATTCACTAGAACTCTGTTCCGGCACCTCTCAGGTGGGCGCCGTTGCCATTATAAGAGAACACAGGAGGCATTCATGGTGAGTTCTGGCGCCTCTTTCTATTAAAAAAAGCACTAGGTTGAGAGCAGATTGAGCTGGAGAGTGTGTTGTGGGCTTTTATTTGATCCTAGCAAGCTTTTAGCCACTGGGATTCCCCACTGTAGACACCCACTGCCCCTTGTTTTCTTTATGGCCTGGCAAAATAATAATAATAATAATAATAATTTTTATTTATACCCCCCCTCCCCGGCCAGGGCTGGGCTCAGGGCGGCTAACACCAAATATAAATTACAATAAAACACAATAGGGAACCCCCCCCCAAAAAAACACAACAGTTAATTAAAATGTGGCTTAAAATGCAGCCTCATTTTAGTAGTAGCCCATAGATGAAGACCATAAAGGGAGGAAACATCAGATATTCACCTGGGCCAGCTATCCATGCTGGTCCTACATGGGCCAGCAAAAAAAGCCAAGGGAAAAATTATATACCAAATCTCATATAAGGGGTCAGAGTGATTCTAAGCCGAAGGCCAGGCAGAACAGCTCCATCTTGCAGGTCCTGTGGAAAGATGTCAAATTCCGCAGGGCCCTGGTCTCTTGTGACAGAGCATTCCACCACGTCAGGGCCAGTGCTGAAAAGGCCCTGGCCCTAGTTGAGACCAATTTAACCTCCTTGAGGTTCGGGACCTCCAAAGTGTTGTTATTTATGGACCTTAAGGTCCATAAATGGACCTCTTCAGAGTGATGCTGCCCATATATCTGAATACATATTATGGACAGCTCGAACTGAAAAGCTTAAACTTCAGCTGACCACTCTTTTTGAAGGTTGTCTGAGTGCCTGGCTAAGAGGATTTTTCTCTCTCCTTTTATTTATAAAATTGTTGACATCATCGTAGCATTTTACTAAAACACCTGCGTGCTGCTGCTTCATGTAGGCCAGGAATAATTTTGCCGGAAGCCATGCCAACAGGTGCTGATCTCACTGAGATCAGATTACTTTATATCTGTTCAGCTATAATCAGGAGCATTAAAGCCCTAATGGATGTATTGAGTGATTGGTACCCAGATATATATATGCTGACAAAGCACCAGGACCTATACTTGGAATGTTATATTTAATATATTAGCTCAACTTGAGGCACAGGATGAAAGTTATAATATGAGCTGCTTGGTTAACAAGCAAATTGTGGAGTTACAGTAGAGGCAATAAAAATGTCATGTTTAAATCTTCTTTACTGCCCTCATACATGCACACACAGCAGATTTACAATTGTACTGTGCCCTTCCCTGCCGGAGAATGGCTTGTGGTGTATGGTGCTGAATTCTTATATGTAATGTCAGCCAATTCTCAAAGCAATACTTATCTCATGTCCTCCAGAACTGGGAAACAGTAGGCACATTGTTAGGTCTGCTATCCAGGTCCACAGCATGGTGAGATACTACCTTTGTTTTCAACATGAGGTAAGCAAATGAAGTGTTATTTTCCTTAGATGTAGATCTAGTTGTAAACACCCCCCCCCCCGATTAGACAAGAATCAAAAGCTTAAGCCTGCCAGTTATTGTTGTTTTGAAGCATATTGCAGGCTGGATTTAGTTGTGCTATTGTCCAGCTTTGATATGCATTCTGAACTTCCTGTGTTTTTTTTGCAGTTTACTAAGACTGTTATTTTGGTTACAAATAACACGCAAGCCTTAAAAACAAATTTGCAGATGACATGAAGCTTGGAGGGATAGCTAACACTATGGAAGACTCAAGATTCAATTGATCTAGACCAGGGTTTCCCAAACTTGAGTCTCCAACTGTTTTTGGACTACAACTTCCATCATCTCTAGCTGGCAGGAGCAGTGGTCAGGGATGATGGGAATTGTAGTTCAAAAACAGCTGGAGACCCAAGTTTGGGAAACCCGGATCTAGACAGATTTGGAACACTGGGCCAAAACCAATAGGATGATAATTCAAGAGGGATAAATGATAAAACCCTGCATAGGTGCAAAGAAAGCAAACACATGTACAGAATGAGGGTTATCCGCAGGGCCGTCTTACCCATAGGTGCTAGGGGTGTGGGGCACCCGGGTGCCGGGCTCTCAGGGGCCAGGCCGAGAGTCTGGGGCCCAAGAGTTGAGTTTGGGAAAGAGCCCGCCCGCCCGTCAGTTGGAGCGCTGCAGCGGGCTCTGCGCCGCAAGTTCGAGGGCGACCGAGCCAGTGAGACGCTGAGGTGGCCAGCTGGCTCCACCCTCCTGCACGCCTGGGACTGGGCAACCGGAGGGGGGCGCTGGGTGGATCTTTGTACCCCGGCACCACATATTCTTAAGAAAGCCCTGGTTATCAGGTTTGGTAGCAGCACATGTGAGACAGTTCCACATCATCATCATCATCATCATTATATTTATTTATACCCCACCTTTCCCCCTATTTACACCAGCTGTTTACAACATATTTGCAATCTCCCAGACACTCCAGGCTATATATCTATATATCATCGATATATCGATATATCGATATCTACTTGAATATATCATGCTTGAATTCCATGCATCTCAGTTCCTTCTCCTTTGTTAATGCAATTTACCCTTGTCAGGGAAAAAAAATCTGATTAGTACTACTGTGAGGACTGGTATAGATGTGAAAACTCCCAAGGTGACTATTGGATGTCTATGGTCAAAAGGCCAAACAAACTGAACTGTAAAAGTTCTGTTTGGATTTAGAAATCAGATTGGAAAAAAAAGTAGTGTGTGCCATTTGCAAACGTCAGAAACAACCCCAAACTCTTCCCACACCCACTCAGCACCTATACAATGAATCTGCATCCACCACAAAATAGTCTGTTACATCCTTTCACTCTTTCAGGGGTTTGCTGCCTTGACTGGGTCCTACGTTCTATGTTCCAGCAAATTAGGCGTAGCAGACAAGATAGGGCCACAGTTAATTAGCATTGTATTTTCTCTTAGATGTAAACTATAAGTTGTAAACTAACTTTTATAACGAGATTGAAGCAGCTGTTCTCTTAATATCATTGTATATGTGCATACTGTGTGATATATTTGAGACTGACTCAGGGCGCAGGCTTAGAGGTGCAAAAATAACCACTGCAGTTTTTCCCATCTCTGAAATGTTCTCCTTAGTACCGACCTCAGGAAAAATAAAATCGTATATTGTGCAAAAGTTGAATTGAGACCGTAAGTAGATAACTCCTGACATATTTCAGTCATAGCAAAACTAAAACTGCAGCTTCTGGTCCATTTTGCATGCAACTTTCTTAGGTTTATTTTTCCCCCCAATTGATCAAAACAAACTTGAAGCAAAACTGATTGAAGAAGCAGGGGAAGAAAAATATAGGTAATCCTAGTGGGTTGAAAGCCAAATTGAGGATAATCTATTCATGTTGTATTGCTGTTCCATAATCGGAAGGTGATATGTTCAATTGTTTTTTCAGATATTATGAAATGAAAGCTAAAACAGAAACGGTAGATATGGATATTGTTTGAAACCCAGCAATCTTTTAAATGACAAAATTATACATTGCAGAGTACGCAAAAATCAATGGGCTAAATCAGATTTTCATAAAAATGTGACAGTTTGCTTTATTTAGAGCTGCCAGAATATTTTGAGACTTTTTGAAACATTACTTGCGCAAGCTACTTGTGCATTTAAAAGATAAATAATTTATTATGATACTTGGTGCCTGGCATCGCTGGATAAATACTTTACAATAGATGGAAATGTGGCTTGATTGTATTACTCATAGGCAAACCAGCGCTCAGTTTAGGTCTACCACTCTCAGCTGCTGAAATTTTTTCTTGTTTTGTAAATCAGATTATGTTTCTTGGGAACTGAATTTTTGTGTGCATGATGACGTCAAATGGCTGAGTTTTGTCAACAGTGCTGTGCTTGAAAATGGGAGTTGTGCGTGCACTTCTTCACTAGATTGCAGAAGTTTTGTCTGTTAGAATTTTGGGTATTGTTCCCTTAGCAGACTGTCTGTTGTGATAAGAGAAGTGGAGCAAAAATCTTTGCAAAATGGGGGGAGCCAGACATATTGCTGGTGTGTTCTGCTCTCTTTCTCTCAGCTTTCCTTTGGAGCAGTGCTTAACTGAGAGGGGCTGGGTTTCATCCCTACCTGGAATTCGTGCTACTGACTTGGATGCCCTTCATCTGATGAGTGCTGATGGATGAGATTAGAGACCATGAGAATAAGTAAATAAAGGAGGAGGCCAAGTCCTGCACATTTTATTTATGGTGATCAGAGCATATGGGGAGGGACATAAAATTGGCTTTCCTGGTCCCTTAAATGGTTGTCCTACTCCTCAAACAATACAAATTTGATCATATAGTTGACATCTTGCCTCTCACCTAAGTGTTAACTTCATTTTAAAATGAATATTGTGGTTATTATTTGGCAAGCCAGGTGTAGGTGTGTCATGTGTTGGACTTCTTGGGTAAACAAAGTTCAGGAGGTGGCACTGACGTGTATTATCTTTAATCCAAGTAAGCTATGCATAATAACCAGTGAGGGAAACTTATTTTTAGAAAATTATAGGGTAGAGATGAAAAATTCAGAGTTATAAATTCAGCGCAGATGCTGCATTAACGAATGTCTGTTTCCAAAGCATTCACATTTTCTTTAATTACTTCACTGATGCTATCTGTTGTGTTGAGATATAAATGGTTTGCATCATTTTAAAGCTGGGCAAAGGCCTGGAGGATGGAGAAGACTTAAAATCTTTTTCAGGTTCTGCAGATCCAGTAAAAATCTCCTTCTAGTCAAGCGTTGTCTAGTACTGTAACACTCACAAAGCAGCGAAAATCCAAAAATAACCACATTACTTACAAGACCTTAAATAGTCATAGGCCCCGTTAGCTGCAAGAGGAAGTGGTGTGGGAGTAACTGCAACATGATGTACTGTGTGAAAGAGAATGGTAATGGGTAACTTTAAAATACACAGACTTTTAGATTATGATTAATGTGGGGAAGACATGCATTCATTTTGCTTTTGAGTGCAGGGGCCAATCTAATTCAGGCATTAGTTTTAATATCTAATTCAGTGCAATATAGTTTTAATAACTGACTGTGCACAGAACTATTTATAACCTGTTTTATACTAAAGAATGTTGTGGGTGGAGAGACCTGTCAGGAGTAAGCATGGACCAAATGGTATCAAATACTATGGGAAACAGCCCTACTAGAAAAATTAACCAATAAACTGAAACTGACATGGGGACAAATAGAAGAAGATACCACAGAGCCTAGGACTTGCCGATCAGGAGGTTGGAGGTTTGAATCCCCATGACAGGGTGAGCTCCCGTTGCTCGGTCCCTGCTCCTGCCAACCTAGCAGTTCAAAAGCACGTCAAAGTGCAAGTAGATAAATAGGTACCACTCCGGTGGGAAGGTAAACGGCGTTTCCGTGCGCTGCTCTGGTTCGCCAGAAGCTGCTTGGTCATGCTGGCCACATGACCCGGAAGCTGTACGCCAGCTCCCTCGGCCAGTAAAGCGAGATGAGCGCCACAACCCCAGAGTCGTCCGCATCCGGACCTAATGGTCAGGGGTCCCTTTACCTTTACCTTCACCCCGGTATGGCTCCCCTTTATCACATACACAGCCCAACAAGACAACGACAAGAATCCGCCAACAGCATACGAATCAATATGGCTAACCTGATTCAAAAACACCCACCCACCCCACTCACACATGGAAACGAAGTTCACCACAGCCAGTCACAAAGAAGCAACTGCACCCTAGGCCAACCCCAATTTCTCTCACCACCAAAGGAGCACAAGCGAATAGCAAAGAGAACCCGCACAAACAACGCAGACACAAAACCCCACATATACATTAAGCAAATAAGAAACATCGCCTCCCAACCCCACCCCTACTCGCCTCTCCCCCCTCCACCTCTTCCCCCCATTTTCTAACCCTCATGTCTCAACAGATGAAACTGACCTATGGAAAATGTAACTTGAAAAAAGAGGCATTGCGCATACCTTTGTAAACCAATAAAACTTTAATAAATAAATAAATAAACAAACAAACTGAAAAAGAAGAATGGTGAAGAAGAAAAAAGAGGAATGGTGGAGGTGGGGAGAAATGTAGGAAAGTTTCTATTCTACCCACATCCATAACCAGCAAGGATAGGATAATTCTTCAGAGCTCTTTTGCAGCATTTTGTATGCTGCAGTAGTTTTGAAGCAGGCCTGCCCAGCCTATGAATGTGATGAATGGAGGGGCAAATGTAGTCTACAAAACCAGGTAGCATAGTTTGCCAGGTACTTGACAAACCTCCTGTTTTATCCACACTGTGCAACCTAATTGGGGGGTGGGGAATGATCCAGGGAAGGCCCAGGCTAAATATAAGAATATCACATACATTATGGAGTTCTGTGGTATCTTCTCAATGTTGCTGTGATAACATTTAGAAATGGCTGAAGTGAATTACATGACTCCCACAGCAAAGGACCCATGGGTGGTTAAGTCCAGTCAAAGGCGACTATGGGGTTGCGGCACTCATCTCGCTTTCAGGCTGAGGGAACTGGCGTTTGTCCACAGGCAGCTTTCCAGGTCATGTGGCCAGCAGGACTAAACTGCTTCTGGCACAAGGGAACACCGTGATGGAAACCAGAGCAAATAGAAACACCGTTTACCTTCCTGCCGCAGCGTTACCTATTTATCTACTTGCACTGGCATGCTTTCGAATTGCTAGGTTGGCAGGAGCTGGGACGGAGCAATGGGAGCTTACCCCGTCACGGGGATTCAAACCACCAACCTTCTGATCATCAAGCCCAAGAGGCTCAGTGGTTCAGACCACAGCACCACCCATGTCCCGAATAAACAAGCACACAAAGGTCCACCCGCCATTGTGAGGCTCAAACCAATGAAGACAATGCCTCCCCAGCTGTTGCCATTGGCTGTGGGTTTCTTGTGATGTCACAAAAGCACTTGGCAACTGAGTGGATATAAAGGCAGGCCAAAGGAAAAGCCATTTTTTATTTTCAACAGGACACACCTGGCAATGGATGTGACATTCAGCTTCTGGCACAATGGAAACCAGAGCAAACGGAAACACCGTTTACCTTCCCGCCGCAGCGGTACCTATTTATCTACTGGTGTGCTTTCGAACTGCTAGGTTGGCAGGAGCAGGGACTGAGCAATGGGAGCTCACTCCGTTGCGGGGATTCGAACTGCCAACCTTCTGATCGGCAAGCCCAAGAGGCTCAGTGAAGCATCACCTGCTTTATTTCAGCTAGAAATGGCTGGAGTAAATTACATGACTCCCACACTAGCATCTTTTGGCCCCTTGGGAAAATAATACTGTTGTAGAAGAGATTTTTTGACGTTAGAGTTTTCTGATGGAGCTGTCAGGCCCCATGAGGTCCAAAAGCAAGGGTCCAGTAGAAAAGCTATTTCCTTCCATTCTTACTATTCCTGCCCCACTGCGTAATGTCTGTACATGATCTTGGAACTCAGTCCAGGCTACAACTGTGCCATGGTCGGAAAGCAAAACAAAAACAAAAAACCAACTTCTTTGCAAAGCAGGTAGCTAAAGGAAGTCCACCGAGTTGCAGACCTCCCAGTAAGGGGGCACACATGCCCCATATGATCAGAAGAGTTAAGGACGTAGGAAACATTTGAAGTCCCATTTCCCTGTTTTTGACATCAGACACACCTGTCCATTCATTCACTGGCAGACAAGAAACAAAAATAGTCCATTGTACGCACAACTCAAGACAGTGGTGGCCCTGGGCTGTGACTTGTTATTTCCATTACTACCAGAGTATGGCATCAAGGCAGGCATAGGGTTTCGCTAGCTAACAGACCCTGAACTACTAAACGTGCCCCAGCAGCTCTGCCTCCACCCTAGTGGGGTAGGAAAGCTGAAAAAGAATCGGATCTGGCAACCAATGCACCCCTTGGGCTACAGATAGTAGATGTGTAGACGAGTCTAAGAAGCCAGGGACACAAATTTTCAAGGCTCTCTAATGGCTATGGTGGCTCATTTGCTGGAAGTTAGCGTAACTCTGGGAGTGTATACCGTATTTTTCGCACCATAGGACGCACCGGCCCATAGGACGCATCAAGTTTTTTGGGGGGGAAATAAAGAAAAAAAATTATTTCCCCCCCCCAGGCGCTTGTGGGGCCGGCAGCGGGGAGAAGCGCTCTTCTCCCCGCCGCCCGCCTTCAGATCAGGTCCGGGGACAGCAGGAAGACGCGCTGCGTCTCCCAGCTGTCCCCGGAGCTTGGGGGCAGGCAGCGGGGAGAAGCGCTCTTCTCCCCGCCGCCCGCCTTCAGATCAAGTCCGGGGACAGCGGGAAGACGCGCTGCGTCTCCCAGCTGTCCCCGGAGCTTGGGGGCAGGCAGCGGGGAGAAGCGCTCTTCTCCCCGCCGCCCGCCTTCAGATCAAGTCTGGGGACAGCGGGAACACGCGCTGCGTCTCCCAGCTGTCCCTGGAGCTTGGGGGCAGGCAGCGGGGAGAAGCGCTCTTCTCCCCGCCGCCCGCCTTCAGATCAAGTCCGGGGACAGTGGGAAGACGCGCTGCGTCTCCCAGCTGTCCCCGGAGCTTGGTGGCAGGCAGCAGGGAGAAGCGCTCTTCTCCCCGCCGCCCGCCTTCAGATCAAGTCCGGGGACAGCGGGGAGACGGGCTGCACCTCCGAGCTGTCCCTGGAGCTGGGGGCAGGCAGCGGGGAGCGCTCTTCTCCCTGCCGCCCGCCTGAGATCAGGTCCGGGGACAGCGGGAAGACGCGCTGCGTCTCCCCGCTGTCCCCGAGCTCGCGGGGCAGGCAGGGAGAAGCGCTCTTCTCCCCGCCGCCCGCCTTCAGATCAGGTCCGGGGACAGCAGGAAGACGCGCTGCGTCTCCCAGCTGTCCCCGGAGCTAGGGGCAGGCAGCGGGAGAGCGCTCTTCTCCCCGCCGCCCGCCTTCAGATCAAGTCCGGGGACAGCGGGAAGACGCGCTGCGTCTCCCAGCTGTCCCTGGAGCTGGGGGCAGGCAGCAGGGAGAGCGCTCTTCTCCCCGCTGCCCGCCTTCAGATCAGGTCCGGGAACAGCAGGAAGACGCGCTGCGTCTCCCAGCTGTCCCCAGAGCTTGCGGGCCGGCGGCGGGGTCTCCCTGCCGTCAGCCTCCAAACCACTTCGGGAGACAGCGGGATGGCGGCGTTCCGCCTCCCTCTGTCCCCGACCTTGTGGGGCTGGCGCTGGGGTCTACTGAAGCCTGGAGAGCGAGAGGGGGCGGTGCGCACCGACCCCTCTCGCTCTCCAGGCTTCAGTGAAAGCCTGCATTCGCACCATAGGACGCACACACATTTCCCCTTCATTTTTGGAGGGGAAAAAGTGCGTCCTATAGTGCGAAAAATACGGTACTTGATGTTGACCAAAGGAAGCCTCTTAGAGCAAAGGCCTAGGAAGAACTCAGTACAGTGGTATTTCAGGTTAAGAACTTAATTCGTTCTGGAGGTCCGTTCTTAAGCTGAAGTACCACTTTAGCTAATGGGGCCTCCTGTTGCTGCCGCAGTGCGATTTCTGTTCTCATCCTGAAGCAAAGTTCTTAACCTGAGGTACTATTTCTGGGTTAGCGGAGTCTGTAACCTGAAGCGTCTGTAACCCGAGGTACCACTGTATAAAGGTAAAGGTACCCCTGCCCGTACGGGCCAGTCATGTCCGACTCTAGGGTTGCGTGCTCATCTCGCTCTAGAGGCTGTGAGCCGGCGCCATCTGAAGACACTTCTGGGTCACATGGCCAGCATGACAAAGCTGCAGCTGGCGAGCCAGCAGCAGCGCAGCACATGGAACGCCGTTTACCTTGCCGCTATAAAGTAATACCTATTTATCTACTTGCACTGGTGTGCTTTCGAACTGCTAGGTGGGCAGGAGCTGGGACCGAACGACGGGAGCTCACCCCGCCGCGGGGATTTGAACCGCCGACCATACGATCAGCAAGTCCTAGGCACTGAGGTTTTACCCACAGCGCCACCCGCGTCCCTATACCACTGTATACACTTATATAAACTAAGCCTAGGAGTCTTAGTTTGGTCAGAATCGACCATAACCCAGTTGGCAGTGTTGCACATACTGCCACCCCCCCTCTCTCTCTCTCACACACACACACACATACACAGAGTGTGTATTTGAAGCCCAGACAAGCGATACTCAGTAGACAAACCCTCATGATGTGTTAACACCTGCAGTCGTCCTTCTTCCTCTGGTTTTCTGTACTCTTTATCTCTTCCTCCCAATACTGAAGCAGCTGCATTACCACATTTCCTGTCTGAAGTTGCAGCAAAGAAGCAAGGCAGCCAGAAAGCAAGAAAAGAAGGGTTGATCCTTAAAAGTGAGCCTCTTAAATATTTAAAAATTGTGCGAGGGGGTTTCTGCTCTTGAATGGTAATAACTTAGCAATTTCATTTGGATGCTGCCTTTATATTCAGATAGAGGGAGAGGGGTCTGCAGCCTGACAAAAGCTATATTTTTTTCTTACGCCGCGTTGTGAGAGTTTATTAACATTAAACTTCTGCTGCCGCTCTGAAATCATCCTGGTTCCAGTCTGTTCACTCTGAGCAATGCTTTTACTTTTCCCTGCTTCAGAGTTACAACTATGTAACCTCCCCGCTCTCAGTTAGTAGCTTCATGTTCTCCGTTGTTACTCATTAAGAGGTTTGATTAAGGACTAAAAAAATGCTGCTTTGAGAGAGACAAGAACCCTCTCGTTCATTAGAACGATGAGGGTACATGCAGCTTGAAAGTGTTTTTGTAATTATTAGGCATATTTTGCTCCCAGCTCCTTGGCAGGCTTTGAGATGCATCCAAGTAGGGACTGTATAGAGATGCTGTTAGTCTTTGGGGCCGTATATACAGTGGTGCCTCGCAAGACGAAAAGAATCCGTTCCGCGAGTCTCTTCGTCTTGCGGGTTTTTTCGTCTTGCGAAGCAAGCCCATTAGCGGATTAGTGCTACAGTATTAGCGGCTTAGCGGGCTTAGCGGATCAGCTGATAAGCGGCTTAATGATAAGCTGATAAGCGGCTTAACGATCAGCTGATAAGCGGCTTAGCATCAGCTGTTAAGCGGCTTAGCCATCAGCTGATAAGCGGTTTAGCGGCTTGGGAAAAAGGGGGGGGAAAGGAAAAAAATCCCGCAGGAACTCGCAAGACATTTTCGTCTTGCAAAGCAAGCACATAGGAAATTCGTTTTGCGAAGCACCTCCAAAACGGAAAACCCTTTCGTCTTGCGGGTTTTCCGTCTTGCGAGGCATTCGTCTTGCGGGGCACCACTGTATACAGTGCCAGATTTACGTATAAGCTAAACAAGCTATAGCTTAGGGCCCCACTATCTTGCCCCCCCTCCAACAAAGAAAAAAACTGGATGTAGATTTACAAAATATAAGATAAAAACAAATAAAATAAAACCTACATACAGCAACAGTGCTTTGTGTTGTGTATGGACCTATTAGGTCTATAAATTTCCATATAGCATATATTCAACACAAAAAACAGTGACAATTTGTTGTTGACAAAGGACAGCTGGACATATAAAGGGACCCATTACCTTCAGTAGCTTAGGGCCGGCACCCCCAAACTCAGCCGTCCAGGTCCCTAGCTAACAGGACTCTCCACTGGTCCTGTTAGCTAGGGATGATGGGAGTTGTAGTCCCAAAACATCTGGAGGGCAGAGTTTAGGGGTTCCTGGCTTAGGGCCTCATCAAACCTAAATCCGGCCCTGCATATATGCAGCGAGTGGGATTTGCATGCTCATGGCAGCGCTTTGCAAAGCCATCACGACTGCAGAAATTGCAATGGCCACGAAGGTAGCCACCATAAGGAAGCACCATTTCAAAGAAACAAGGGCGTGTCGCAAATTGGACAGCAACCCTTTGTGCCCTGATGCGCTCCCCTATGGACTGAATTGGCACTTGTATACATTATAGTCCCCAGCTAATACCATAACCCTGCCCATGAATTGAAAGGGGCTGGAGAGGCATCTAAGCTCAATTAGTTGATATGTATCTCCTCCTTCATATGTGTCCGTTGCCTTTATTTTGTTGAGAATTTGCCCTGCCGAGTTGTGCGTGGCACATGCTCCCTATCATTTCTGACGGAGGTCTTTATTTGCTGCCCTGGTGGCATTGTTGGTTTAAGGTTGGTTGGTTTCTTTTTAATTTCTATAAGGTTGCCTTGGATTGATTGATTGATTTATACATACATACATACATACATACATACCCCGCCCATCTAGCTGGGTTTGCCCAGCCACTCTGGGCAGTACCCAACAGAATATTAAAAACACGATAAAACATCAAACATCAAAAACTTCCTTAAACAGGGCTCACCTTCAGATGTCTTCTAAAAGTCAGATAGTTACTTATCTCCTTGACATCTGATGGGAGGGCATTCCACAGGGCAGTCGCCACCACCGAGAAGGCCCTCTGCCTTGTTCCCTGTAACCTCACTTCTCGCCATGAGGGAACCACCAGAAGGCCCTCGGAGCTGGACCTCAGTGTCTGGGCTGAACGATGGGGGTGGAGACACTACTTCATTTATGGGCCGAGGCCATTTAGGGCTTGAAGGGTCAGCACCAACACTTTGAATTGTGCTCGGGAAAGTTAGTTGTGCTTATTTTCATTGAAATAAATGAGAAGTAAGTCAATAACTTGATGGGACCTAAGGACAGCTAGCACACCTGTTACTTTGGTTGTAATTTTATTATGTGTACTAGTAATATTATTAGTTTCCTTAATGTAAGAACTTTTGCCTGCAATTCCATGCCTTGTTTCCCATGTTCAACAACTAGATTCCTTTGGGAAGCCTACAAACATGAGGGCAGTGGCCCTACCCTACTGTTGTTCCTCAGCAAGTTGTATTCAGAGACGTGCTACCTGTGATCCTGAAGCTAGAATACAACCATAATGACTAGTAGCCATTCTTAGCCCTTGATAGCCTTATCCTCCAAAAATTTGTCAAAATCACTTTCAATTGGTGGCCATCAATAGGGCTGGGCGATATCTGGTTTTCAACATCACGATATATCACCAGCTAAACATCACAATATATAGCTATATCACAATGTCTGAAATAAGGTTGGAACTATGTAGAGGCAAATAGGAGGGCTGGGTGATACCTGGTTTTCAACATCATGATGTATCACCAGCTCAACATCACGATATACAGTGGTACCTTGGTTTAAGAACAGCCCTGTTTACGAACTATTTGGTTTACAAACTCCACAAAACCGGAAGTAGTGTCCCGGTTTATAAACTTTACCTCGGTCTACGAACAGAAACCGAACTGTGGAAGGGCACCTGCGGCGGGAGGCCTCATTAGGGAAAGTGTGCCTCGGTTTACGCACGGTTTCAGTTTAAGAACAGACTTCCGGAACGGATTAAGTTCGTAAACTGAGATACCACTGTACTGATATATCATGATGTCTGAAATATGGACGGAGCTATGTAGAGGCATTGGATGGCCTCACGTTTTTCCCCACATTGTGATTTTTGCATACACACATACACACACACACACACACACACACACACACGATTTGTGATATACTGCCAGGTTAAAATTTATGAAACTGATATCACAATGTGGACTTCAAACCGGTTTTGGACAATATTTTGCCCAGCCCTAACACATTTCATGATTCGCGATATATTGCCAGGTCAAAAATTATGAAACCGATAGCACCAGTTTTGGACAATATATTGATATATAGCCCAGCCCTAGGTGTCACTACATCTTGTGGTAGTGAACTCTGGAGGGTTGTGTGAAGAAATATGCAAGTAATGGGTGTCAAAAGCCTCAGTCTGAAAGCATAGGCATATTTGGCTTAGGTACCCATGTTAAGTTAATAAACCTGGGATTAGGTCCTTACATATTGCCTCACAGAGGAAAAGGTTTTGGAAGTTCCCCTCTGAAAACCTCTCTCCTCTTTCACCTGTAAGTTTACCAGGTGAACCAGGTGATGTTGTTAAAGGAAGGCAGTTGCACAGTTTCAGTGGGGAAAACAGCAAGCTCTACAGCAAGCTCTTCAGCCTTGGTTAGTCATCTATGAAATGAGAATAATGGTCCTGTTTCTCACACCACAAATATAGTTGTGGGTGAAGAAGATAGGGAAGCCTCTCCAATTCTGAGCTTTAGTGCTAGATGTAAATCTAAGTTCTTAATAAATTCATCACTCTAGCTAATAAGATTAGGGATATAAAGTGATTAGGAGTGCATTGCAAGAGTCTTCTTTACCTAGAATGCCGTTGTTGAATTATGCAACGCTACAATTTTAGCCAATTAAAAAATATTGGTTGTCTGCAACTATACTTCAATCTTGTTTAAGGGGATAATCTCATGGGCCTTCATTAATCTGAGAAACCTAGACAGGCAAGAACTGTACTACATGTAATAATTTGGTTTGTCTCTCAGAGTGCAGCATTTAGGTCCTGAACTTTCCTCACATTACGCTGCGTTTCCCAAAGATCAGTATTAATAAAAAAAAAAAAATTAGAATGCTTGGCATCTTATTATACTTATGCACAGATAAATGTATTTTTTAAATGTCATATAATCCCCTTGGGGTAGCCACATGTCCTGTTTTACAGAGGGCAGTCCTCTGTTTGAAGGGCTTTCTGGTCCAAATGTTGTTTAAAGATAATGAACATCAGGAAGAAGGGAGAGCAGCAGGCCCCTTGATGTAATTTTTATTTATTTATTATTAATTCAATTTATATACAGTGGTACCTTGTTTTGAGTCCGGGATCCGTTCCGGAGCCCCAGACACTTGATGAAAAGGGTGCTCGACAAAGCACCGCTGCGCAGCATGTGCAAAGCGCAATTTAGCTTTTTTGCGCCTGCGCGAGCGGCAAAGCCAGAAGTAACCCATTCCGGGTTTGCCAGAGATGTCTGCCAAAATAGATGATGGACAGGGCAGACTTATACGGAGGTATGACTGTACCACTCTTTATCAGAAGATCCCAGGGCAGAGTACAACATTTCAGAACATCAATGCTAAAAATGAAATAAAAACTTAATAAAAAGCATACTGACAGGCAGCCTAATAATAAAATAGTTATCATAATAACAGTCCTTTCCCCCACACTTTCCCAGGCCATAGATTATTTAATAGCCATAGGCCTGGGTAAAGAGGAATGTTTTTGTCTGGTGACTAAAGACATGTAGTGATGGCGCCAGACAAGCCTCTCTGGGGAGAGAATTCCACAATAGGGGATCATTATTATCAATTTACAGTGAGGTGGAAGGTTCACAGGCTATGAAGGACTTGTTCACAATTTTTTTGACAGCTGCATGCATTATTATAGCTAGGAAGTGGAAGGGGCAAGCAGAATATAAAATGGAAGAATGGTATAAAGAGGTGTGGGATATAGCTATTAATGATAAATTAGCATGTGCCATTAAAGGTAAGACGGGGAATATGAGGGGGAAATAATTTTGTGGAGATATGGAAGGTGTTTGTAGAATTTGTACTGTTGAAACGGAAAGGGGTCAAACCATCGCAAGAGACGCTGAAATTTTGGGAGGTTGGATAGTTACAGTGGAATGGTCTCGGTCGTGGGGTGCACATTTTTTATTCTTATTTATTTATGGTTATTACTTTGTCAAAATGAAATAAAAAATTAAAAGGAGAGAGAGAAAAGAAAAATAGAAAGGCTGTGAACTCGATTCAGCTCTGGTACTCCAAATAAATTATTGTGCTCAATATAAAAATAAAATAATCGGGGAGCCACCACAGAAAAGGCCCGTTTTCTTGATGCTCAGAAACAGTTAGCACCTGCATAATACCCAAGCACACTGTCTTCCCTGCTATGTTTTTTGAGCAATGCAAAGTTTGTCCCGAATGTTTGAGCCCCTTCTTCCTCAAACCCCACCAAGAGTATAGCCACCATCACTTCACTTTCTCAGAACCAGAATGTTCCAAACTACTTTTTCTCCCCACGAACAGCTTAATAACTCCATTTCCGAAAAACAATAAAGATTAATTTTTTACCTAGAGGAACTAGTTGTACTGTCGCAAACTTCCTTGCTTAAAAATCCAGTAATAATTATACGCCTGACTTAGCTTAATTATACTTCATGTAATAAACCTGTGCTTTCATGGCAGTATTTATACAGGAAGTTCTAGGAATTAATTGGAGTGCCTGATCTGCAGGTGTTGGAACCGGCAGATGGAAACACACATTTAGAGGTAGATTTTCCCGTCTCTCGCATGAGTCGTCGAAAGCTTTGATCCATTCACCAGAAGCAACATGCAATCTGGGCCAAGAAGGAAAAGTTGCTGGCCACACATTCGGCAGTTGTGTGAGTTGGCCCTCAGCCTCCCAAACTGTGACTGGCAGACAGGCTCTGGCTTTCTCTATAGCATCCGGTGTCAACAGACTGGGCCTGGTTCTTGCAGTCATGGAGGAAAGAAAGAAGTATAGTCTTTTCTTAAAAAGGTAAAGGACCCCTGACAGTTAAGTCCAGTCACAAATGACTCTGGGGTTGCAGCACTCATCTCGCTTTACTGGCCGAGGGAGCCGACGTTTGTCCACAGACAGTTTTTCCAGGTCATGTGGCCAGCATGACTAAGTGTGCTGGTCCCAAGCGTTAACCGTGCGGCAAGGTCCGAGTCCAGTCCGAGGTCGAGGGTGCAGTAGGGAGGCTGTCCATCAAAACTGAAGCTGGGTCCAAGGCAGGGAGTCGGGTGAGGTCAGGAACTCTGGCAGAAGAGCAGGACAGGGTGCAGGCAGGAACAGGCTACCAACAATGTTGCTCCCGCAACCTGGGACTGGGGCTGGCTGGCTTTTATCTGCCCCGAGGCATAGGGCGGCCCCGGTCCACAGGTGACTCGCCTCTCCTGGCCTGGAAGTGAGCACTCTTCCTGCGGGAACTTAGTTCCCTCCGCCTCTCTGCCCTGAGCCTCTGCAGCTCAGGAGAGGCTGGAGGATTACCGGACTCAGAGGCAACCTCAGTTTCCTCTGACGGGGCTGAGAGTGGAGCACCTGCAGGCAATGGGTCCTCCATCACCTCTGGAGCCAGAGCAGACACAGCTGGTGCCTGCACCTGAGGATCCAGCACAGATGAGGACCCTTCAGGCTCATGCCCCAGCCCCGGCTCAGCTGGTTCTGGAGGTGGGGAATCCTGTGCAGGCTGGGATCCCTCAGGTTCAGCCTCCGAGTCCGAATCCCAGGCCATCACACTAAGCCAGAATGACTAAACTAGAGCAGCGCACGGAAACGCCGCTTACCTTCCTGCCAGAGCGGCACCTATTTATCTATTTGCACTGTGTGCTTTCGAACTACTAGGTTGGCAGGAGCTGGGACTGAGCAACGGGAGCTCACCCCGTTGTAGGGATTCGAAACACCAACCTTTCGATCGGCAAGCCCAAGCGGCACAGTGGTTTAACCACAAATTGCCCCCTGCCTTCAGAAATGCTTGTCTCCTTAAACTATGGAAGGTAACACTACTACTCCTGCTACAAGAATCAATGTGAAAAGAACCAGCTAGATCCAAAATCTCAGTTGAGATCGCATTCTAGATCTAGATCAAAATCCAGATCCAGGTCATGGACTAGTTCTGAGTCCAGTGGTCACCAACAACGTACCTTGTTTTTTTAGGCATGTATTATCCAGTCACACAGTTGAGTTATTATGTTGCAACATTGCTTAAAATAACTTCTGTCTGTTATCCTGTCAGCAGACAATTAATACTATTAAAACACAACCTTCTACAAAAGAGTCCACTTTGTTAAATGTCATGGGCAGCTACTGACGTCCTTGTGGTGTTTATTTGTATATATTTTTGTAAAAGACTTTGATTTTTATGCTTCAAATATCAATGGTACATTGATTATGACAGTAGTTTACAGCAGGGGTCAGCAAACTTTTTCAGCAGGGGGCCGGTCCACTCTCCCTTAGGCCTTGTGGGGGGCTGGACTATATTTTGGGGGGGAAAAATTGAACAAATTCCTATGCCCCACAAATAACCCAGAGATGCATTTTAAATAAAAGCACACATTCTACTCATGTAAAACATGCTGATTCCTGGACCATCTGCAGGCTGGATTTAGAAGGCGTTTGGGCTAGATCCGGCCCCCAGGCCTTAGTTTATCCATGGTTTACAGCTTGTCGTAATGAACTCGCCCACAAGAGATATTACACTTGTCCTTACTTTTAACACCAGAATTCAAGAGGAGCCACCCCCCCGCCCCCACAAAATGATGTTTATCCCAATTTCTAATAGGAGCCTTGCAGCACTATTTAGATGCTTGGGGCGGTGTGTGGAAGAGAGGTTTTGGAAGTGGGCGGGGGATACCTTTTTTCGTTCTTTCCCACCATCCTGAAACTTTCCACCACTGTGCTATATTATGCTAAAGGACTAATAGCCACAAAATTTCATAGCTCAGCTGTTCTCAGCAGGTGCTGGAAGGCAAGGAACATAGGTCTTGATCAGGGTATCCCCCCCACCCCCGTTTCTTTCATTTTTAATTTGCAAAGTATTATACTTCTGCATACCTGGGGAGCTCACTTTGTATGCAGAATGGGTTATCTCTGTTTTTTAATGGCCCATTTCATTCCAAACTGATAAGTATAGGACCACCCAAAATCAGCATTAAGAGGAAGCACGCGATTATATGAATTTCACAAAGGGCTCACAATGGTGCATTTGGCGTTCTCTGTCTTCTGCGTAATATATTTTGACCTTGATTTACAAGGCAAGGCTGGGAAAATAGGTAATATGCCAAATGACCAAAGTAATGCTTCATTGCCCTTTCAAAGTGTAACTGCTATATAGTTTCAGGTTAGAGATTAACTAGCCCTTCAATTTCACAAAAGAATGGGTGGAATTTGTGTGTCTCAGTTTTTCCGCTCCAGAAGCTTAAAACCTTTTAAGGTAACAGCTCATACTTCAAATACTACTTTCCATTTTGAAAAACACTATTACTTGAAGCAGCAGGGTAGCAGTAGTAAATTATGCCCGTCTGGCAGCATGCGGACAGCAACCAGGTTGTTGAAACACAGTTAAGCAAGGCTAGGTTATTTAATGAGCTTGCGGTATGAACAAACAATGGTGGTGTGGAGGGGGCACTCTGTCAGTACCTTAATTGTGTTAAGAAAAAAGGAATATTTTTAAAGCTGGAGGAGGACTTCATTGCCCTTGTCACATTGCAATACAATGTAGAAAGTGTTCATATGGACTATTTGCATGGGTTGGGTGGGGATACTATTAAGCCCTTAATACTCATGAGTGAGGAAGAAAGGTAATATAGTGTTTGTGCTCTGATTCTCTGTATTTTGAGATTTATTTTCTACTGAGTCAAAATGGGTTATTTTTTATATTGAATGATGTCTGGTGTATAATGTTGTATAACCTAGAATGTTCTCGAACCTAGTGGGTTCTAAGTGCCGAGCAACAGATTTTAAACCAGTTGCTTTAGAAACGATGTAACAAGCATTGTGAATTTTATTTTTACTTTTTCTTTTCCCAGGTTTTCCCTTTGGAAGCTGGAGTAGAACATCGTTTTCTGTAATGCCGGGCCCGATATCTTGAGAGGGAAGAGAAGGAGAAAGCAGCTACTCTGGTGCCAACACGAACTGCAGGGGAAAGTTTAAAAGACGGATTTTATTTACCCTCTGTGGGACCTGTGCACATTGACTAAGAGGAGATACTATCTCACAGATTTGGAGCTTTATCTCTCGCTCCTAACCTCTGTATTTGCACTTTGAACTGGTAGCAAAAATGAGCGAGTTCTGGTTGTGTTTCAACTGCTGTATTGCAGAACAGCCTCAGCCCGTAAGTATGAAGTTTGCTTTGCTTTCCATTGTTCGGTAATGTTGGTTCCATTCACTTTTTCTTGTGCATTTTCGTACGTGGGCTATCGGGATGTCTCTGCTGCATTGTAGAAGCAGTCAAACTTGCTGGCTTTTGTCCAATATAGCATTGACAACGGCTATTCCTAAGTTCCATTAGTGCTGTGGAACAATTCCTTTTTTGATGCATCTGGTTGGACTCAAATCAGCAGGGCCGTCTTACCCACAGGTTCTAGGGGTGTGGGGCACCTGGACACTGGGCTCTCAGGGGCGCCAGGCCGAGAGTCCGGGGCCCGAGAGTTGAGTCTGGGGAAGAGCCCGCCTGTCGGTCAGAGCGCCATGGTGGGTTCTTCTGCGGGTGGATCTGAGCCGCGAGTTTGAGGGTGACCGAGTCAGCGAGACACTGAGGCGGCTGGCTGGCTCCGCCCTCCTGTGCGCCTGGAGGGGGGGCACGCCAGGCGAATCTTTGCACCCCATCTCCGTATATTCTTAAGACAGCCCTGCAAATCAGTCCTCTGATGTGACAAGTGACAAACTTACATCAGCCGCACCTCTTTCCATTCATACTGTAGTTCTGATTTGAAAATATTGTTTAGTGCATGAAGATAGAAACACACACACACACACCCCATATATAATCTGAATGTTATACATAAACAAGTACCCCTCGACTTTACCTATTTTCCCTTTATGCCTCCTAGATGCTGGCTTGTAATAATTTGTACCTAAGAAAAGGAGTACATATTACAAATATGCCTCTCATCTCTTTTCATCTCTTGCTCTAATGCCAGATATGAAGTTCTAAATACTATTATATTACATATACCAGATTTGTATAGTGCATATTGTGCTATTAAACTAGTCCATATCAAGCTTGACAGTGGCTGTATACTCATCTGACATAGCAACAGCGGGAGGGAGGGAGAAACATGCAGGCTTATATATCTCAATGCCAGAACAGAGGTGGTTGCTATGTGATTCACAAACTAAATGTTATTTCTAACATTTATACTTTGCTCTTTAAAAGACACACAGAGTTCCCTTGGAAGAAAGTTAAAATACATGGGCTGTGTGCAACTAAGTTGTTATGTAGATAGAACAACTTCTGTGAGCACAGTGGAATATCTTTTCATCCTGTGGGCCCCCAAATCTACTTTTCCCCCAACCCTTTGCAACAGATTGGGGGACAGCAGTTCTGTTGCGCATGGGGAATTTGTTCTGCTTGCACAGTGATTTAGTTGAATTACAACCCCATGACAATCAGGCAATAAAATAATAATAAACATGAATGAAAAATGCAGCAAAGAACACTTATCAGCAAGGAGCAGAGTTAAAATCAACTGATTTAAAAGGTGTGGTAGAAATGGAAAGGTTTTTTAAAAAATAAAAAATAAAATAATCAGTGCTTTTTTCCTGGGGGCATGCAGGGATACGCATACCCCTAAACATTTTGTGAATCTTTGTACTTTTGTCCATTTACTGTATTTATTTTTCCCAATTTGAACTATAAAATGGTGATTTTCTTGAGTCAAAATGAGAGGGCGTTCCACAGGACGGGCACCACCACCAAGAAGGCCCTCTGCCTGGTTCCCTGTAACCTTCCTTCTTGCAGGGAGGGAACCGCCAGAAGACCCTCGGAGCTGGATCTCAGTGGCTGGGCTGAACAATGGGGGTGGAGACGCTCCTTCAGGAAACTTAGGTGTGTGGGGGTACTATGCCTTGGATGAAAACACACAGAAGGCAAAATAGGGACCGTAAAGTACTTGAAATCATAATGTGGATGGTTACATTCAGACACTATCTAGACGGATTTCAGTTTTTTTGAAAATTTCAAACCTTTGCAAAAACAGAAACCTCAGCTGCACTGCTGCTGTGACTGTCAGAGAATGCAATTTTGAAGATCCTGACAAAGGAATATTCTGAAAAATGATGCTAATATTTGACTGTGAGCAAGTTACTCCTCCACAGTTCACACTATAAAAATGACCAAATGCCAGCTTTAATGAACAGAATTTTGGGAGGACTTCATGCCTTAGATGCCAGAATAGGGAGTAACTAGATCTTTAAAAGTAAAGTGACAATTTTGAACTCTTCGGGCTGATTTAAACTCTTCTAGGGCTGCATTACTTGATAATGCTATTGGACAGCCACGTAACTGAACACAAACAGATCCCCAACATAAAATCTTCAATTGAATTCTGGAGGTGTTGTGTTCCAGAAGAGCTGTGCAAACTACTTGTTTCCTTGCTTGTTTCAGGAAAGTGCAGATTAACCCTTAGGCACATTGTCTTCTATTAACATCTAAAGTTTCAAAACAGAGTGCTTGAATATGAGTAAATATGCATATGTAATTTATGAAAGTTTTCTGAGATAAAATCCAAAATCATTTCCACAATTTTTAATTGTAGGAGCTACAAAAACATTGAAAGTCATTTTCCTTCTTTTTTTAAAAAAAATATTTTTATTAGTTTTCAGTAACAATAATCCAATATATGCCTCATTGTATCAATACCAAATTATAATATCAATTCCAATATCAATCAATCAAATACCCAATTACATAATTAGGTGCCCTCCCGGCGTGCTAGAATCGAACGTTTGATGATTCACTTTAATTCTGCTTCCAAACTCTTATTTAATCCAATTACATTCCAATCCTAATAATAATCCCTTGTACAATAGCTGCAATATTTTAAACTTCTATTCGTGTTAACACATTTAAAAATTTATAAGTCTGCCAGTGAAATTCAGTATTTTTATTTTCCTGTGTGGGGTATTTATTCTGTCCATATTTTCTTCTTGTCCTTGCCGGATTTTATGTCTATTTTGGTTGTTGCTGCTCTCCATCATGGAAAATTACTTTCTTTGGCTACGTATAACTTAATGAGACAAAGGTCTTGGCTGGCAACGCAAGACATAATTGTTGTAAAATTGATATTACACAGAATGGCAGCATTTTTTTCAGGTGATCATGCAAAAGAGAGTATACTGTATGTGGACAGTAAGAAAGTACTAGAATTCATGCTTCTTCACCTGTTCACCCCCCATCTTCTAGGAAGAAATAAACAGCAGGCTGGGATTTTGATGCCCCCGGAGCAGATAATGGGGCAGGATGGTGGGATCCTGCTCTCCTATTCTGCACTTGTATCTCCCTCTCCTAATTTAATTACTCAGGGCAGTGAGCATTATTTAGCTATCTTGTTGGCAGAGGCAGATTTAGGGCAATGCAAACAGTGCACTGGGTGAACAGCTGAGGAAGGTGTCTTCCAAAGCCCTGTAGGTCATGGGTAGGCAAACTAAGGCCCAGGGGCCAGATCTGGCCCAATCGCCTTCCAAATCCGGCCCGCAGATGGTCCGGGAATCAGTGTGTTTTTACATGAGTAGAATGTGTGCTTTTTTTCTTTTTTCTTTTAGAATGTGTGCTTTTATTTAAAATGCATCTCTGGGTTATTTGTGGGGCATAGGAATTCTTCTTCTTCTTCTTCTTCTTCTTCTTCTTCAAAATATAGTCCAGCCCCCTACAAGGTCTGAGGGACAGTGGACCAGCCCCCTGCTGAAAAAGTTTGCTGACCCCTGCTGTAGATTCTTGGCCAGCTTTAGCAAGGAGGCGTGAGGACTTTGACAGGTCCCCCTTCCCAGAGTCAGGCAACTGCTTTTTGGAAGAAGAGAGGATGGCCAGTGGCGTAGCTATCTGCTCTGGTGCCCGTGGCATCGCGCACATCAGCTGGGGCTCCACTTTGTTCTGGGGCAATGCCAGGAGCTCTGAACCTTCACAGCCTCTCCTGCCTGGCCACGCCCCCTGCAGCGGCTGCTCTCGCTGCTGCTGTTGAGGTTGCAGGGAGCCCAGGACGAGGAGGTGGCAGGAGGCTGAAGGGGTAAAGCCACACGCAGCCCTTACTGCAGTTGACTGGACGGGGCAGGGCGGGGTGGGTTTCGTGAGCCCAATTTTTTTAAGCTCATGTTTTTGCCATTTTGTCACCTCCCTCATTGATGACACCCAGGGCAGACCGCACCCCCCACCCCTTCCTACGCCCCTGAGGATGGCTCTAGGACCCTGCTAAAGCCTTGCACCTTCTTCCCAAAACCCGGCTTAAGCAGCCTTAGGGGAGGTCATCAAATGGCCTTGCACAGGGTGGTATATTACCAAGGTCTGCCCCTGTTTTTAGATGGCCGGAGGAATGGAAAGGGACAGCTGGACTGAATCTGATCATTATTTTTTGTCTTTTCCCTGCCAAGTGCTGGGCACTGTCAAAGCTGACAGCATTAGCAATGTCTTGGCAATACACGTTCCCATACAGGATGTACCCATTTTCATGAGAGATCAGCAAAGATCTTGCTTGAACTGAACATACATTTTGTGTTCGCCTTTGTGTGTGTTTACAGCTTAGCATTTATAGAACTCTGTAGAGTGTTCAAAGCACACAGGCTAAGGATCATTTTACTAAATCTAACTTTCAGTCACTGCAATACACCCCATGCCTGTTCTGGTTTCACCTTCCCAGTGAAATATGTGTAATGTATCTTTGTACAGTCATACCTTGGTTCTCAAACACCTTGGTACTCGTACATTTTAGCTCCTGAATGCCACAAACCCAGAAGTGAGTGTTCTGGTTTGCAAACGTTTTTTGGAAGCCGAACATCCGACGCGGCTTCCACGGCTTCTGATTTAGTGCAGGAAGCTCCTGCAGCCCATCGGAAGTCGCGCCTTGGTTTGCAAATGTTTTTGGAAGTCGAACGAAATTCCAGAATGGATTACGTTTGAGAACCAAGGTATGACTGTACCTATAGAACAGGCTTCTTCAACCTCGGCCCTCCAGATGTTGTTGGCCTACAACTCCCATGATCCCTAGCTAGCAGGACCAGTGGTCAGGGATGATGGGAATTGCAGTCTCAAAACATCTGGCGGGCCAAAGTTGAGGAAGCCTACTAGAGAATATTTGACACTAACCAGTAAAATAATTCAATTCAGTTTAAGCGGCTTGGACACACTAAAGTTGAAATGCCTCACATTTATTTTAGAAACATCTAGTGGGGGTGGGGGTGTTTGTATGTATGTATGCATACACAGAGAGACGCATACGTATTCTCAGTCTTTTTACTTAAAATTGCATTGGCAGTTAATGAAATGACATTAAGATCATATATCAACCGCTGGGTGTTTGTGATAAATGGAAACTTTGGGGAAGAGGATTGGGCTGCTACTTAGGCCAAAAAAATAATAATTCATGGAATATTTTAATGTATGCAATACATCTGTAGCACAATTGGCCGTTGTTCCCTTTTGGATACACTTCCAGAGCTTGAGATTTCTATAGCAATTCAAGCTCTCTCTCAAAAAGTGGGCTACTGTGAATTATTTCTAAGTGATTTGCTTGGATTTAGGTTTTTGAACGTTCTTTTGGAAGCTGAATGTCTAACGCGGCTTCCGTTGCTTCTGGTTGGCTGCAGGAGCTTCCTGCAGCCAATCAGAAGCTGCGCTTTGAAAGTCGAACGTTTTGGAAGTCGAACGGACTTCCGGAACGGATTCTGTTCGACCTCTGAGGTACAACTGTACTGCAGTCCAGCATTTAGGACCAAACTGGATATGATGTTAATTGCATGCTCATTATTAATGTGTCTATTTATTTTTAAATGGGAATAGTAGCTGCAGGTAGGATATTGGGATTGGGAATATGGCTTAATCTCCGCAACCATAGTCCCAATGAAAATCATGCCTGTCCCAAAACTGATATTCACCTTGGGACAGAAATTTGCATAGGTGTGGATCCTGGCATTGACTGTTAATTTATTTCAAAGCTCAGATGTGGCTTATTAGGCTAATGTCTCCTTGCTAATCTCCCCACATGAATTCTGCTATATTATCTCTCTTTAAAGCAGTGTTTCCCAAACTTGGGTCTCTAGCAGTTTTTGGACTACAATGCCCATCATCCCTAGCTAGCAGAACCAGTGGTCAGGGATGATGAGAACGGTAGTCTCAAAACATCTGGAGGGAAACACTGGGAAACACTGATTTAAAGGACCGCATACTTTTTTTTGAATGCTCTGAGATTACTTCAGCCAGTAAAAGCTCCACTTCCAGTGATTCAAACTTGGCTGTTCAGCGAGATCACCAAAAGGGCATGTTTGTGCATGTAGCGTCACTCCTTTTGAACTGTGCTCTTATTCAGCGTGGTATTGGTATAAACACAGCCAACATTAGATGCCATTGGTGGGACTGCCAACTGATTAAAGGTGTTTGATTGCTCAAATATCTTACATTCTAGCAAATTATTAATGGATGAATGCTGACCAGCATGTAAATACAGATGGAATCTGTGGGTCGTCCCCCCCCCCCGGCCTCCGCTGTTGAAACAAAGCAAGTTTGTCTTGGTTTTAATTTAACAATTAAAATGTTGTGCGTATAAAATTATCTTTAAATGCATGGTCTAAATAAATATTTCAGCACACTGTTTTTGCAGTCTTCAAAATCTCCACAATTCAGGATTGCTGACTTCTTAAAATAAGTGCTTGCAAAGCAAGGGGGACTTGCTATTTTTGAAAAAACCTCCACTTAACCAGTCTCTACCCGAAGTATTTCTAGGTGTCATACCAATAGGCTCTCCCCAAAGGCTACATGATATGTCCCACCCAGAGCCGTCTTTCCCATAGGGCTTAGTGGTGCATCGCGCCAGGGCGCCAGCCTCTCAGGGGCACCCCAGAAAGTGGGGGAGCTGCGCGGCTTTGCTGGCGGCCTCCCCTTTCCCTGCACGCCCACCAGCCGCGCCCCGCCAACCATAAGGCTGGCGGGTGTGCAACTTCACTCCCAAGCCTCTGCGGGGATCGCTCTTCCACAGTGGCATGGGGGAGAGATGTGCCCCCCCCCGATGGCTGACAGTGCGCAGCTACGGCCACCCCAACACTAACCGTGGTAATTTGGGGGTGCTGGGTGAATATTTGCACCCCGGTGCCACATCCCAGAGTAAAAAATGCCATGGCATAGTGATTTGGTGCCACTGATGCCAACTTAAGAACATCTTGATACACATCCTCTGAGACTGCAAAGGCTGCTCCAGGACTCAGCAGGGAGAGAACCTCTGCTCACTTTGGCAGCACTTATAATACTACTAAAACAGGGTGAGAACCCATAGGAAGAAGGGGCGCTGGCAGATCTGGGCAATATTAGCAGACAAGCCAGTGCAATCCCAAGCACTTGCTAGCAGGATATCCGGTTTCCATAGGAGCAGCTGGGAATGGGGAATGCCCCAAATTCTTTTATTATGTCAGCTGGGGTGTGGGGGACTCTTTCCACTTTCTCCACATGTCCTTTTATACATTTCCATCATGCACTTCCAACCTCTGATCATCTTGGCTCTATTTTCTGCTCATCCTAAGATAAGAGCACTTCATTTTCTGATTGGTTTGACATCATCCAACAAACTGGGGGGGGGGGGACCATTCACAAAAATAATGGAGTAATATGAGGATTTTAATTGGACTCTGATTACACTGGAGATAAGCAGTATATTATAGTATGATCTTTATAGATAGCATCTTTGCCGTCTCTGTTAAATCAGTGGTAATCAGGATGGTAAGGGATGAAACAGGATTACCATGCTGAGTTCCTTGCTTGGCCAAAAATATTTTGCTTGAGAGCAAAGCAAGAGAACTGATAGAAGGCCACGTATTAGTTCTGAATTCAGCATGCTCTGTGTAAATGGCCATCAGGAAAAGCCTGTGGTTGCTTAAAAGCACCAGTTGCTTAAATGGGTGAGGACCATTTTCAGGGTGTGTCTACTTAGGTAGTACAAAATGTTGTGAGGACCATCAATTAGAATTTGTCTGCATATCAAGAGTATGGAATGGCGATCTCTTGCCCTATACAAATTTCCAGTTGCAACTAGAATTGCTGTTTTGTATACACCTTGCTGTGGTTGGGGAAAGCAACAGCACTTCCCCGCCTTAGACTCAGATGCTACACTTCAGATTTCTTGGTGTTCTTTAGACAGTAATATGTACCAATGATGGCACTAGCACTTTAAGACCTCTAAATAGGTTCTTCAAGGACCGCAGATGTTTGAAAGTTTGAGAGCAACATGTAGTTCAAAGACTCTCTCGGCTCTCATTGTATCTGCACACTTTGCTGTTTAGAGTCCATTCCCCTCGATGTTTAAAACTCACAACAGACTCAGTTTCTGCAGAGACCAGAGCAATGTGACTTTGTGCAAGGAAAACCACTGCACAGATGTCCTTGTTGCTGCACCGCGTCTTACAAAGCTGACTCGCAGCCTTTCCCTTGGGCTGGTGGCGGGAGATACTTCTGCAAAGTGAACAATGTTTTCATAGCCCTTCTGTAAAATTGAAATGGACAAGTAGATGTCATCCGGCTAGTCGCTCTTGTTCTGAACGTGTTGCACCCCTTCGTAGTGAATTAAAGCAATTCAATTCCTTGTCTGCTAAAATGAAACGAGTGATCAACCAGTTCTAAAGTAGGGCATTAAATTCCCTTTAGGCACACACAGCAAAACAAATCTGCAAGCGTGCTCTAGATACGCTACACTTTCTGAGTCTTACTGAGCTGCTCACACTCGTATATGGGTATTTTCCTGGCATTGAATAAATATATGTTTATCAACTGTATATCTTTTTCATATATTCATCTAGTTGCATGCCCACAGGAGATGTTCATCTAAAATGAGTCATGTTCCTGCCAGTGTTAGAATGCATTTGTGCTGGAACACCTCAATGTTTGAATTGGACATCCGCAGCTTGAATCAGAGCTTACATGGTGCCTTTCGCTCCAAAGAACCATGAGCAAAATTTAAAAGATCTGTTTGAGCTGTTCCACAAACTTATGGGCAAGCTAGTGCAACACTTATTGCCTTGCAATGTCACCGTGTATTACAGTATGAGAAACCTAGTGAATAAGTAAGATGCAAGCTTTATCATACAAGGTGTGACCGGAAAGTTTGATGAAATCAAACGGAAATCGGATAGCGAGAAATATTCAAACATACAGTTGGCATCGGAAACCCATGAAATGCTCACAATTGTGTATGGAGATGAATCTGTAACTTGAAAGACAGTGTATGAGTGGTTGAAGCATTTCCATGAAGGGTGGCAAACCATCGAAGATGACCCTTGATCTGGAAGATCATTGACGAGCAGAACAGCAGCAAATGTCGGCAGAGTTCATGAGTTATTGATGTGGAATCAGCATTTGTCTGTCTGAAGGATTGCTGAAGAAATGCATATTCCATGTGAAATAGTTACTGAGGTTACTGACTTGTCCCACCCTCCATATTCTCCCAGTTTGGCTCCACCAGATTTTTTTCTTTTTCCAAAACTGAAATCTGCACGGAAAGGGCACAGATTTCCCAACATTTCACATGTCCAAGCTGCTGTGATGAGGGAACTGAAAGCAGTACGAAAAGAGGACTTCTCCGGAAGTTTCCAACACTTCTACGAACATTGTCATTGGTGCATTGTATCAGAGGTGGCCTACTTTGAAAACCTGTAAGGTATGTATGGTCAAATATTTCTTGCTGTCCGATTTCTGTGACCATTCACTGAACTTTCTGGTCACACCTTGTAAAAGCTCTTGTAGACTATGAAAGAATCTTTAAAGAAAGACAACATGCAGAAAATGACAGATTTCCCTGGATTGGGGACCTCTTTTACTACTTTTCTGCTAGGCTGGGTTTAGACTTTCCATGAATGAAAGAGGCTCTCCAGTACTGGAATGACACTACTGGGTTGTGGTGTTAGTCTTTCAAAGTGATAGCTATTAAGATTTCAGAGTCACATTAAAACATACAAAATTTCTCTGCTTGGCCTGAATTACAGTGGTGCCTCGCAAGACGAAAAGAATCCATTCTGGGAGTCTCTTCGTCTAGCGGTTTTTTCGTCTTGCGAAGCAAGCCCATTGACGGATTAGCGGATTAGCGCTATTAGCACTATTAGCGGCTTTTAGCTGCTTTTAGCGGCTTATCAGCTTATCGGATAAGCAGATAAGCGGCTTAGCGGCTTAGAAAAAGAGGGGGGAAAGGAAAAAAAACCCGCAGGAACTCACAAGACATTTTCGTCTTGCAAAGCAAGCCCATAGCAGATTCGTTTTGCGAAGCACCTCCAAAACGGAAAACGCTTTCGTCTAGCGAGTTTTCCGTCTTGCGAGGCATTCGTCTTGCGGGGCACCACTGTACAGCACAATCCAAATCACTGATATTCTGTGCTGGGCAGGGTAGATGAGGCAGAGGTCTCCCTGCACCCAGCCTAGAACAGCTCCAACAGCCTCTGCTAACATCATTCTACTGGTGAACCCTGTCTGCTCAGCAAAAGGGCAGGCAGGTGGAAGTACCCTGGGCAGGCTTTCCAACAGCCACCACCGCCTGCAAAAACCCTTAAATGAGGTATTGCAGAGGGAGAGTAGTGTGGTTTGTGTGTATATCCTGACATCCTTCCTCTAAGGAGCATGCTGCATTTTTTTGAAATTATTTTGCTGACTTTGAAATGGGATAGATGCTTAAAGTGGTGTGCTCCACATACGCGTCTGAATTTCATAACCTGCCTACAGCTGCTGAATAATCACAAGATTGCAAAATGGCTGCCTCCTCCAGATGAAAAGTGAATCCAAGATGAAAAGTGAACAACAACATCTATATAAGTTATTTTGCCTTCGTTGGGCAGATATTTGAAGCTTTGTGCGTGCATGGGAATTGCGGGGGAAATGAAATGAGTGGTAGAAATAGTGGGCTGGACAGAGGGGAAAGGTATTGTCACAAAGTTAGGTTCCTGGGCAATTTCTAGTCCACTTGTGTGCCTTCACCTGCAGACCAATTTCAGGATTATCAGAGATTGGATACGAGTCCATTTCTCAAGCCAGCATGAGCTAAGGAGCCATGCACAGTTGCTGAGGAGCAAGACTAACCTGACTGATGGGCAGAGTGAGTTGTCTAGCTAAGGCAGCAGGTGCTGCAGAGTAGGAAATGTTGGCAAGAAGTTGGAGGACAGAGCTGTGGGTACCACCTGGCTTGCCCTGTGCCTCCAAAGCCTTTTTCCCTCAAGTGTTGTGGAACTATGGAATATGTTGTCCTGTCACCAACATTGAAATAAGGTTCAGCTGCCAGCCCTGTGGATTATTGTGCCTGTTAGTAAATTCCCTTGAGCTGACCTTCTGAGGAGAAAGAGATGTGTCTCGTACTGCAATGGAGTGTTAAGGCCTGAGAGAGAACGCTCTCTGGGGAACTGTTACATAAGGAAAAACTGACAGATAAACTGAAAGGAGCCCAGGACAGAGAGTGCCACCCAGAAGGAAACTGTCAAATGGATCAACAGTGGTTCAGATCTGATTCACCTTTATTCAGTCTGCAACTTGGCAGAAGTTCAACAGCTGTAGTTCAAGTGACTGAAACCAAGAGGCCTGCAATTTAGGAGGTCATGAATTGAGCTTTAAGAGAGAAGCGTTTAAGAGTTTAAAAAGAAATCTGAAATCATGTTAAACCAAAAAAAAAAAAAACCCCTCTCCAAGCTGTGTATGCACATAGACATAGCTAAAATCCACAAACCAATTACAAAACAAATATACATAAAACTACCCCCATAAAATATAGAAAACCTTATAAAACTGATATAGGAAACTAAATTATATGTCCAGGTACATATATGTGTGTGTAACTCATTACACAGTAAATTTCCAGCCAATTAACCTATTACTGTGGGGCGCTCCCATCATTTTATCAGATCATCACAGTCATGAACCCTTAATTTTTCTTGGTTTGCTTTGTTGCTGGATACAAGACTGAATACAGCTTACAAACAGCTGCTTCCACTTCACTTATCTTGGGTCATAAGTGGCTCAAATGTGTGTAAATATATATATATAGCTTGCCTGTTTAACTTCCCAGATCACTGTGTTCTGGACAACAGAGCTATGTAAAAATTAGTAGCTTCAAACACAGTGAGGTTGTTTCCCTCCGCTCCCCTTTCAATTCACTATCTTACATTGCTGCCCACTTGGCCTCTTGGGCTTGCTGATTGGAAGGTCTGTGGTTCGAATCTGCATGGCGGGGTGAGCTCCTGCTGCTCTGTCCCAGCTCCTGCCAACCTAGTGTTTCCATGCGCTCTGGTTTCCATCACAGTGTCCTGTTATGCCAGAAGCTACTGTTAGGTCCATCATGAGACGTCCACCAGCTTCCAACCACAGATTCCAGCAGCCTTCAAGCAAGCAAACTTGCCTTATTATCGCTCCCTAGCATCCCACTGCCAGAGGATTGCCTCCTTCCATTCACCACTTTGCCTCCTCCAAGTGGAAGAAACCTGGGCAGTGCTGAATGTCACATCCATGGCCAGGTGTTTTCTGTTGAAAATAAAAAAGGGCTTTCCCCTTGGCCTGCTTTTATATCCACTCAATTGCCAAGTGCCTTTGTGACATCACAAGAAACCCACAGCCAATGACAACAGCCGGGGAGGCATCATCATTGCTTTGAGCCTCACAATGGCAGGTGGACCTATTAGTGATTGTTCTTGTTTATTCAGGACATGGGTGGTGCTGTGGTTTAAACCACTGAGCCTCTTGGGCTTACCGGACAGAAGGTCAGCAATTTGAATCCCTGTGATGGTGTGAGCACATGTTGCTCTGTCCAAGCTCCTGCCAACCTAGCACTTCGAAAGCACACCAGTGCAAGTAGATAAATAGGTACCGCTCTGATGGGAAGGTAAATGGTGTTTCCGTGCGCTCTGGTTTCTGTCATGGTGTTCCATTGCACCAGAAGTGGTTTAGTCATGCTGGCTACGTGACCCGGAAAGCTGTCTGTGGACAAATGCCAGCCCCCTCGGCCTGAAAGCGAGATGAGCGCCACAACCCCATAGTTGCCTTTGACTGGACTTAACCTTCCAGGGGTCCTTTACTCCAGAGAGAGGAAGGGGCGTGTCTTCAAACAGTGCCTAATACCTGATTTGTTTCCTCATGCTGAACTCCAATTCGCCGATGCTCACATCTGCACATGCGCATGGGCAATGGTTGCCTGAAGTTTACACACCTTAGCTTCTTCTTCTGAACCTAAGCTGGTTTGAGGGGAAAGCTCATCAAACAGGAATATTTCTCGAGAAACTACTGATTGCAAATATCAGTAACTTACCATATCTTATGTACTTCTTTCTTCTTCTGTGGTGTTCACACTTAAAGTCACATATATTTTTCCAGGGAATTTTGTGGATTCTAGAGTGCCTCAAATCTGGGGATGGGTGGGCAGGGGAAGACGGGAAAACCTGTCTGTCCCTTGTAGAAGCTTTGTTGTGGTCCAGGAAAAGCAGCTCTTTCTAAAAAACAGTTTTCCACTTCTAAGTACTATAACTTGTTCTTTTTTTCCAGTGCTTCAATCAGATGAAACAGCCACAATAACTTGTGAAGTCTCAGATCACAGTAAAAAATGACTGTGGTTGTCTGTCTGAAAAAAAAAATTTATTTTGATTGTTTGAAGGAGAAACACATCTGTGTTTCATAGCTATTACGTGAGGCTATTAGGGAACCATCCATTTTCCCTAGTAAATCTGTTGCCTAGTATCTTCCTGTGAAATATGACCGCTGTTTTGTTGTTTACAATACGCATAAAGGTATTACTGTTCTGTCTGGTGAGAAGATTAAACAAGCACCGTTGTTAAGATAAGGGCTTAAAGTACGAGCCGGCAAGTTCATGAGGAGAAAAGCGAAGTCTCGACAGAGATAGTCAGGTTGGTGCCTTTGAGATATTTTGGACGACTCCCATCAGCTCAACCAACATAGGCAATACAGTCGTACCTTGGCTGCGTGTCGAGGTCCCCCAAGCAACCCCTAAATAATTCACAATTCACACATAATTTTTGTTTAAGGTTTTGTGGCATATTTTTGGCCACAACTTTATTAAAATACATAAATGTGAGTGGTTGCTTAGGCATTGGTTATGACTATCTGTCCCCTCGCCTAGGGACAGAACTGACTTCCGGATTCCAGCGAAAGCCAGTAAGGGAAAACAATATTGGGGAGAGCACGGAGCCGGGCATCAGACCCTCACCCTCCCCCCGCATGCTCCCGGTGGCTTGCACGGCCCTAAGCCCCATTCAGGGGTACGGACGAAAGAATGGCAAGCCCCTGGATTCCTTTAACAGAATTCCCTTTCCACAGCAGCATTGGAGGGGCAGGCCCAGCCTATCCTTACCCCTCCACCAACCAATTTTTTAACCAATGCCTAACCGCAACCTTACAAGTTTTGACGATTTGCTACGCAATAGGCAAAAACCAAATGGCACCAGCCAATCAACCAAATGGACAAAATTCCTACCAGGCCCCTGCCCCCAAAGCAGACGGCCCCATGACAGGCATAGCAAGGTCAACGCAATAGCCCTAGATTAGGGAGGGTGGGCGGGTGATCCGATGCATGCAGCAAAAGAGCCCAGTCAGTGCTGCGTGACTTGATTTTATAACCTTTGGTCCGTCCCCCTAAATGGCAACACCAAAATTTGCCCAGTAACCCAACCGCCCAATCACTGCGGATGGTCATCCATACTAACCCACCCAGCAACAGAGGGGTGGCCTGTCAGACCCCACCGCAACACGTGCTCTCTGTGAAAGAGAACACGCTTTGTCGAACGCCTTGGTACTCGTACGTTTAGGCTCCCGAACGATTGAAACCCGGAAGTGAATATTCCGGTTTTTGAACTTTTTTTTGGGAAGCCGAATGTCCAATGCAGCTTCCAAAGCTTCCGATTGGCTGCAAGAGTTTCCTGCAGCCAATCAGAAACCGCACTTTGGTTTCCGAACATTTTGGAAGTCAAACAGACTTCTGGAACGAATTCTGTTTGACTTCCAAGGTACGACTGTAATGTCATTTGCAGTATCTGGAGATGCTCATTGGCTACCCCTGCATGTGTCTTAACAACCTAGGGGTTCAATGGTCACAACCCACCTCCCCATTTGGAGGGCTCTGGGAAAGCAGGTTTCTCCCAGTTGCATTGCCATGCTAATTTCACTTCCCAAGCATTCACTTCATGTAAAAACAGACCTTCCACCCCAACTGTATTATATATAAATAGGACACATGCATGAATAAAATCCATTGGGCCTGAGCACCACATCTAGTGTATACCTAAAATGTTTGCTTTCTTTTTTAAGAAGTGCAATACAAAATATATTTGATTACATTTTGAGTATTTGCCTGCAAAAGGGTATGTCCCCATATTCTGCACATCTGTATTTGATGGCTGAATTATTCTTACATTAAGGAACACCTGAGTTGTCTATAAATCAACTGAACTACAAAATGACATGAAAACTAGAAGTTTATTCTCTTTAGTACGCTGTGGGTTCCTGCAGAGATACTTGTTCTCTATAATGTGGTTGTTTTTTCTGAACGCCAACTCTCTGCTTTTTTCCTTCTCAATTGGAAGTGACATTTATTTGGTTGAATAGGAAGGGTTTTCATGTTGTAACTACTGACACACATCCTGTCGTGGAGCTGTAGCGTTTCATCATGTCGGTTGACCTCTCTCTAAATATTTCCTGTGCAAATTTCAAGAGACTCAGCAAGTGAAAATTAAACTCCCCCCTCCCTTGTTACTACTCTTTGTTTATAAGCAGCTATCACTTTAGTAACTGCCAGTGTACTCTTTACATATTATATTTAATTTCCAGATTTCTTTTTAAAAAGTAGGTATTAGGAGTGTTCTTTTAGCCACAGTGACTTCTGCCCTTGTTCATTTATTACTTGGCTCCTGAGAGCCTACTTGGGTTGAGGGCAGATCTAAGGCTTTTTCTGCCAAGTTCTTGCAAGATCCGACATTCAAATAAACACAGGATCTTGAAATTCAGCTGTTAGATCCTTCTTTACAGAATCAGAAGAATCTTTATTTGCATCAGCCACTAGCCATAGCAATAAAATAAAATAAAATGTACTGAAGATAGAGGTAAAAACAGCGATAGAAAATACATTTTGTGGGTTTATCAAATAATAGATCTTATTCTAATTGCCCCGGCTAAAAACCTTGCAGTTTTTGCTGTCACCTGATCATCTTGATCTGCTAAATGAAAGGACACGGTAGCAATGGCTGAGCGACCTGGCATGGACAATAACAGAGGAGTAATAACCTCACTCCTCAAATCTTTATAAAGAGTGCAAGCCAGGAGCACATGAGCCACTGACTCAATACTGCCATCTCCACAGGGACATAACTGTTTTTCCAGCAGAATTTTTTGAAATCGACCCTCAAGTACAGCTAAAGGCAGTATATTCTATCTTGTGACAGTGAAAGCACATCTGTATTTGGGAATTGTTAAGTTTTGCAGATAGAGTCATACCTTGGTTTTCAAACGCCTTGGAAGTCAAACGTTTTGGCTCCTGAACGATCAAAAAACGGAAGTGATGGTTCCAGTTTTCGAACGTTCTTTGGAACCTGAATGTCTGACGTGACTTCGGCAGATTTTGATTGGCTGCAGGAGCTTCCTGCAGCCAATTGGAAGCTGTGCCTTGGTTCCTGAACATTTTAGAAGTCGAATGGACTTCCAGAACAGATTCCATTCGACTTCCAAGGTACCACTGTAGATCCTTCCTTTGGTGATGGAAGGGAGGAGTGACTTGGGCCCGGTAACAACTGAAGGGGCCCTCATTCAATTAACTCAGTTCTGCATTATCATATTACATGTGTTTTTATCTCAGGAAGAGGCTATAGAAAAATTATGCCATGTGCTAAGAGAAGTTTTAAAAATAAATAAAGACGGCCTTCAGAGAACAGCCTCCATTTTCGCCATGATAAATTGTGAGGGAGCCGAAAGTATTCAGAAAGATTAGCATACCCTCCCCACTGGAAATAGTTTCCAGGTTATGGTCTAGTACAGGGGTCAGCAAACTTTTTCAGCAGGGGGCTGGTCCACTGTTCCTCAGACCTTGCAGGGGGGCGGACTATATTTTTTGGGGAGGAAATGAAGGAATTCCTATGCCCCACAAATAATCCAGAGGTGCATCTTAAATAAAAGGACACATTCTACTCATGTAAAAACACGCTGATTCCTGGACCATCCGCAGGCCGGATTTAGAAGGTGATTGGGCCGGATCCAGTCCCCAGGCCTTAGTTTGCCTACCCATAGTCTAGTAGGACAATCAGTTTGGAAGGCAATCTGCAACACAAATATCATTGAGCCCTTTTAATTCCTTCGTCAGCTGGCCAGTGTTTTCAGTATGGGAACCATTTAGCGCTAGTCTGAAAGGCAGCTTTCCCCTCAAAGCCAGACACTTTGTATGTGTGGAATTGCAGCCTTAAAAGCTTTGTGATGGTTGCTTTCAGAAATAAAAATAGGTGCCTCCTCTGAACTCTGTGTTCCTAAACCAAAATTAGTTTGACATAGTTTATTTATATTTACGATTCAAAGAAATGCCTATTTTCATTTGATTAAACAATTGCCCATAGATTCAGGTTTTTACAAATTACATAGATCATTGCACGTACAGTTGACCTTGGGCAAAGAGATCTTTAAAAAATCTTCTGCTTCCCCATTTTATAAGAAATCAATTCAACATTAAGTGTAGAAAATACACAGGAACTTCTTTTCCGAAGGGCAATTGCTGCATACAGAAGCTAAGTTTTGTGCAAATTGCAGCTAGTTACAGAAAGGTTAAAACCCCATTCTCAGGACTACTTAGGTCCTGATGAAAAACTGGGTTTCAGTATTGACTCCCCCTCCCAAAAAAAGAGCAGACAACATTGCATGCCACACATTTAATGTAATGTATACTTAGGCCCTTAGAATTGCAGAAAACCATTAGTTGTTGTTTTTTATGGAACTGAGTTATTAACAGTAATTTTTTGTTGCATGAGGATCTGATAAATTGAAGTTCTAGTTTGTCTTCCTGTTGCAAAGCACTTTTATCGATGTTCATTTTATCAGAAGTAAAAGACTTGTATTAAAGGACATTATTTACCAAAGATACTTAATGGAGCTTGAGCAGAGCTTTAGAATGACAGATGAATTCTTTCCCCCTGCCATCCAGTCTAAACATGCTTCTTGAAAGAACTATTATTTTTCAGGAATCATCTGACAAATGTTTCTGTTTGTTTAAGAAGCATGCCCCAAAATTGCTAGTTTATCATGTGATGACTAAGACCACCACAACATAATGGCATAGTGGGTAAACAGTTTAGAGGCTGCATTCTTCACTTTAAAAGATTGCTAAGGTGACGGTGTGCTGAGCCAGCTAAAAAGAAAAGGAACTTTGTGATTCAGCAGAGCAACATCAGTGTGTGAGGTCTTTGCTTCCAAAGTATGATGATTAGTTTTGTACAAAATCAGGATCTGTTTAAAGAATGACAACAAAAGCCCCAACAAAAACCCAGACATCTGGCTGTAAAAGACTAGACTGCAGATTGACAATATTTGGAACAAGAGAAATACAACAGATTTCCCCCTCACCTTTAGACTAGTGGGTCAGTGACATGTTTGATCTTTGATGCTTAAAAATATAATGCTAGTAATAAAAATGATACTCCTCAAAACCTCACTTCCCTTTATATGTGCATTTTGAACTGTGCTGGACCTTCTGCATTCATTGTCATATTACTCAGGTTCCTCTGTTGCTAACTTCTCTTCCTTTTTTCCTTCCATTTTCTTTTGACTACTGGCTGCTTCTTGGTTTTCCTGCCTCTTTTATAAGTGGGTTGGGCATAGAAATGGGCTATGGGTTAGTTTTGTAATTTTTTTGTTACTTGTTTTTCAACAAAGTGATTTTCTTTATCCCTACCTGTCAGGGAACTGCCATCGGAGCTAGAGGCAAAGAGAAGGCTCCAAAGGGATGCAGGAGAGGGTCCCAGTAGGGAGAGAGGCAGCCCATCTGCTGGGGAAGGAAATCAGCGTAACACCAGTAGAGAAGGGGGGCAGATGGGGGAATCGGAGAGGAGGCTCCAAGACTCCTCGCCGGAGACCAGCGGAGAGGGTACGGGTCCTCCGCTGCCTACACCCTCCCTGCGCAGAAGGCTTCCGCGCAGGGAGACTAGGCGGAGACTAGGTGTCAAGGAACTTTTGTGCTGGAAGAAGTTCAAGAAACGCCCACTGACGGATTCTGCCAGCGACTGAGACAGCCACAAAGCTAGAGACTGTCCAGTCAGAAAGGGTTCAACCAGGTAACCTAGCCAGGAGTGGTGGCAACTTACGCACGAGCAACCCCTAAACCCATTACACTACCCAAAGTTTTCCTGACATAACTAAACTTCCTCCCACCGACTGCCTGTGTGAGTGAAATTATATAGGATGACAAATTTAAACTGAAGTGTGAAATCAATGTAGCTGCCATCTTACCTGGGAGTGATCCCCACTGAATTCAACAAAACTTACATGCTTAGGTTTGAAGACATACATGGCTTTATGGTGGGTCCTAACTTAGTCAAAAAAGGTAAAGGACCCCTGGATGGTTAAGTCCAGTCAAAGGCGACTATGGGGTTGTGGCGCTTATCTCGCTTTCAGGCCGAGGGAGCCAGTGTTTGTCCACATACAGCTTTCTGGGTCATGTGGCCAGCAGGACTAAACCGCTTCTGGCACAACGGAACACCGTGACGGTAGCCAGAGAGCATGGAAACACCATTTACAATTTAAAGGGGATGCAGGTGGCGCTATGGTTCAAATCCCCTTGACGGAGTGCGCTCCTGTTCCCTGTCCCAGCTCCTGCCAACCTAGCAGTTTGGAAGCACGCCAGTGGGTTTGAGCCCCACATTTGGCAAAAGATTCCTGCATTGTAAGGGGTTGGGCTAGATGGCCCTCATGGTCCCTCCCAAACTCGATTCCCTGATTTCCTGATACCTATATGCCTCCTCCCATGGGTTTCATCTATTCATGAATATCTACCTTGCACACATCACATTCGTGCACATGCAAACACCATTCTGTCTCAACCACATTTGAAACCTCCCATGTACTCACACAAACATATACCAGCCGACATCCATTCATGTCCGTGCCCTGGCTTCAGTCCACAAATATCCACTGGCTTCTGTTGACTGTCTTCCAAAGGTAAACTTCCATCAGCCAACATCCACAAACATCAGTCTGCTTTAGCCTTGTAGCCTCCACTGACTTCCGAATCCAAATGCCACTGGCTTCCATCCACCAATATCTGCCAGCTTCTCTAAGGTCCATCATGAGATGTCCACCAGCTTCCAGCCATGGATACCAGCAGCCTTCAAGCAAGCAAACCTGCCTTATTATCACTCCCTAGCATCCCACTGCCAGAGGATTGCTTCATTCCATCCACCACTTTGCCTCCTCCAAGTGGAAGAAACCTGGGCAGTGCTGAATGTCACATCCATGGCCAGATGTGTCCTGCTGGGGGGAAAAAAGGGTTTTCCCCTTGGCCTGCCTTTATATCCACTCAGTTGCCAAGTGCTTTTGTGACATCACAAGAAACCCACAGCCAATGGCAACAGCTGGGGAGGCATCATCTTCATTTCTTTGAGCCTCACAATGGCAGGTGGTGCTTGTTTATTTGGGATGCGGTTGGCGCTGTGGTCTAAACCGGGCTTGCCGATCAGAAGGTCAGCAATTTGAATCCCTGTGATGGGGTGAGCTCCCGTTGCTCCGTCCCCGTTCCTGCTAACCTAACACTGCTTGGCAGGGGGTTGGACTCGATGGCCCTTGTGGTCTCTTCCAACTCTATGATTCTATGAAATGGGTACCGCTGTGGTGGGAAGGTAAATGGCGTTTCCATGCGCTCCGGTTTCTGTCACGGTGTTCCATTGTGCCAGAGGCAGTTTAGTCATGTTGGCCACATGACCCGGAAAGCTGTCTGTGGACAAACACTGGCTCCCTCGGCCTGAAAACAAGATGAGCCCCACAAAGCCATAGTCTCCTTTGACTGGACTTAACCGTCCAGGGATCCTTTACCTTTACCTTTTACTTAGTCACTCCATTGACTTTGGCTGAAGGATTTGTAAGACTCTTCATTGCAAAAGACTTCCACTCTGTAAATTCATTAACTTTGAAATGGAACATGCAGGGAATGTAATAGATTTCTAAATATCTGTTGATGGCTGAGATATGCACATCTTTTGTGTGCTGTGTAAAGTATATCTTCGCATCAGTGGACATGAAAATGAACTGCTATCAACTGCAGTGGACCATCAAAGTGCCAGTGAATATTGAAACAGAAGGTGACATGGTTTATGCATCCCGCTCCTGTTCCCGTTTGATTATTATGGCTTTCTCCAAAGAATCCTGAAACATGGTTTGGTGACCTCAGTTAGATTTCCTAACTCTTCAACCTACGGCTCCCAGAGTTCCCCATGGAAGCAGGAATGGCTATTAGTTTGTCTGTAGCATAAAATGCTCTAAGCATGGTGTCAGGGAACTGCCATCGGACGGAAGGGAGGTGAAAGGGCTCACACAGGTTGGGAGAGACGCAGCAGCTGAAGAGGGAACCAGCAGGGAGGTGAAAGGGCTCACACAGGTTGGGAGAGACGCAGCAGCTGAAGAGGGAACCAGCAGGGAGGTGAAAGGGCTCACACAGGTTGGGAGAGACGCAGCAGCTGAAGAGGGAACCAGCAGGGGGAGAGGAGCTGAGCTGGAGGGATGGCTCAGAGACACTTCCAGCGAAAACAGTGGGGAGGTTTCAGGACCTCCTGTAAGAACACCCACTCCTCGCCGGAAACTGTCACGCAGAGATTCCAGAAGACGTGTTTCCGTTAAGGAGCTTTTATGTTGGAAGCGATTACGAAAGCAACCACTGTCGGAATCTGCTAGTGACTAGAGTAGCCATGTCTGAGGGGCTCCGTCACAGACAGAGGTTTGTGGACTTGAACAAACTCTGAGGGGATACGATTTTACGCACAAGCAGCTCATCATCCCATCACAGCATTCCGACAGTCTTTGAAAGCAGCTTGTGCAGGAGAAGGCATCATGAGCAACCCAGCCGGAACCGGAGAAGCAGGAGCTGGAGCGGGTCCAAGCCTGGAAGAAAGGTACCAGATGTTGGAGGTCCAGCTAGCGATGCAGACGGCGAGGCTTGAGGAGAGGAGGGCTCAGGATGCAGACAAAGGGGAAAGCCACCCAGTTCGCCAGAAAGGTACCAGGATTGGTGCAGAAGTTTGGGGGAGCCCAAAACTATCATGGTTTTCGGACAGAAATGCAATATGCCCTCAATCTGCAGTTTGATGAATTCCTGACGAGGAATCACGAGTGGCTTTCGTGATTGAGCATCTTGAAAGGGGGCGAGAGACTGGGTTAGACCCCTGATGGCAGCGAATAGTGACGTCTTAAAGGACACGATGAAGTTCTTTCGCGCCATGGATCTGATGTTTTCCAGCGATATTGAAAGGGAGTGGTGCGCAGACAGTTAATGGGTTGCAAACAGGGGAGCCGATCTGTCCGTGAGTACTGGACTGAGTTCACCATGCTTGTTCACAGATTGGGGTGGGACTTATCGGCGGAACCCATTCAAATGCTCTTTGAAGAAGGGCTTTCTTCGGCTGTGAAAGACGAACTTTCCCGGGCGCCCAGGGCGGAGTCTATGGACCAGCTGACCAAATCAGCGCTGGCCATAGGAGCGCGCCAGGAGGCGAGAGCATTGGAGAGGCGGGAAGGGAAAGGGGAACGTTGGAAGGAGTTCCGCATTCCAGACATTCCAGAGCCAACTTTCCCACCGGCAGAGCCGATGGAAATCGGAACAGCGCGCGCGCGCGCAGTTTCAAAGCCCAGTGAGGGGGCAAAGAAGGAGGGAAAAGGCGCCCGGAAATGCTATCTCTGCCAACAGCCAGGTCACTTTGCCAGAGTCTGCCCCCAGAGGAAAGAATGGCAAGGGATGGTAGGAGCTGTGGATGGAAGAGAGGAACTATACCGGAGCAGTAAAGCCAACGCCTGGCTGCCACTGTCAGGGCACAGCAGCCAGGCCAAAGAGCAGTGAGAGTGCCCACGCCAGAACCTCCTAAACCCGCCCTAGTGATAGAAGTGACGCTAGAGCTGCCAAACGGACACCCTCTAAAGATAAAGGCGCTGTTGGACTCAGGCAGCTCCTGCAATTTCATGAGCAAAGAGTTTGCAGCTGAACACCAGATACAGACAATCCCTTTAAGCAGCCCCTGCAGGTGACCACGATCGATGGCAGGGAGCTGTTGGGTGGAGAAGTCAGCTTGCAGACCGTCCCAATGATAATGAAGGTAGCAAGGCACACCGAACTGATAGCTTTTAATGTGGCCACCTTGGGAGGAGCTCCCATTATATTGGGGATGAGCTGGCTAGCGTTACATGATCCGCTGGTGGGCTGGCATCAGAGAGTGGTTTCTTTTGGTTCAGCACATTGCTTAGAACACTGCAAAGAGGGAAAGGGTTTGGCAGGGGTCCAAGCCACCCTAGCAGGGACTGAAGTAACAGAGAACGTGAAGGTACCACGACAATATGCAGATCTCCGTGACGTCTTCAGCGAAAGGGAAGCTGACCAACTACCCCCGCATAGACCCTTTGACTGTCAAATCAACTTACTCCCTGGAGCACAGCTCCCTGTAGGCAAGCTGTACGCCATGTCAGACAGAGAGATGCAGGAGTTAAGAGAGTTCATTGACAAGAACCTGAAGAGAGGGTTCATCAGAGAGTCCAGGGCGGGGGGGCAGCCCAGTGTTTTTTGTGGATAAGAAAACACGAACAAGCCGAGGCTGGTGTGTGACTTCAGGGCCTTAAATGCAGTGTCAGAACCAGTAGCCTTCCCTATGCCCAGGATTGACGACATTTTGACAAGGGTGCGGAAGGGAAAGATTTTCACAAAGCTGGACCTAAGGGGGGTGTACAACCTGGTACGAATAAGGAAGGGGGATGAATGGAAAACCACTATGTTCACCCCTTTAGGGGCATTTGAATATTTGGTTATGCCCTTCGGCCTACAAGCAGGCTCCGCAACATTTCAATCGTTTATGAACCACGTCCTGGGGCCTTTGCTTTACAAGAATTGTGTGGCCTTTTTAGACGACGTGTTGGTGTATTCTGAGAATGAGGAGCAGCATGTGAGAGACGTCAGAGAAGTGTTGAGCAGGCTGCAAGCCAACCAGCTGTGGGTGAAACTGGAGAAGTGTCAGTTTCATACCAAGGAGGTGGAATTCCTGGGGTATCGCCTGTCAGACAAGGGATTGGCCATGGATCCCGGCAAGGTCCAGGCGGTGCTGGAATGGAAAACACCCAAAACAAAGAAGGATGTGCAGAGGTTCCTAGGATTTGGGAACTTCTATCGTAAGTTCATCCGAAACTTTGCCCACCTGACGGCGCCCATTACGGACTGTCTCAGCAGTAAGAAGAAGTTCGTGTGGACTGAGGAGGCGGAGCGAGCATTTGAGGAACTAAAAAGGGCCTTCGCCTCGGAACAACAACTCCTGCATGTGGATTTACAAAAACCGATGAGAGTGGAAACTGACGCATCAGACAGAGCGATTGGGGCGGTGCTTCTGCAGCCAGGCAAGAAGGGGTCAGAGTGGAGACCGTGTGCCTTTTTTCGCGAAAGCTGAACAAATCCGAGAGGAACTACACGGTGTATGACCGAGAACTACTAGCCATTCATGAGGCGTTCCGGAGATGGAGGCACCTGCTAATTGGCGCACAACATAAGGTGCAAGTGTGCACTGACCACAAGAACCTAGAGTATTGGAGGACGGCACGAGTGCTCAACCAACGGCAAGTGAGATGGGCCCAGGAGTTCTCCAAATTTAACTTTGAGATTAGTTACGTGCCAGGCCCAGAGAACATTAGGGCGGACGCTCTCTCACGCAAACCTGAATATTTGGAGGGGAGGGGCACCGAAGAGAGACATGTCATTCCAGAGGACCGCTGGGTGTGTGGGGCGGCATTGGTGGGACAAAGAGAACTGGTAGAGGAAACAGAGAATGATGAATACGCCCAGAATAAGCTCAGAGGTCTTAGGGGTGATGGAGAGGAACCAGGGGGTTTCGAGGAAAGAAATGGAGCTTTGTATTACAAAGGGCACTGTATATCCCTGAAGGAGAGTTAAGGGGAGGGTACTCAAGCAGTTGCACGACAGCCCTACGGCGGGGCATTTTGGACAACACAAAACCATGTGGTTGGTCACCAGGGAATTTTGGTGGCCTAAGGTGAGGGAAGATGTACGTGAGTATGTAAGAGGGTGCGAGCAATGCCAGCGAGCCAAAGGGGAAAGGCGGGCGCCGGCGGGGCTATTAGAACCCTTACCAACCCCAGAACGACCTTGGGAGGCAGTGTCGATAGATTTTATGACTGATCTGCCGAAGTCCAAAGGGAAAACAGCCATCATGGTGGTGGTAGACCTACTAACAAAGATGTGCCACTTTGTAGCTTGCTCGCATGCAGTCACGGCGGAAGAGACAGCGAAGTTATTTGTAGAAAACATTTTTAGGTTGCACGGGGTGCCATTGAGGGTGGTCTCAGACCGAGGAAAACAATTTACTTCCAGGTTCTGGAGGAAGCTCATGAGCTTACTGCAGGTGGAGGTCAATTTTTCGACTGCCCGGCACCCTGAAACCAACGGGCAGGCGGAAAGAGCAAACGGTGTCCTCCAGCAATACCTGAGGTGTTATGTCAATGACAGAGAGAATGACTGGGTAGAAAAGTTGGCGCTGGCGGAATTTGCCTACAACAATGCCGAGAATGTGTCCACAGGGATGAGCCCCTTCTTGGCTAATTATGGGTGTCATCCCAGGGCTTTCCCAGGGGGAGAGGGGGAGAGATGGAGCGTCCCGGCAGCCGAGCATTTTGTGGAAGAAATGGAAGCAATCCATCGTCAGCTCCAACTCAACTTAGAAGGGCGAAGGAAGAATACAAGAGGCAGGCAGACAAGAACCGAAGGGAAGGTGAAACCATAAGGGTGGGAGATAGGGTGTGGCTGTCAACCCAAGGGCTGCCGCTCAAAGGAGGTTGTAAGAAATTAAGACCCAGGAGGTTGGGTCCCTTTGAGGTCATTCAACAGGTCAACCCAGTGGCTTTCAGGCTCCGGTTACCCAACCACATGAAACTGCACCCAGTATTTCACAGGTCGTTACTGTCACCGTACGAAGGGGACGAGAAGGGCTGGCCACTCGGGGACCGGTCGTAGAAGAAAGAGAATGCAGCAGCCATGTGGCAGAAATCCTCGACGCCAGGTGGAAGGGGGATCAGGTGGAGTATTTGGTAGCGTGGGAAGGAGAACCGGAGTCAGAAAACACTTGGGTAATGGCTGAAGATATCAATGACGAGGTATTGATAGAAACGTTCCATCAAAGGTTCCCAAGGAAACCTCAGCCTGTGGAGAGGTTCCGGAGGGAATACTTTGGGACCACTGATGAAGGGGAGGAGTTGGAAGGATTCCCGGACTCGGAAGGGGAAGGGGAGATGGACTCTGAGGAGGAGGTGTACTTCGAGACCAGGAACCGCAACAGGTTGAGAGAAGTGTTCGAGACATCGGAAGATGAAGGAAGTTCATTCCGGGGTTTTGCCTCCTCACCGCCCGTAGAGGAGGGGGCGAGAGGGGGTGAAGGGGGCCCTGGAGGGGAGGTGGATGTCAGGGAACTGCCATCGGACGGAAGGGAGGTGAAAGGGCTCACACAGGTTGGGAGAGACGCAGCAGCTGAAGAGGGAACCAGCAGGGAGGTGAAAGGGCTCACACAGGTTGGGAGAGACGCAGCAGCTGAAGAGGGAACCAGCAGGGAGGTGAAAGGGCTCACACAGGTTGGGAGAGACGCAGCAGCTGAAGAGGGAACCAGCAGGGGGAGAGGAGCTGAGCTGGAGGGATGGCTCAGAGACACTTCCAGCGAAAACAGTGGGGAGGTTTCAGGACCTCCTGTAAGAACACCCACTCCTCGCCGGAAACTGTCACGCAGAGATTCCAGAAGACGTGTTTCCGTTAAGGAGCTTTTATGTTGGAAGCGATTACGAAAGCAACCACTGTCGGAATCTGCTAGTGACTAGAGTAGCCATGTCTGAGGGGCTCCGTCACAGACAGAGGTTTGTGGACTTGAACAAACTCTGAGGGGATACGATTTTACGCACAAGCAGCTCATCATCCCATCACACATGGTATAGAAAGGATGAGTGCAGTGCATGTGTTCTCTGCAGAAGTTATTTTCCACCTGAATACCTCTGCTTAATGTGCTTCACCTAGTGGGTCATTGGCATCAGTTTTCTAGGTAGCGATTACACTGTTGATGCTCCTGCACTTTATCCTTTGGCAGGAGATAAGGGAGGTAAACTAGAAATGTAATAAGAAGAGTTGTCTGCTGAAAGACGCAGAAATAACTGAGAAATTGAAAAAGGGTTGATAAAAATGAGTGAGGCAAGTAAAAGCATGAAGAAAAGTTCATGCTGAGGTTATACAGAAGATTTGATACTGCTAATTAGATAAATAATCCAGCCGCCCATCATAATCCTTTGAAAGTTAGATGCATCTATAATTGAACCATGTCTGTATTTGCAGCAGTCAGTAATTAAAATGCTGAAAACAAGCTTTCGAATCCTTCATGACTCTTTTCCCCACTGGATGTTTGGAAGAAAGGGTGGGGTGAGAGACATGTACCTTTGACAGGACAGTGTTTACTTGGCCCAAGCGATGGACTGTAGAACATATTTTATTTTTCGTCAAAGCTGCAAATTGGCAAGTAGATGGCTTAGCAGTGGGGTTTCCCTGCAAACTTTCTCAGACTGACTTAATCCAGGTATTTGAAATGTTAAAAGCTATAAAGGGGGCGGGGTTAGGCAGGTAAGTAGGTAAGTAATTACATTAAGAGCTGCATCTCACATATTGAATTCCCTACACAGGTATTGCTTGTGGGTAGAAAATGTGATGCTGTACATGTATTGCCCTTGTAACTTCCCACAGAGGAAAACGGCCTTGTTTTAAGTGACACTGAAAGAAAGGGAAAGAGTGGGAGTGAGAAGGATACAGAAGCACATTTGATATATATATGTATATATATATATATACACACACACACAGAGAGAGAGAGAGACTAGATCCTATGCATATTCTAGCAGTGCTCTGTGGGGGTGTGACGTTTGTGTTTAGCAGCTTTAAAACGGAACAACTTCAACTAGTGCCTCGGTTGCCATAGTAACTGGGGCCTGTAGTTTCAAAGGTTCACCTCATGTATGGGTAGAGAAATTGTAAAAAAAGAGAAGGCGATGACTTGCAATATGGCATGACTCCATGTTTTGAAAAGAAATTTCACTGGGAAGACATCTCACCTCCCACCCCCAATTTTGATCCCAAACAAGTGTATGAATTAACAGTTTTTGCACGGGATCATGCGGGCTGGGGTTACACAGCATGGCCAGTTGCCCCCCCAAAAAGAGGACATGAATCACACACATACATAAAAGGGAATCAAAGAGAACACCGATTTGTTTTTGCAAGTGGAAGTAGCTATAAACCACAGGATCATGTAGAGGTAATAACAGAAATAGGTTCTCACATTAAGCCTACTAGGTTCTGTAGCATCTAGACTCAGAACCTGGTTGAAGACCATAGCTCAGTGGCCCAGGTTAAGCCCTTGATGTCTTCAAGTAGAGCTGGAAAAGACTGCTGCTGAAACCCTCAAGAACCACTGCCAGTCAGTGTACAATACTGAACTAGATGGTCTGACTTGATATAAGCAGCTTCCTGTTTTCATAATATAGCCAATGGGGGGGGGGACAGGTTATGAAACCCTTATTTCCAAGATGATTGTTGGCAGTGGAATGCCCAGGGGATGATTCTTCTTCTTTGGCGATAACTCTTAGCCGAGTAAGATTGTCTTCCATGAACACAATCTTAACAGTGAGTCCGTAAGTGACTGTGGAGGCCAATTCTGGATCCACACGTCCTTCTACAGTGGGGACATAGGTTTCCAGGCGGGAGTTGATCGTGGTGAGGGTTTGCCAAACATGCCTTCCTCTTAGCACGTTTCTCATCCTGAGTTTGAGTGTCTTCAAGGTCTATGACACCTTTGGTTAAGGCTATTCTTCAACTGGAGCGCTCGCAGGCCAGTGTTTCCCAGTCGTCTTTGTTTAAACTACATTTTTTAGATTTGCCTTAAGAGAGTCTTTAAACCTCTTTTGTTGACCTCCAGCTTTCCATATGTAAGTTTCGAATAGAGTAGTTGCTTTGGAAGATGATAATCAGGCATCCGCACAACATGACCAGTCCAGCGAAGTTGATGTTGAAGAATCATTGCTTTGACACTGGCAATCTCTGCTTCTTCAGTGTCTGTGGCACAGACCAAACTTCAATTCAGAGAACTTCCTGCTTTTGTGATCTCATTGTTCATGTGGATCTTAGCCATAACCACACAAAAACCTGTGAATGATATATCCGTGTGGATGCTTAAGTGCCTTTAGTGGTGAGAAACATATGCAGCTTCAATAACAACCCTACTGTCAGGCTGCGTAGGGGAAGTCTCTTGAGTCTGACTCATCGGTGCAGACTGAGGGCAGATGGGAGAGGGGGTTGTAAGTGACTGTGAAGGCAATTCTGGATCCACACGTCCTTCCATGGTGACCCAGGGGATTATGACTGTCCTATCTAGAGCATAGGGACATGGGTGGCACTGTGGGTTAAACCACATAACCTAGGGCTTGCCTATCAGGTCAGCGGTTCGAATTCCTGCAACGGGGTGAGCTTCCCATTGCTCGGTCCCTGCTCCTGCCAACCTAGTACTTCGAAAGCACATCAAGTGTAAGTAGATAAATAGGTACTGCTCTGGTGGGAAGGTAAACGGCATTTCCATGCGCTGCTGTGGTTCGCCAGAAGTGGCTTAGTCATGCTGGCCACATGACCTGTACGCCGGCTCCCTCGGCCAATAAAGCGAGATGAGCGCCGCAACCCCAGAGTTGTCCACAACTGGACCTAATGGTCAGGGGTCACTTTACCTTTACCTTTATCTAGAGAATAAGTATACATGCTACACTAGCAAGATACTTGTGTTTGTGAAATTTGCCCCCATGAGAGAGTGATGGCCACCAGTCAGTCACAGGTCAGCAGAGTGTTCTTGGGCTTACTGTTCTGCTTCTGGGCTTCCTGTGGGCATCTGGTTCGTCAGTGTGGCAACAGGATGCTGGACTAATTGGGCTTTGGCCTAATCCAGGAGGGTCCTTTGGTTATCTGAGCCTCTTGGGCTTGCCAATCAGAAGGTCAGCGGTTCGAATCCCCGTGACGAGGTGAGCTCCCGTTGTTCAGTCCCAGCTCCCACCCACGTAGCAGTTTGAAAGTACGTCAAGTGCAAGTAGATAAATAGGTACCGCTCCGGCGGGAAGGTAAACAGCATTTCCGTGAACTGCTCTGGTTTGCCAGAAGCGGCTTAGTCATGTTGGCCACATTACCCGGAAGCTGTACGCCGGCTCCCTCGGCCAGTAAAGCGAGCTGAGCACCGCAACCCCAGAGTCATCCACGACTGTACCTAACTGTCAGGGGTATCTTTACCTTTATCTTTAGGCTGGTTTTCCTCTGGGTCAGCAAGGGGAAATGTCTGGAAGACACCTCTAGCTGTGTGCTAGAAGTACTCTCTTGACATTAGAGCTGGGCAATATTTGGTTTTCAGCATTGTGATATATCACCAGCTAAACATGGGGATATACTGATATATCATGAGATCTGAATTAAGGATGGAACTATGTAGAGACATTGGCTGGCTTCATGGTTTTCCCCACATTGCAGTTTTTGCACACACACACAAAATAGTGATTCGCAATATATTGCCAGGTCAAAATTATGAAACTGATATCACGATAGGGGCTTGAAAACGGTTTCGGATTATATATTGATATATCGCCCAACCCTACTTGGCATTAGCTTCAATAGTGTAATATTGTGTGGATTGTTATTTTTTAAACCGCTCTCCTTTGTCCTCTCCCATTTGACAGGATTCTCGATAACATTCTCTTGAAGTGGCTAAAATGGAGAATAGGATGAGGGTGCAATCTTAAGCCCCCCAAATAAGTAAATTCCATTGACATTGATGGGGTCTGCATACAAGTACATGTGTTTAGGATTATAGGGCCAGCAGTTTTGTTTTTGTTTTGTAGATGTGGCATGTTTTGAGATGCTTAACATTCATGTTAAGGAGTCCAGAAATCCTGGTGTGTTAGTTATCCGGAATAAGTGGGGGGCCTGGCAGAAGGGCATGCGTGTTGTGGGCTCGAGTTCATTCCAAACATATTTTGCTTTTATGGGCTATGGCCCATGATGTATTCTCAGCTGTGGCTTTGATTTGCAGTTGACTCGGCTGGGGCAGTGTTTGGACAGCAAAAAAATCCTGCTGATGAGACGTGTAAACTCCCACCCAGAGCTCTAGGTGGTCTTGCCATCTCATCACATACCAAGAGTAGGAGGATACTGACCCCTTTAAATATGTGATGGAGAGCAGGTTTATAGGGCCAGCAGTGAAGGGCTCAAGAAAACTCTTCAGGGCAATTGCATAATGTTTAATTTTTTTGGCTCTTAAAAAAAGAAATACAAGCCTAGAATTGTGTTGTTCAGATGAGACATTACCTATTTGATTCTGCTTCACTGATAGATATGAGAATATTTTGTATTAGATGTTGGAATGAAGATTACTAAACCGAGATTTCAATTCCATCTTGATAAACAGATTTCAAGAGAGGGAATAAAAATGAAAACAAAACTTAGACGGAAAATCCAGTGTTAAGTTGTTAGAAAACAACTTAATTCTGTGCTAACACTGTAGGGTGACCTCACCACACATCATAAGAGATCTGCATTTGTTTGATATTAGGAATGACATGATATTTTGCTCCATCTTAGAAAAAATGAAAGTCATGGGAGATTAAAGTTTAATGCGCTATGCTTTCTCAGAGAGAGCAAGCTGTTCAAATAGGTGTGTTAAGTGGTAATTAAACAAAGAAATTAGCTGTGATTCTTTAGTTAAAAACATGATGATGAGGTACCAGTACTCTTCTTACCTTGATAAAAGTGCCATGGGTGCAAACATAAAATGACTACCAATGGCAGCAAACCTCCCCCCCCAAAAAAAAACCCTACTCCATACCAGTGAGTGCAATCACAAAAAGTACTAGTAAATATCTAGTTCAGACAAGGAATTATCATGCGTCAAGTGAAAGCAAATTAAACACATTCATACATACAACAGATTTCCCCCCAGACACATGATGATGATGATGATGGTGGTGGTGATGATGATTTATTTGTACCCTATCCATCTGACTGGGTTGCCCCAGCCACTCTGAGTGGCTTCCAACATACATAAAAAACATAATAAAACATTAAATCTTAAAAAGCATAAAATTCCTGTTTTTCTTTTTAAACTCTCCTCTACGCTCAACTGTTGACCTCTTTTCATCGGCCCTTTGGCAAGTTACAGACTTGTATAGAATATGTATAGAAGGAGAAAGGAAAGGAGTCAGGCACAAGAGGAACATTTGATCTAGATTATAAACAGAGTACAGAGGGACGCGGGTGGCGCTGTGGGTTAAACCACAGAGCCTAGGGCTTGCCAATCGGAAGGTTGGCGGTTCGAATCCCCGCAACGGGGTGAGCTCCCGTTGCTCAGTCCCTGCTCCTGCCAACCTAGCAGTTCAAAGGCATGTCAAAGTGCAAGTAGATAAATAGGAACCGCTCCGGCAGGAAAGGAAACGGCGTTTCCGTGCACTGCTCTGGTTTGCCAGAAGCAGCTTAATCAAGCTGGCCACATGACCCGGAAGCTGTACGCTGGCTCCCTCAGCCAATACAGTGAGATGAGCGCCGCAACCCCAGAGTCGGCCACAACTGGACCTAATGGTCAGGGGTCCCTTTACCTTTATAAACAGAGTTAGAATTGACTCCTCCTTGATATACCTTTACTTATAAACAATTACAAAGAAATTAAGTTATGAAATATGGACCACGGAGAAGTCAGCTACCCAAATGTGATACGAAGATTGAGGACACCAGGAGTTTACCTTCTCTCTGGAAAAGTATATGAATTGACCTGGATGGCTGATAGAGGCAAAGTGAGCCATTTAAAAACATACCATGGATGGTGCTTTCAAGCAAGAAGATGAGTTCTGAACTAAAATGCATTAAACTCTTTGCAAGCAGTTAAAATCAACGCTTTTTTTCTGGGGGGACGCAGGGGTACGCATATCCCTAAACATTTTGTGAATCTTTGTACTTTAGTGTATTTATTTTTCCCGATTTGAACTTTAAAATGATGGTTTTCATGAGTCAAAATGAGCGTACCTCTAAACATTTTTTTTTTTGAAGGAAAAAAAAGCACTGGTTAAAAGTAAGTTTCCAGTTGCATTTATTATTTGGCTCATGCTTCATATTTAAACCTTATTTCCCCTTGAATGAAACTGGTGTCTTCTTTCTCCCCTTTCAGAAAAGACGGCGGCGAATCGATCGGAGTATGATTGGTGAGCCAACAAACTTTGTTCACACAGCTCATGTAGGTTCAGGAGATCTCTTTAGTGGAATGAATTCGGTAAGTTTTTGCCAGGAATCCTGCAACATTTTATTTTATTTTTCCAGCTTTTTTCTTTTCTTTATATTTTATACATTTATTTACATTTTATACATTTTTTTGACAAAGTAATAATCATAAATAAATAAAGAATAAAAATGTGCACCCCACTGCTGAGACCATTCCATTTTAACTATCCAACCTCCCAAAATTTCAACCCCTCTTGCGATGGTTTGACCCTTTTCCCTTTTAAAAGTACAAATTCTACAAACACCCTCCATATCTTCTCAAAATAATTTATCCCGCATATTCCCCATCTTTCCTTAATGGCACATGTTAATTTATCATTAATAGCTATATCCCACACCTCTTTATACCATTCTTCCATTTTATATTCCGCTTGGCCCTTCCATTTCCTAGCTATAATAATGTGTGCAGCTGTCAATAAATTTGTGAGCAAGTCCTTCATAGCCTGTGAACCTTGCACCCCATCCCTGCAGCATTTAGACTGTATCCTTGAATATGTATATTTTCTAAAACATTAAACAATTTAGATTTGTAGTCCACCCTATCCTAAAGATTAGAGATGTGACGTAAAATATTGCTTCAGTTTTTTTTGCAAAATGACACAGAAGCTCAATTACTTATATTTTAATGCCAAAAATAGGTTGGATGCCTTTTGGCCACACCATTTTGCAGCTCTTACAAGGCAGTATATATTCAGGAGGGCAGGAGGGAATGCATTAGTACTGGGAAAAGAAGTAGAAAGGAAAACTCAAAGATGCAAAGAATTGGTTAACTTATTCAAGCACCATCATTTCTAATTAGTTAAAGAAGTCTTCTTCAGGGGCAGCTAGAAAACAAATAGTGGTACCTCAGTTTTCAAACGTAATCCGTTCCAGAAGACCATTTGACTACCAAAACATTTGAAAACCAAAGCAGTTACTTCCGGGTTTTCGGTGTTTGAAAACCGAAACGTTCAACTTCTGAGACGTTCGAAAACCAAGGTACCACTGTATATATTTACAGTGTAATTGTGCTTGTGTTCGAATAAGTGTATATATAGGACTGTAGCCTTGGTGTATCCTATTAAGAAAATTATGGATTCATTTATACCTTTAACACACCAGCATATCAAATATAAGAGTATTGTAGCTGATTCACTCAAATGAATAATATCAGAAAGCCTGTAACACGGACAACCTAAATGGCATTTTATAGATTGTTTCAAAGTAAGGGGGGTAAACAGTGTTAGAAGCATAATATTACTTCTCTTTTCAGAACATTTGTAGTGTTGTCTAGTAAACAGAAAATGTTGTACTTTCTCCCCAACAAGATGTCAGTCTGTAATAAAAAATGCATGTTAGAATACAGACAGCTTCAGCTTCCTTCTTGCAACCCAAAATGTTCTTTCCTATATCCCTTTTTACTGTACAAGAAACTCTTGTTATCATTTTTTTAATAGGCTCAAATCTGCCATGTAAAAATGTATGCTAACTAGTTTCTTCAAAGGAAAGGCTGAAACTGTTTCTCGAAAGGCCAAAATGTGTGTTTGCCTGCAGCTAGCTATCTAACCGTACAAGAAAAAAACCTAGGAGCTGCTAAACGAAGGAAAATAACGCACACCACTGATAAAATTAACAAATCAGCTGTTCTAGAATTCTTTGATTGGCATGACCTTTGAAATATCCTGGAGAAAACTTGGATCGCCCTAGGTAGAAATCCCAAAAGTCACACATTCTTATGTTAACATAGTTCACTAGAAGCAAGAATCAAAAGAACTCACATCTTCACTGAGGAGGGCAGAGAGGTGGTGTTTGCATACCTAGAATTGAGATGAATAATTGAGGTTTAGGCTGCACATATTGCCGAGCAGGTTTGGCTGTTAACTTGCTGCACAAGCACAAAAGGAACAAACTCCCTGTGTTTTTTGTTCCGCCAGCACAGCATTATATTTAAAATGCATTAAAGGTGTTTAAAGGTTGGAGAAATCCCTGTCCATTCCTTATATGGATTTGGAGTTTCTGTGAAGGCATGGGGAATGAGCTGCTTTGAAGTTACAGATCCAAATGCCTTTAAATCAGTGTTCTCTTTATCATCTCTTCATTTCATGCTGCTTGGGGCTCCCAGAATACATATTTCAGTTTTTAAAATAGCAAAAATAAAGAGAATTTTAAATTTCACCTTACAAAACAAGGGGCATACTAATATCTGATTTTACATTCTTGCCTTTTTAAAATAAATTATGCATGTACAATATTATTATTGTTGTAGCAAAGTGACTTCATGCTCAGCTGTTTTGCATATTTATTGCACACATAACTTTTTTTTCCAATTTTTCCAAATCAGTTTGTTCTCCCTAAAGGTTGTTTTGATTCACGGCTTACAAATCACAGCAATAAATGCCATTTTCTTATAATTTTATGGATAAGCGTTTCAAAACACTTTTGTCTGTCTATTTCATCCTAGAAGAATTTATTTCATCTAACAGAATTGATATGTTAACATTCTGCTTAAATAAATCTCCTCTTAAGAGAGTAAGAGATGAATCAGTTGGAAGAAAATATGGGTCTTTTTTGCATAGCTATGTAGACATCTATTTTTAAGACATCTGTTGCAATGCATACATCCTGTGTAAGAAATTTTGGACTCTTATATGATATACACAATTCTATTTGTCTCTCCTGAAAAGAAAAACATTTTCTCTTTCTAAGCCATGTTTATAACTCAAGATCACACATGTATATCAGCTGCAACATCAAATGATGTATAAAACGTTAATCCCATGCTGCAGCTACGAAGGACCAAAGGTCCCTTCGTATGTTACTCCCACAAAGTGGTGATCATGTGATCACACAGCTCCCCCTGGCCCTGATGTCCAGGCATTAGGCATGAGAACTCCCGTGACGGGGTGAGCTCCTGTCGCTCTGTCCCAGCTTCTGCCAACCTAGCAGTTTGAAAGCATGCCAGTGCAAGTAGAAAAACAGGGAAGGTAAATGGCATTTTCATGCGCTCTGGTTTCCGTCACAGTGTCCCGTTGCGCCAGAAGCGGTTTAGTCCTGCTGGTCACTTGACCCGGAAAACTGTTTGTGGACAAACAGCGGCTCCCTCAGCCTGAAAGTGAGATGAGCGCTGCAACCCCATAGTCGCCTTTGACTGGACTTGACCGCCCAGGGGTCCTTTAGGGACAGCATTGGTTTAGTAAAGAGATGTTATTCTCCTTATGGAAACTAAACAACTAGGAAAAGTGCTACCCATGTCAAATGTGTTAAAATGCTAGTAAACCTACCGTCTAGGAATGAACTTGTGCTAAATCGGGGCCTCCCTTAAAGAGGGCACGTATTGCGGTGAGACCTGGACAACTGACACCCTGTCTTGTGGGTGGGTACGATTGGTCAGCCACAACACCCGATTGGTAGGTCCCTCGAAGCTGGGTACAATCTGGCCAATGGCAGTCCAAGTGGTTCAAGGGACCTATTTATGCCCATGCACGTGACCCAGAGCTTCCTCTTTCAGCGCGTGCATTTGGAACACCCGCCCACCTCTCCCTACTTTTAGGATTTGTTGCGCTGGACCTTGCTATGCCGTCGTGTGTCGTCTGTCGTTGGGACAGGGGCACGGCAGGAATTTTCCCCACTTGGCTGATTGGCTGGTGCCATTTGGGTTTCGCCTGCCGCGTAGCAAATCGTCACAACTTGTAAGGTTGCGGATAGGCTCTGGTTCAGGTGATAGGGATGGGAGAACGCTCTCGCCATCCCTATGTGAAGGAATTCCGTTGAAGGAATCCAGGGACTCAATGGTTTGGTCAACCCCTGAGAGGGGGTTGTGCCCGTGCCTGAGTCCAGGGGGACATTTGGGTGGCAGAGATAGCCCGTTCCAGGCTTTCCACTTATCTGGGCATTCACCCTTGGCTGACCTATGCTGGTACCCTGGGTCAGAGCTACCTGCAACGCAGGGAGCTAGTCGAACCAGAACCTATGCAGCCAGTCACTTTCGGTAATCAATAAAGTTGTGGCCTCAATTCTGACAAAAACCAAAACCAAAATTTGTGTCAAGTGTGAATTTATTTTAGGGGGGAGGTTTCTGGGTCTGAACTTGAGAGTCCACCAGTTCATGGCTGACCGTACCCCTTTCTTTCCTACCCTTTTCCTGTATGTCTAGGTGAGTTCAATTCAGAACCAAATGCAGTCCAAAGGAGGCTATGGAGGAGGAATGTCTGCAAATGTTCAAATGCAACTTGTAGATACAAAGGCGGGATAACTGTGGGACATACTTTGAGTGAGTATTACAGAATTTGCAAATGCTGTTGCCGACTTTTCTCTGCTAGTAACAGAAAAGAAGCTGTTGTGCTCCTTTTAAGCGATTCTCTGTAAATACCGGTAGCTTGTTCATTATATTTGCTACTAGCCCAGGAGCCGGATGCAAGAAATATGTGCCTGCAAATGTGTGTTAGGTATTATGCAATGAGCGATAAGATCAAGTACTTCCAGTACCAATTATAAGAAAGAGATTTTGTTCGACTGATTTCGCACACTCGTCCGTCAGGAATTAGCTTTAGGCCTTTGGCGCTCATCTTTGTAGGAAATGTTGGCCCCTGAAGTTCTCTGTGGTACCAAAACGAGAACAGTTAAATTGCAGAGAAGGGGTAACATCACAGTTAAAGTATGATTGCATAAATAGAGCATGCGAGCATTTTTTTATTTCTGATAGCAGTAGGTGGTTTCATCAAACAATCTCCTAAGTTCCTTAGTTCCCGGCTCCCACACATGGCTTACTGCTGCTGCTAGAGGTTAGGAAACACACAATGTAATGATGTCTCAATGTGAGATGAAATTTGCGCTATGTGTCACAGTTTGAGAGAACACAGCCTATGGCTGCCATGTTCAGTAGTAGCTGCCTGCAAGCTACATTTCTTTCTTTTCCCACTTTTTATTCATTCTTTTATTTCTATTTTATACATTTATTTACATTTTATACACTCTTTTTTTTTACAAAGTAATAATAATATATAAATAAGCATAAAAATGTGCACCCCACCACCGAGACCATTCCATCATAACTATCCAACCTCCCAAAATTTCAGCACCTCTTGCGATGATGGTTTGACCCCTTTCCCTTTTAACAGTACAGATTCTACAAACAATATCTCCTCAAAATCATTTCCCCTGCATATTCCCCGTCTTACCTTAATGGCACATGTTAATTTAGCATGAATAGCTATATCCCCCACCTCTTTATACCATTCTTCCATTTAATATTCTGCTTGTCCCTTCCACTTCATGGCTATCATCATTCTTGCGGCTGTCAATAAGTTTGTGAGCAAGTCCTTCATAGCCTGTGAATTTTCCACCCCATCATAGATTGATAATAATGCTGCCTCTGGAACTTTGGTCAACTTTAACCCAGTGATTTCTGTTATCTCCTTATATATTCTTTTTATATATTTACACTGCCACCACATGTGAACATAATTCCGCAAGCTACATTTCTGCCCTCGTTCTGAGAATGTCTTGTTTGTCTTCTTACTCATTGTTCTGTTTTTTTCACAGATCCTTGTGAATATCTGTACCTTCTTTCCTGTGTTCCTCTATGCCTTGGTGACTGCTTCCTGTGCTCATGAGAGAAGTTGATGGTTCATCACCCACCCCTTGTGATTACGCCGTTGAAACATTCCTTTTCTGCTGTGAGGGTGACATTTATCAGACTGGTCTTGTCATGCATTTCAAGTGGCAAGCTTACATCTCACTGCTACCAAAACATCTGTGGACATGTATTGGTTGGTTGAGTTGTTCTTTGGGGGACATTTTTAGTCTATTCTCGGCATTTTAAAACAACATTTTAAAGCGATCTAAACATGTAGTTTGGTTTTGGGTTGACCTCTTTATTTGTACTCCCTCTGCAAGGCCTCATTTACGGCATTCTCATCGGTTGGTTTTTTTTTTTAATCCTTATTTCCTTTTCTGTGATTAGAAGCAAGCAAGTTCCTATTAATATGTTGAACCTGTCATTGTTAATATAATTTTATTATTTTTTAGGGAAAAGGTCTGGGACCTGCAAGCACAATGATCATTTCACACAGTCAGAAATCGGCAGAGTATATGAGCGCATGCTTTGTGAATTTGCTTGGTATGGTGGCCTGTTGGGTGCCAAAAACATTTTTTTTTTAATGCTTGTTCTTGCAGATGGATGATATTATTGCTGATTAAAAAGTTTTGCAATGGCACCAGATCATGCTAATCTCTCTGGGGGAAAAGGTCTTGTATCTTTTAGCTGCTTTGGAAATACATCGTCTTAGGTTTTGATCCAGCTGATCTTGAAATAATAAAGAGAGCTTGCATTCATAAGGCATTTTGTTGTAAATGTTCAGTATATTTATTTGAAAGAGCTGACCTCAAGATTGTAACCCGGTGTAGTAACGTACATACTAAATGTTGTGGTTGCGCTTTGTCTGGTTAAAGAGGCATTGTTATGTTGGCTGCTTTTTTCTTTTCTCTCTCCCCCCACGTTTTTTTTTAAAAAAGCTTAATTTTAGGCCATTCCGGCATTGCCAGTAGCAGCATGTTGAACTGCCTGCAATATTATAGCTGGAATTTAGTTGACCTCTCTAAGTAGTTGGCAGTTTCTGCATACTAAATATTTAGGGGCCATGTAAGTTGCTGAAAGCAACATAGTAACCTGGCAGAAACTGGTGCCAGCGAAAACAACATACAGGGTGGCTTTTTGCTATATTGGTCAAGAAGCCTTTTGCTCAGGTTCCAAAGCATGTTCCTCTTTCACAAAGTGTGAAAATTGTGTTTTTTAATATTGCACTGTTCTTGAAATATTTCTGTAAGTGGTCCTCTTTTCTTTTTTCTTTTCTTTTCTTTTTTTCATCTTCCCCACCCTCATGCCCCCTTGGTCATAAGAAGCTGAAGTCAGTTGATTAAACACTAGCAAACTATTTTTTAAAACCACATTTAGAATGCTCCTCATACATTTTTAACATCTTAACTGGCAAGTGGCATTACTGAGCCTAATTGGAAAAGTTCTTGAAAGTGACAAGCACAGATAGACACAACACAAGAGAGAGAGAGAGCAAGAAAAGAGAATTTGCGGCATAAAATCCATTCATTTCCACATGGTTCATGCAGAAACGTCATGAAACTAGCATTGCTTTGTAGTTAATGCCGAAATATTTCTCTCTGCTCCCATTGATAATTTGTAATGGGAAGACACTAGAATGAAAGGTAATCAAAAAACAGTTTAAAATTTTTTTCCCTGGTACTACTGAAAGTATTAATATTTTTCAAAAGCTAATAAAACAACATCAATTGGATAATGATCCAAGACCACTGTTGAAGTCCCAATCTACCAAGGAAGTCATATGTCTAAACATCTCTGAAATGAGTAGAAGCAGTGGCTGAGCACATCTGTGCAAGGTATTGTTCCACATTCATTTCAATGAGCTAAGTCCAGAAGATGTTCCTGTTGCATTGAGCGCATAGACTTTCTGAGGACAGCAAGGCTTTGGGACCGTAATACGATTTTGTGGGGCAAAGATCCAATTTAGATGTCCCCTCAAATCTTCACTGACTGGAGGTGCTGATTTATGAGGTTGCACCTCTCTTTGACTGTTTGGGTCAAATAAATGGCAACTTAATGATAGTTATCTTAGTTCAATTGTGTACATTCTCAAAAATGCTCTTCAAAATATAGGATTTCAGAATTATTTTCACTTTTGTCCTTGCTGACGGAAAATAAAATTTTTGGAGCATTTGTTTTGTCTGGGGGGAAAAGTAATAATCTTCAGCTCAGTCGCCAGAAAAGAGAGACATATTTTTATAACAAACATACTTTTTTTTGTACATTATGTTCATTCTTAAATAATGTAAGTTCAATGTTGTCTTGTAGATATTAAAAGGAGAATATTGACTTTTGATTCAATAAATGTTTTCTTTCAGCTGCTGGTTTACCTATTTCTTTTATCATAACCACTACCTATTGGTTTGGAGGGATCGGACCCTCAGGTCTTCAAAACACTGTTTCATCTTTTCAGTTTTAGTGCTTTACTGGAAGGTAAAGGTGGGGACCATATGGAAGCAGCTTTGTAGATTCTCTTTTAGATCACTGTTTAACAAAATGTTGAAGCCTGGAGCATTGCTATGGCAGATTCCACCCACTTTTCTCAAATCAGATTCTGTAGAAATAATTATATATACACCCTGCCCATCTGGCTGGGTTTCTGGGTGGCTCGCAACAGGACACCAATAACAATAATAAAAAAGGAGCAACATCAAACATCTAAAACCTCCCTAAACAGGGCTGCCTTCAGATGTCTTCTAAAAGTCAGATAGTTGCTTATTTCCTTGACATCTGATGGGAGGGCGTTCCACAGGGCAGGCTCCACTACCGAGAAGGCCCTACAGCAATACGTCATATTTGAATTGCAACAAGGAATTGCAACAGGTCGTTCACAAATAATCTTGTGGACAGATTATTAACTGCTACCCACCATGTTGGTTCTGTTTCAGAGTATTGAAAGTTTGTATGTGGCTGCCATTCAAAGGGCTTATTTGGACTTAGAACACCCTAATATCTCGAGAATTTAGCATCACTACTTCAGATGTCTTCTAAAAGTCAGATAGTTGTTTATTTCCTTGACATCTGATGGGAGGGAGTTCCACAGGGCGGGCACCACTACTTAGAAGGCCCTCTGCCTGGTTCCCTGTAACCTCGCTTCCCGCATTGAGGGAACTGCCAGAAGGCCCTCGGAGCTGGACCTCAGTGTCTGGGCTGAACGATGGGGGTGAAGATGCTCCTTCAGGTATACTAGGCCAAGGGCGTTTGGGGCTTTAAAGGTCAGCACCAACACTTTGAATTTTTGCACACAGGTATCAACTGCAGCAGTCTTCCAAATGTCAGGTGAAGAACTCAAAAATATGACCACCTCTAGTCAGGATGGGTCAAGTGCATCTCTCTTATTCCCAAGTAATCACAGCTAGGGATTTTGGATAAACTTAGCCTTCAACATTTCCCTTATTATGCTTCACAATTTCTAGTTTTTATACTAATAGAAAAGGCAGGTGAATAAGGACACCTCCACACTGGTGCTTTCTGTGGGTATATTCTGCAACATGTAATTGATGCCAAAAGAGTGCATTAGTGGTAGATTCATTCTGGACCATCTGCACATCTTAGTCCTTCTGCAAAGCTTCCCAATGTAATTTCATTACTGCCTTCTGGAGCATTCCTCTTGCTCTATGGTGCAACAAAGGTTGGACAAAAAATAAATAAAACCCAAACATTTAGGGTATGAAAAAATTCAGCTTTTCAGCAGGAAATTATTGGACACGCACCAGTTGGAAATGAAGCCGTTTGTCCACCCTGAATCCTTTAAGAGCGGGTTTGAACAGTATTGAAAGAAAGATTGCGTATAATTGCCCCAGTACCATCACAAGCACCAATCGTCAAGAATGTACAATGAAAAGGACACCTAGAGGGGTGCTGAGAAGTGTCAAATGCAGTAAAAAGTGTTTCATTTATTCAGAAATTATGCTACTTATATTTAAACAGATGATCTGGCTCTGCTGCTTTTTTAGCTCTGCAGGTATAATAATAATAATAATAATAATAAATTTATTTTTACCTCTTTTATCTGGCTGGGTTTCCCCAGAAGATTACAAATACATTGAAACATCAGTCATTAAAAACTTTTCTAAACAGGGCTGCCTTCAGATGTCTTCTAAATGTCAGATAGTTGTTTATTTCCTTGACATCTGATGGGAGGGTGTTCCACAGGACTGGTGCCACTACTGAGAAGGCCCTCTGCCTAGTTCCCTGTAACCTCACTTCTCGCAGACCCTCAGAGCTGGACCTCAGTGTCCCGGCTGAACGATGGAGGTGGAAACGCTTAGGTCGTTTAGGTCAGCATAGGGATGGGGAACCCACACCTAAAGGATGGCATGGAAGAATCATACACCAATGGGAGCGTGTGAGTAGTTCCATATATTTATGTTAGCCTCTGAGTGTCATTGCTTATGTAGTCCAAATGGCTCCATGCCTGCCCAAGAGTGAGGTATCTACAGGCTCTGGGGAGGGAAATCTAAGGAGGGAAGGAGCCCCCCAAAAAACAACCCAATGCAGACAGAGCATACTCAGTGGCCATGGGATGTTGATTGAGTGTTGGGGGTGGAGGGATGGAAAACTGGGTGGTTCTGCAGCTGCTGTTGAAATTGTAAAACAATGAACAGGGCGGAGCAATGGAGAACTTCTGAAACAACAATGGGATATTAGCTCCGCCCAAGGCATGATGGAGAGCAGCAACGACTGGGGAAAAAGACGTAACATTTTACAAGGACAGGAAGAAACACCACAGACAGAATAATCATCACACACAGGAGGAATATGGATATAGTTTGAATGCTTCACCTATATCTTTATAAATCATTTAAGGTGTAAAGACAAATGGATGTCGTCAATATTGCAGTTGTCGTATAAGGGATTGTTATTTTGGCTGGAATGTAATTGAGTTGAATAAGATTTTAGAACGCAGAAACAAAGTAAACCATCAAACCATCAATTCTAGCACGCGGGAGGCCACCTAAATTATACAATTTGGCATCTGAATGATTGGGATGAGTAATTGTATTATAATTGAGCATTGTTATAATGAGGCTACCATTGGATTGTTGTAATTGAAAACTAATAAAAATTATTGTAAAATTTAAAAAAGGAAAACTGCGCAAGGGGAGTAAGAATAGAATCCTCTCCAGGGCTGTCAGATCAACCCAAGGGCTACCAATAAATTAGCATGTATTCAGAGAAATGGACTTCGTTGGGAAGATGGGTAGGATAATAAATAATACATAAATAAAATTGGTCCTCAAAATGTTGCAGAAGATGCTGATTAATGATGGGCACAACCCACCCCCTTTTGATTCAATATGGGCTGCATCTTCCTTGGCTTTTTCCAATAATTCTTCAAAGCTTGGGGAGACCAACCCCAGGAGAACTTCTCCATCACAAGCAACCTTCTAACCAGTATCACTGCTTTTAATGCTTAACTCATTATTTATATGGTCTTTATTATTTCTCTCTTCTATTTGATATGTCTCAGCTAAGCAGCTAGAATAAATAAAAAGTTTTTAAATAAACCAAAAAAAAGAACCAAAACACAAGTAGTTTTTAAATTAAAATTTAATTTGGAATACTTGTTGATAATTCCATGCCAGGATCTTGTTGATATATTTAACACTGCGTAAAACACATTCTTGGCCTAGTTGCGCGTGGAGACCCCCAAAACCACCCCCAAACGAAGACACAATAGACACAGATTTTAGTTTAAGGTTTTTGGTATTAAATTTTGGGCACAACTTTATTGATTACAGCATGTGAGTGGTTGCTTAGGCATTGGTTCCAGACTACCTGAACCTGCACGGTGGCAGGAACAGGACTGACACTAGGCACCACCATCCACTGGGCAAGCATCCTGGGGGAGCGAGAACTCCTTTGATCTCACAGCTCACCCCAGATGCTCCCAGGGGCTCTGGCGTGGCCCTAGCCCCTTGACAGGGTTCGGACAAAAGCAAGGCAAGCCCCTGGATTCCTTTAACGGAATTTCCTAGCAGCAGCAATGGAGGGGCAGGCACAGCCAACCACGTCCTCTCCCCAAAACATTGAACCAAATGCCTAACCACCAACCTTACAAAGTTGTGACGATTTGCTACACGGTAGGCAAAAACCAAGTGGCAACAGCCAATCAGCCAAATGGCAAAATTCCTACCTGTCCCCCGCTCCAAAATAGAGACCCCTAGACAGACATTGTTGTTTAGTCATTTAGTCATGTCCGACTCTTCGTGACCCCATGGACCAGAGCACGACAGGCACTCCTGTCTTCCACTGCCTCCCACAGTTTGGTCAAGCTCATGTTGGTAGCTTCAAGAACATTGTCCAACCATCTCGTCCTTTGTCGTCCCCTTCTCCTTGTGCCCTCTATCTTTCCCAACATCAGGGTCTTTTCCAGGGAGTCTTCTCTTCTCATGAAGTGGCCAAAGTCTTGGAGCCTCAGCTTCAGGATCTGTCCTTCCAGTGAGCACTCAGGGCTGATTTCCTTCAGAATGGATAGGTTTGATCTTCTTGCAGTCCATGGGACTCTCAAGAGTCTCCTCCAGCACCATAATTCAAAAGCATCAATTCTTTGGCAATCAGCCTTCAAGGCCATGAGAACAACCCTAAATACAGGGAGAGGAGGGCGGGTGATCCGCTGCACGTAAAAAAAAAGTGAAACTCTCCAGTGACGTGCAGCAGCTTAAGTAGCCCCTCAGCAGCCAATAACCAACAGAGGGGCAACCAATGGGGGGTTGTGGCCATCCAAATGGTCCCGCCCCACAACAGGGAGGCAGTTTCTGGTGATCTCACTGCAACACGTGCCCTCCATGATGGAGGACCTGACTTATGTAATGCAATGTGTAATTCATCTCTATCTCTGTAAGCTTCTTGGCATTTTTTCCTCTCCCCCTTTCCTCCCATTTTTTGTTTGTCTGAAGAGTCTCCTGACTTAACCTGACAGTTTCAATCTCTTGTCTCACCATCTGCTGACATTCAAACATTTGTCTTCTATTGTACTTTGCACAAGTGTCAAACTTGGGAGGTGAGCATTCCTAATTCAAACAAAAATGTGCTCCAAGAACTTAAACTTGTTAAACATTAACAGCCAAGTTGTGAAACTTGCTCTGCTGGAAAAAAACGAAAGCTCAGTTTACAGATAGTATTTAACTCTGAGTAGGCTTGCTAAAATGTATAAGATTGAATCAGATAAGTGCTGGAGATGCAAAGAGGTTGAGGGAAGGTTCTTTCATATGTGGTGGACTTGTAAAAGGGTAAAAGAGAATGGGGAAATAATTCATAATGAATTGAAAAAAGTGTTTAAAAGCACTTTCCCCCCCAAAAAACAGAGTCCTTTTTGCTGGGGATAATTCAGATTGAAATTCCCAGGTGTCAAAAAAGGTTATTTATGTATGCCACTACCGAGGCCTGTGTTTTGTTAGCCCCAAAATGGAAAACTAGCGAGGTTCCAACCAAAGAACTTAAACCGAGAACAAGAATAAGAGAACAAGAAGAAATATGTTTAAAGGAGATTGGAAAATATTTATTGAATATATGGGGGGAAATTGTGTACACTTGAAAACATTGGCAGCATTAAGATAAATTCAACAGTATAAGTTTTGATGGATATAATAATGGAATACTGAATGGTTTAGTTTATGTAAAATATGCAGGGATTTATGATATGCAAAATGAACCATGGAAAGAGAAGAAGGGAAATCACTGATATTTTAAGGTTGTTTAAATGAATATTCTAAATTGTAAAACAGAATATATATATATATATATATTCACGGAAGCTCAGTTTTTGCTGCCATGTCATCACAAACCTAGATAGAAAATACTTATCAGTGAATTGTGTTCTTCCTTCCAAAAGTCTAGGCAGGCGCAAATCCAGTTTTCTGCGCTGGTTAGAGTGCTGGACCTGGGAAACGAGAATTCAAATCCTCATTCAACCATAAAGCTCACTGGGTGGTCTTGGGCCAGCTCCTCACTCTTTGCCTAACCTATCTCACAAGGTTGTTCTGAGGATAAAATGGAGAGGAGAACTCTGTCTGCCGTCTTGAGCTCCTCGGAAGAAAGATTGAATATAAATGCAAGGAATAAATAACATAAACCCACAGCCTGTTTTGCAGCATCGTTGGGTCAGGTCAAAGTCTAGTTTGGAACAGCTGGGAGTGGTTTCTACACCGTCATTAAAAAACAATGCCTTAGCTCAATACTTTCTACAGTACTTAGACTGATAGCGGCATCACAATGTCTTCAGCAAAGGCCTTTCTCAGCTTGCCTCCTTCAGATTATTTGAACCAGGGATGCCACAAATAGACATTCTTGCCAAGCTTCTTCTCTTCCACTTTGCACTTTGGTAAAAGGTAAAGGACCCCTGGATGGTTAAGTCCAGTCAAAATTGACTATGGGGTCTGGCACTCATCTCTGTTTTCAGGCTTAGGGAGCCAGCGTTGGTCCACAGACAGCTTTCTGGGTCATGTGGCCAGCAGGACTAAACCGCTTCTGGAGCAAAGGAACACCCTGACGGAAACCAGAGCACACGGAAACGCCATTTACCTTCCCGCTGCAGTGGTACCTATTTATCTACTTGCACCAGTATGCTTTCTAATTGCTAGGTTGGCAGGAGCTGGGACAGAGCAATGGGAGCTCACCCCGTCACGGGGATTCAAACCACCAACCTTCCGATTGGCAAGCCCAAGAGGCTCAGTGGTTTAGACCACAGCTCCACCCGTGTCCTGAATAAACAAGCACACAACCACTGATAGGTCCACCCGCCTTTGTGAAGCTCAAAGCAATGAAGATGATGCCTCCCCCAGCTGTTGCCATTGGCTGTGGGTTTCTTGTGATGTCACAAAAGCACTTGGCAACTGAGGGGATATAAAGGCAGGCCAAGGGGAAAGCCCTTTATTATTTCCAGCAGGACAAACCTGGCAATGGATGTGACCTTCAGCACTGCCCAGGTTTCTTCCACTTGGAGGAGGCAAAGTGGTGAATGGAAGGAGGCAATCCTCTGGCAGTGGGATGCTAGGGAGCGATAATAAGGCAAGTTTGCTTGCCTGAAGGCTGCTGGTGTCTGTGGTTGGAAGCTGGCTGATGTCTCATGATAGACCTGAGAGAAGCTGGCAGATGTTGGTGGATGGAAGCCAGTGGCTTTTGGATTCGGAAGTTGGTGGAGGGTACAAGGCTAAAGCAGACTGATATTTGTGGATGGAAGTTCACCTTTGGAAGACAGTCAACAGAAGCCAGTGGATATTTATGGATTGCAGCCAGGGCAGGAACATGAATGGATGTCATCTTTTTGGATGTCGGCTGGAATATGTTTGTGTGAGTACATGGGAGGTTTCAAATGTGGTTGAGGCAGAATGGTGTTTGCGTGTGCACAAATGTGATGTGTGAAAGGTAGATATTCATGAATAGATGGAACCCAGGGGAGGGGGAATATTGGTTTCATGAAATCAGAGAATCAGGGAATCGAGTTTGGGAGGGACCATGAGGGTCATCTAGCCCAACCCCTTACAATGCAGGAATCTTTTGCCAAAAGTGGGACTCAAACCCACTGGTGTGCTTCCGAACTGCTAGGTTGGCAGGAGCTGGGACAGAGCAACGGGAGCTCACCCCGTCGCGGGAATTCAAACTGCCGACCTTCTGACTGGCAACCCCAAGAGGCTCAGTGGTTTAGATCACAGCACCACCTGCATCCCTGGAAATAAATAGTTAAAGGACCCCTGAATGGTTAAGTCTGGTCAAATGCGACTATGGGGTGCTGGACTCCACTCCACTTTCAGGCCAAGGGAGCTGGCATTTGTCCCCAGAGTGCTTTCCTGGTAGAAGAGATGAAATGAAAGCACAAACAAGAGTTCCCCCTTTAAACCTAAATAAATAATGGCTTCTTATCACACACACACACCAATGGGAAGCGTGCTAATTTTACATGCAAATGGGTCTGCTTTTCTAGGAAGGAAACTTATACATGATGGGAATGGGCATCAGCCTATGTAGACAAACACGTTGCCCGTTTCTGACACAGCATCTATTTCAGCCCAACATCGACTAACGCAAAAAGGGAGATCTTTTTCTATAGGGGATAGCAATCAAGCACAGTAAGGAGAGATGGAGCGAGACAAGCAGGTGGTGGCAAAGCTGTTTGGGCCTCCAGGGAAGCTGCAACTCTTGTTCTCAGCAGAGCAGGGCTTCAGTTCAACGCTGAGAAGGATGGCGTTTCGAGTCTGACAGTGGCTGACATGCCTGACAACCAATCAGATACACATCACAAGCCCTGAAGTTCATATCAGGCATTTGGGGATTTCTGCAAGAAAGAATAAGAAGAGCCCTAGCAGATCAGACAATCCTATGGGCAGCCACCAACTGGGATGGCTTCAAAAGAGGATTACAGGAATTCACGGAGGGCAAAGATATGAAGGAACAGCCATTCTCTGCCGTAGTACAGCAGTTCACACCAGTGCCTGCCATCTCTGAAACGCCAAGGTTGAAAATTGCCATCATCACCTCATACAAATATAAATAATAAACAAGCTGTGATTCTCAGTATTTTAGTTGCTAGGGTAAAATTATCACGATGCATGACCATTATTTTTCTCTTAGCATTCACTGGCCAATTTTTTTGTATAACTTGCAGTTACTTGTGGATTTTTATTCTAAAGTAGCATGTTCTGTTATTCTAAAGATGCTACTCTTCCTTCTCAGCTGGAATTTAAAAGAAAACTTACAAAGGTGTATTGAGGAATAATTCTTACCATATACTCCTGTTGTCAACAATCAGCACGAAGCTTCTGTGCCATTCTTCTGCGAGGCTTCCATGTTCTGTCAAATCTAATAACGGAATGCTGTATAAACAAAAAGGATTTTGAATTCTAGTGTTGCTATTCCCCGGAGGAAGAACTGCTAGGATCTCCACCCACCCACTCCCCACGGATTATAAATGTTACAGCAAAACTGACCCCACACCACCTGGCTTATTGTCCTGAATTTATAGTGGACATTTGTACCAATGCATCATTAACAGTGCAGTCCTATATATATGTAGCTGAAGTAGTAAATTCCATTGTGTTCAATGGGGTTTATTCCCAGGTAGGTGAATATAGGAGTTCAGCCTCCACATAAGAGAAGTTACTTTATATCTGATTTAAAACACAGAGACAGAGAGAGGTTGAGAAAGCTTCCAGGTTATATGAGCAATAATTACACCACATGGAATGATGTTCAGTAACCAGAAGTGATGCATGAAATCAATGAAGTTATTCTGTGTTGTCTAGCAATTGGAATGATCATTTGGAATGAAGAGTGCATGCATTAACATGAGCAGTGTCGGATATATGTATAAGTTAAACAGGCTATAGCTTAGGGCCCCACTCTCTTGGAGGCCCCCCAAAAATTAAAGGGGGGGCAGAGATAAAAAACAAACAAAATAAAACCTACAAACAGCAACAGTGTTTTGTGTTGTGTAGGCTCCTATGATGTAAGTAATGGGCCCTGCCTGCTAACCTGCTCCCTAAAATATCACTAGTTAGATACCTATTAGGTCCATAAGTTACCATATAGCATATATTCAACACAAAAAACAGTGACAATTTGTTGTTGACAAAGGACAGCTGGACATATAAAGGGCCCCATTACCTTCAGTAGCTTAGGGCCTCATCAAACCTAAATCTGGCCCTGAACATGGGCATGCCGGTGGAGTGACAGCCGTCTGTCTGTCTGTCCAGCTCATCATTCAAGTGCTCTGATAAAAGCCATCTCATGAGAAGCTGAAAAACAGTTCTGTCACTTCCGCTGTAACGATTTGAGCATCGTCTGCCTGGCTGAGTTCACAGCAAGCGTCTGTGGTTCTTGCAAAATTCTGCCCTACTTTTCGTGAATCTTGGCCTACTTCTGACAACCTCTATCAGGTATCACTGGAGAGAGAAAACCTAGTTTGTCTGGGCAGCCTGAAGGAGGTATTTTGAGTTGCTCTGCTGTGGTAGATTTAAAACTGCTGAGAAATCCAGGCAAAGAAATTGCCATTGAATATATATATACACCAGTCTACACCCACACTTTGTTACAGAACTCCCCATCTCCCCATGTAATTTCAAACCATCCCATTTTCTGAATTTAGCTCAACCCAGGTGGTCTTCCCCCCAAAAAAATTATGCATAGCTGTGTGTCACAGTGTTCAAATTGTAATATTAAGAAGGCTCAGGTTTTTTTCAGTTACTTTTGCACAGTCCTTTTTTCTGGGGGGACGCGGGGGTATGCATACCTCTAAACATTTTGTGAATCTTTGTACTTTTGTCCATTTACTGTATTTCTTTTTCCTGATTTGAACTATAAAATGGTGATTTTCTTTAGTCAAAATAAGAGTACCCCTAAACATTTTTAAAGAAAAAAAAGCAGTGCTTTTGCATATATGGCCCAGGGGACCTAAAACTATAGAAACAATGGTTGTACAAACTGGGGGAGGTTCTTATGTTGGGAAGAAGAGTTTGGATTTGATATCCCGCTTTATCACTACCCGAAGGAGTCTCAAAGCAGCTAACATTCTCCTTTCCTTTCCTCCCCCACAACAAACACTCTGTGAGGTGAGTGGAGCTGAGAGACTTCAGAGAAGTGTGACTAACCCAAGTGTGACTAACCCAAGTGTGACTCACCCAGCAGCTGCATGTGGAGGAGCGGAGACACGAACCCAGTTCACCAGATTACGAATCTACCACTCTTAACCACTACACCACACTGGCTCAAAGGGACAGTGGCTGGTGTTAATTCTGAACTTTTCCTTTGACTAAAGGTAAAGGCAAAGGTACTGCCTAACCATTAGGTCCAGTCATGGACGATTCTGAGGTTGTGCACTCATCTCGCTCTATAGGCCAAGGGAGCCAGCGTTTGTCCGCAGACAGCTTCTGGATCATGTGTCCAGCATGACTAAGCCGCTTCTGGTGAACCGGAGTAGCGCACAGAAATGCCGTTTACCTTCCCGCCAGAGCGGTACCTATTTATCTACTTGCACTTGACGTGCTTTCGAACTGCTAGGTGGGCAGGAGCTGGGACCGAACAATGGGAGCTCACCCCGTCGCGGGGATTCGAACCACCGACCTTCTGATCAGCAAGCCCTAGGCTCTGTGGTTTAGACCACAGCGCCACCTGAGTCCCTTTCCTTTGACTATTGCTACCATTTCTAGAATACGCAGAGAAGCTACTTAAGGCACTTGCATCTACCCCCCCCCCAAAAAAAACCACACCACAATTCCAACTCTGTTATTTCATTTTTAATCTGCAGTAAGAATGTGTTGTCACCATATCAGTTTGCATCCAAAATTGGTTGCCTTGAGCAACACTACTTGAATTAAAATGAAGCATATTTCAGTAGTATATTTTAATGGTCTAGTCTAGTCTGTCTCCTGTTACCTTATGTAATTGTTCTGTGGTAACTGATTTTAAGTGGGTATATATATCAAGAAGAGCACATTTCTGTCGCAGGGAAAGTCTAAAAATTGGAATATTTTGCACATTGTCTATCTACTTAAATTTCATCCTTTGCTGTAATAATGCCTACCCTTATTTTTATATGAAAGAACTGGGTTGACCAAAGGGGATGTAATACTTGGAAAGCACTGAGTTGAATCACCTGATTACTGGAAGCCACATAAACCTCATCTAGATTATTGTGTGAAATTAGAAACATCATTTCGTCCTAATAGGGACATTTGTCCCTGTGCAAGCTTGTGTGTTTTAGACAGCGCAAGGTGTCATTCCATGCATAACACTGGGAATTGTGAAGAAAGCCTGAGGTTGCAAGCTTATCTGGGAGTAAGTCCCATTAAACTCAGTGAGGTTTACTTTTGAATTGATAATGTTAGGCTAGCAATGTTAGGGAATAATGCTAAGAAATAGAATGGAACGTTTTGGTTAGGCAGATAAAACCACATGATTTGGGGAAGATTAGTAGGGACTGAGTGGTGCATGCTCTGGCTATCTCTCGCTTGTACTACTGCAATGCGCTCTGTGTGGGGCTACCTTTGAAGGTGACCTTGAAACTACAACTAATCCAGAATGCAGCAGCTAGACTGGTGACTGGGAGTGGCCGCTGAGACCACATAACACCGGTCTTGAAAGACCTACATTGGCTCCCAGTACGTTTCCAAGCACAATTAAAAGTGTTGGTGCTGACCTTTAAAGCCCTAAATGGCTTCATCCCAGTATACCTGAAGGAGTGTCTCCACCCCCACCGTTCAGCCCAGACACTGAGGTCCAGCTCCAAGGACCTTCTGGCAGTTCCCTCACTGTGAGAAGTGAGGTTACAGGAAACCAGGCAGAGGGCCTTCTCAGCAGTGGCGCCCTCTCTGTGGAATGCCCTCCCATCAGATGTCAAGGAAATAAACAACTATCTGAGTTTTAGAAGACATCTGAAGTAGTGATGTTTAATTCTCGAGATATTAGGGTGTTATAAGTCCAAATCAGCTCTTTGAATGGCACCCACATACAAACTGGAAGCCAATGGCTATCTTTCAATACCCGTGAAACAGAATCAACATGGTGGGTAGCAGTTAATAATCCATCCACAAGATTACTTGCGAACCACCTGTTGCAATTCCTTGGCCATTGGATCAAGACAGCCTCAAATATGATGCATTGCTGTAGGGCCTTCTCGGTGGTGGCGCCCGCCCTGTGGAACACCCTCCCATCAGATGTCAAGGAAATAGACTGACTTTTAGAAGACATTGGAGGGCAACCCTGTTTAGGGAAGTTTTTAATGTTTGATGTTTTATCACTTTATTATTATTATTATTCTGTTGGGAGCTGCCCAGAGTGGCTGGGGAAACCCAGCCAGATGGGTGGGGTATTATTATTAATAATAATAATGTATTTTCCACCCAGATGCTGCAAAGTGGGGCAGGAGGAGCACTTCTCCAAATTTGTGATACAAACAGGATATCAATATAGCTGCCTTTATTTGAATCTGTGCGCAAAGGCTTAATGGGTTCTGTCATTGAGCAGTTGATAGCTGAGACCAGGCAGTTAGCTAAGCCTGAGCTGCTGTTTCAGTGGCAAGACCTCTGATCCAGAAGTCTGCCATGAATACAAATTGGGTGGGGGGCAGGTGTTGAGAGACCTTCAACGCTTCTTTTCCAACATTCCCATACACTGCTGTTAAGATAACTTTTAAAACTTCAAAGAGCTGGTCTGCACATGTTCTGGGAACACCATCGCTCTTGCCCTTGATCTGACTGAAAGTCTTCTGGCTTGGTTAAGACTTAAACTTCAGATCAGACAGGTGTCAACTGTGATGCAGAATTCTTTACACGTCGCAGATTATTGCAAGCAACACAGTCTGTGAAGGCCATTTTCAGACTGCCTAAAATAAGCTCAGGATCCTAACCCAGTCAGATGGGCAGGGTAAAAGGAATAAAGAATCATAATAACTATCTCTTTCCCCAGACATGGGCTTTGGCCCCTTCACATAATTTCTACAATTGTGGCAGCACCTTTTTCATCTACCATAATGACCATGA